GGGAGGCTGAGGCAGGTGGATGGCTAATTTGAGACCAGCCTCATCAACTTAAGGAGACCTTCGGCAACTTAGGAAGACCCTGTCTCAAAAAGAACTAATGTATACGGCCCCTATAGGCGCATTGCCCCTCCCATACACCCACTGCCTCTTCCAGCTTCCTTCCTGCATATACCACCCCACCAGGCTTGCCCCACCCCACCGTGCACCAGCCTGAGGGCCTCTGAATCCATGAGCCTTCTGCACAGTGGAGCAGGCGGGGGAGCCAGGGAGAACTGGAGCCTAGGCTGCCCGGGACCCAACTTTCTGCTGCTCCCCTGTGCAGATCACACTGCAGCGGGAAGAGCTGCAGACCTTGAGGGAGGAGTTGCAAAGGCAGAAGGAGCTGCGGGAAGAGGACAATCCCGCGGAGGCCCTAAGCTGCGCCCTCTTGGACCGTGACGAGGCTGTGAACAAGTGAGCCATTGCCACCCTTCACCACCGCCCCAGCGGGGCGACAGGCCCCCTCGGTACTCTGGTCCTTCTGTGCTCTTAATTGCTCTCCGCCTTATGGGTTATTATCCCCACCCCGGCCCAGGGGCCCTCTGCCCTCCGTGGTCTTGCTGTTAGCGACCCCCCTCCCGTCGTGGCCCAGGAGCCCACTACCATCCTGGCTCCTGGAGTCCCCGGCGCCCTCGGACTTGTTTTCCGCCGGCAGGGCCGTGGAACTGTCCCTGGAGCTCAGCCGCGTTTCGTTGGAGAGGGACTCCCTGTCCCGGGAGCTGCTGCGCACCATCCGCCAGAAGGTGGCGCTGACGCAGGAGCTGGAGGCCTGGCAGGTGAGCGGCGGGGGCGGGGGCGGGGGCGGGGCCCAGGCCCCGGCGGCCTGGGGCCTGGGGCAGGTGGGACCTGAGCACTGACCCTCCTCCCGCCCCGCCTCCCGCAGGACGACATGCAGGTGGTGATCGGGCAGCAGCTGCGCTCGCAGCGCCAGAACGAGTTGAGCGCGGCAGCATCGACCCCACGCCGCTCCACAGCACGCTTCTCACTGCGCCTGGGCCCCGGGCCTGCCGGCGGCTTCCTCAGCAACCTTTTCCGAAGGACCTGAGGGCTGGGCCGAGGCGACCACCCTTGACTCACTCTGGGGCATACTTTCCTCTAAGGGCCAATGGAGCGACAGGGCCTGGATGTCTTCCAAGTGGGGTTGGTGCCCTCTTCACCCCAGGAGGCTAGACAGGGGCTCTTTGGGAGTAGGGGCAGCTTCGGGGCTAGAGACCCCAGGTGGGTGGCGGGGGCAGTGCAACAGAGCTTCTATTTTCGCAGTCTGTATAGGTCTATCATTTCTAAGCGCTAGGCTCCCTGAGTCTCTGGCTGCTCCAGGGCAGGGGTGGGTGTGGGTATTTATGTATCAAGAACAGACAGAGTAATATATAAACCACTATATGGACTTGGCCTCCATTCTTGGGAAGGAAGCACATAGAAGAAAAGCCTGAAACTTTATTGTAGAAAAAAAAAAAAAAAAGAAAGATAAACACTCCAAATCCCTAAGGTGGGGGTATGTTGTCCGATGTCAGAAGGACAGGGAGAAGGCTCGGTACCCCAGGTTGGTGAAAACATCCACCCGGCAGCTGCTGCCAGCGACTGTCAGGACCTAGGGACAAGAAGGGCATGACTGACCTGCCGACACCCCCCAAGGCTCCAGTGACTCTCCAGAGCCCCTTGCTTCACCCACCTTGCACTCAGGGGCTGCTGGCTGCTGGTTGAGGCTGAGGCTGAGCAGTCCTGGGGAAGATCCAGGCACCTGGGCCTTAAGCTCTCCGCTCAGCTGCCAGTGGTTTACACAGCGACCCTGGCCAGCTGACAGAATCTGTGGAGGACAGGGAGTGGGGTCAGGACTAGAGAGGGGAGCCAGGCAGGGGTGGCAGAAGTGAAACAGAGGGACTTACCAGGTCCTGGTAGAAGGTGACATGCTTCTGTGGCGCCCGCATTGGAAAGATGGTGGTGGGTGTGGAGGACCGGAGGTGCCAGAGGGTGAGGGCTGGGCCCCCTCCACAGACCTGGGAAGAAAGGTAGGAGTCCCTAGCCACTGAGAGCCATGGGCCCTCAGCTGACAGGGCCCAGAGCTGCCACCCCATCTGACCACACAATTTGCACGCTCACCATCCAGTCTGAGTCAGTGGCCAAGCATCCAATCCAGCGCCCGTTGTGTGGCCTTGAGCACTCCTGACGGGGGAGGGAAAAGGTAAAGACAACTTTGGGGAGTTGGGGGGCATACAGAACAGAGGTATGAGTCCTGTCCTCACCTCGTGCTTATAGACCTCAATCGTCTGGACCTCTCTGACCGTTCGGAGATCTGTGGGGAAAGAATCATGAGAGCTCCCTATGAGCCCTACCGTTCCCAGCCTCCCTTACCACTATTTTACCATCCAATTGTACCTACTTACCCCAGAGTCGCACAGCCCCATCCTCACCACCTGACAGCACCTCAGGGCTGCGTTCCCGCAGTGCCAGGCAGTGGATGTAGTCTGTGTGGCCCCGGAGGGCCCGCTGCAGGAGAGAGCCAGGGTAAAGGGGGACCCAGGAAGAGTGCTTCCCCCTGGCTCTGATCTGCCCCAATTCCAGGGCCCTGCTCACCCACCGTGAAAGTCCCAGTTTCAAGGTCCATAGTGTGCAACTGACAGTCTCCCCCAGCCAGGATGAGGGAATTCTCCTGCAAAGGAAGGCAGGGCAGAGCTAGAAGTCAGTGTCAAATCAAGACAGGGAGAGGATGAAGGATCAGACTGTCACAAAGGGATCAGACCTTGGGGACAAGCAGCAAGGCATTGATCTCAGGCACTTCCAGGCTGGTCCTGGGGGATAAAAAGCAGGGTCAGCATCAGTGAGGCTAGTGCCCTCACTCTACCTGCCTTCCACCCAAGTGGCCCTGGCTCACCTGTATGGGGGCTGACGACGCCACAGTTCCTTACAGCCCTTTGTAAGGGAAAACACCAGGTGACCTCAAAGGCTCTCCCTGGCATAGGGCAGGCCAACCCTTCCCCAGCCTCTAGACTCCTTACCTTCTTGAGGATCTCTGCCCAAAGCCAGGCCTTCACCTCCCCATCGCCAGCACTGAGCAGATGTCGATCAGTGGAGACCATGCTGTAGACGGGCCCATCATGGGCTGAAAAGAAATGAAGAACCTTAGCCCACCCTGTCCCCTCTTCCACTCCAGGGTCCTCTAAGCCAGACTTGATGGCTATACCCACCTTGGAAGGTCACCACGGGTTTCTTGCTTTCCTCTTTGGCCTCTGAACTCAAAGCAGCAGACAGGCTGCAGGGGGGAGGCAAGGCCAGGTCAGAAGCAGGAGGGCCAAATACCAGGATTCACACATGGTAGGGAGCAAGGGACAAGAGTACCTGAAGATAGCAATCTGCCCATAATTGTTGCCTGCCGCCAGGAACTTCCCACAGGGTGAAACACTCTGGGAGAAGATGGTCATGTGCAGCCGCTGCAGGGCCTGAAACACCTCTGTCTGTGGGGAGAAGCTGGATGAGGCCCCCAATTACAGACTTCTTCATGCCTTCCCTGCCACAGGCCTGGCTTCCCACTGCCAAGACTTCTCAGCCCTCTTTTGAGGTGGCCCACCACAAAGGCACTTTGCCCATGCATAACTAAGAGTGGCTCCAAGAAGAGGGTGAGGAAAGAGGAGCAGAAATGATGTCTAGTGGACCTCTGAGCAAACACCAAAACCTCTCTTATCAGTTTCTCCCGTGGTGAGATGGAGGTCACAGGAGAGTCTATCACAATTAGGTGAGCTAATGTATATAAAGAGCTTCACATGGGGCTGTCACATAGAAAGTGCTTAAAAACTGGTTCTTTGGGGCTGGCAGTGCAGCACATACTTGGCGTGGATAAGGTCTTGGGACTGATCTCCAGCATCACAAAACAGTGTCTCTTCTACAGTTATTCTGTTAATTTGGGGGTGGTGGGTACTAGGTACTGAACCCAGGGGCCCTTTACAACTGAGCTACATCCCCAGTTCTTTTTATTATTATTATTATTGTTGTTATTATTTATTGGCACTGGGGATTGAATTGGGGTGCTTTACCACTGAGCTAAATTCCTGTCCCTTTTTATTTTTTAAATTTCTAGATGGGGTCTCACTAAGTTGCATATGACCTCAATCAGTTGGTTAGGCTGGCCTTGAACTTGCAATCCTCCTGCCTCAGTCTCCCAAGGAGCTGGGAATACACGCGTGAGCCACCTCGAGAGGTTCCCAGTTCTTTTTATTTTGAGCCAGGGTCTCGCTATGTAGCTAGGGCTGGCCTCGAACTTGTGATGCTCCTGCCTGAGCCTCGAGTTCCCAGGCGTGTCTCCGTTTCAGGCCTCAACTATTTTGTTTTTTAAGTGGCTCTATTTTTCCTGCACAAAAAAACCGGTACCAACATCTAATTCCTATCCAAGTTAGGCCCTTCTGGGTTACTCTCCTGTTCCTCCCCCCATTAGAGTCCAAATCCCACAAACGGCCCACGCACACCAGGGCTGCCTCATCTTTCCTTGTCCATCCCATTCAAGCAAAGCATGGACTACAAACCCCAGAAGGCACCGCGCACAAAACTCACTCACCTGACCCAGAGGCACCGCTAGCGGGGCAGCGCGCTCCATCGCAGGAACTACTACTCCCAGAGTGCTCCGCGCGGAACGTAGCCTTCTGACTCCGGACGTACGCGCAAGCGGCTACCCTCCGCGGCACCGTGTCTCGACACTACCGGCCGGCCGAGCGCGAAAAGTGGCTACCACGTGCTTCACGCACCCCAAAAACAGAGGAGAGCGCCGCGAAGCCCCTCGACACTAAGTGGCGCCGCTGCCCTGTTACGTCTGGACCCCTCCCCCACCCCGCCGAACCTACGCGCCTTCCAGCCACGCGCCGTTCGTCTTCCGCGCCTGCGCAGGCCTCGCCACTGCGCGCGCTAGAAGCCACGCCCCTCGCAGTGGGTCACGCCCCCGAAGGCTCCGCCCCTATCACCCGGATCCTACCCCTCCTGCCTTAATACCCTGAACCCCAATGATCCTTCAGCAGCCCCTGGAGCGGGGCCCCCCAGGTCGGGCCCTGCACGATCCGCGGACCGCCTCAGGGGCGACTCGAGGCCAGGACGCCAGGTACGTGTGGGATCCCTGGGTTGGTACGACTGAGGAGCGCAGCTTTGGCTGGGGACTCATGGCTGGCCTAAGGGTTGATACCGGGTGGAGCAAACTGTGGGACTTAAGCTGAGGTCCGGCTGAGTCTGGGAGCTTGGGGTTTAGACCTTCCACGTATTCTGATGACCAGAATGGGTGGCTTAGGTGCCACCATCACAGGAATGGGCTGGGTGCTCAGGTGCTGATGCTGCAAGCTCAGGTGGATAGATCTTTGGGAAGGGGCCGAAGGTGGGGTGCTCCTGGCTCTCTCTTTTTCCCAGCTCCCCTCTCCGAGGAGCTATGCCCATGAGCACCAAGCGGCGCCTGGAGGAGGAGCAGTGAGTTTGAGGGCAGGGAGGACTTCCAATATCAGTCTCCTCTGATGCCCACCAATCTACCTCCCCTCTTAATATCCCTGCCTGCCTTCCTCCCCATCTCTTCCCAGGGAGCCGTTACGAAAGCAGTTTCTGTCTGAGGAGAACATGGCCACCCACTTCTCTCGCCTGAGCCTACATAATGACCACCCTTACTGCAGCCCCCCCATGGCTTTTCCACCCGCCCTGCCCTCACTGAGGTAGGCATCTCCACTAAGTCTTCCAGAGGATCATAACGGGTCCTCAGAACTGCCACTCATCATATCCTGCCTCATCATGCTATTTTTAACTTGTAGCCAACTTCTGTGCTGATTCACATCTTGACTCCGAGTGAGAAACCTGGACCCACCAGGTCCAGGCCAGTTTTCAGCCCAGTGTCTTGACTGTCATTTCTTCTTCCAGGAGTCCTTGCTCAGAACTACTTCTCTGGCGCTATCCTGGGAATTTAATCCCTGAGGCTCTTCGGCTGCTGAGGCTGGGGGATACTCCTAGTCCCCACTATCCTGCAACCCCAGCTGGGGACATAATGGACCTCTGAGCAATAGTGGGCAACATCATTCCCCATGTCTTTCCCCAGGGGAGACTGCAACCCTCAGGAAGGGACAAGGTGCTTGCTTGTGTATCTTCCTCCAGATTGGTGTTTGGGCAACAGGACCTTTCCTCAAAAGAGGACACTGAACTCAATGGAACCTTGGGATGGGAGGGCAGCAGCAGGGGAAGGGGAGGTATGCCCTGAAAAAGGGAATAAAAAATTGCTGAACAATTGAAGTCTTCAGTCTGAAACCTGAGGCCTTTGGGAAGGGTGGGGTGCTGGATGCTGGTGTTTCTCCTCAAGATCTTCCCTGGAAAACGGCTGGCCAGGTCCTGGCAGGCTGGGCTCCAGGCATTGAGAATGTGTGAGTCAGAGCCTCACCCCCCCCCCCCCCCCCCCCGGCCGCCCGACTCACTCCCTCCCTCCAGCTCTGGGGAGTCAAGCCCAGGATCATGCCACACTCCAAACCATTTAAAGTTAAAGATTATTTTATTAATAAATTCTCCCTCCACTCTAAAGTTCTCCCCAAAATAAATATCTCCTCCCCCCTTTGGGTTGCAGGGGTCTGTATTTTAGGGCCAGCCCTCCTAGAGGGCCAGCCCCCTATAAGAACAGGGCCCTAATCCCCCAAGATGAGGACCCCTAGAGGAGTTTCAGTCCATCTGTGTGGGTCGGGCCTAGTGTTGTGTCTGCCCCTGAAGTCAGCCTGGTATCCAGGGCATCAGGGGAAGGGAGAGACCCCCCTTGTGCAAATGCTGCAGTTTCTTAGTGTGAGCCAGCTTGAGGCTCCCTTTCTGTCCTGGAACCAGACAGACATAGGGCAATCAGACTCCTTGGAAGGCTCTCCTGAACCCTGGGCCCAGGTCTCAGGGGTGATTCACTGCCTGCCCCGCCTGTGGTTGGAGGAACCTGGCTAGGCCTGTGTCTGGGAGGCAGGAGCTGGCTCCAGAATGAATGAACAAATGAATGAACGGATTGAGTGAGTGCCGCACAGGCGGTGGGGGTGCTCAGTCACTGGATCAGCGCCACACCTGGACAGCCCTCTCCACCAGTCTCCTCTATGGGGGCTGCAAGATAAGACGAGGGTCATGAGCAGCTGAAATGTGGAAGATCGATGGGTAGGCGGCTTGGCGGGGCACACTTACTGGTAAACTTCTCTCTCCTGCGGCACCGTCTCCAGACCAGGAAGGCAGAAAGCAGTGCCAGCACCAGGGCCAGGCTCAGGGCACCCCCCAGGATGGGCCAAAGCAGCCGGAAGGGGGCGGGAGGTGCCGCAGCGCCTGGGGACCAAGATTCAAGTCAGACTTCGACCCTCTCCGGACCAGCCCCGCCCCCTAGAACTGAGCCTCAAGCTTGCACCCCACTTGCGCCTTCTGGGGATTAATTTCCCAGATCCGAAGCCCTCTAGCCCCCCCCCAGCTACCCTCTCGGCTCCACTGAGGTCCACTTGCCGCCGGACCCGCACCCCACTTACAGCCCAGGCAGAAGTCACTGTGCGGTCGCGCGGGACACGACGCACAGTCCATGCACTTGTCCAGGTCCGCGCTCCAGGAACTGCCGCTAGAGCAGGGGGCGGTGCCTGGGGAGGGGGCAGCGGGTTAGCATGGGGGCGGGACGCGGCTATTCTGGGGGCTGAGGTCAGGGTCGGTCGGCTCGAATAACGTGAGTCACCGGCGCCCTCCCCCCCGCATTCCTCACAGGTGACCGAACGGCATGACCCGGAGATGGCAGTGCGGGTGGGGGTAGTAGCGTGGAACTTTGGGGAGAGGGGTCAGGTCCCCACAACCCCCCCGCCGCCAGTGGGTGACTCACTCCTGGGCACCCGGCCCGACCCCGGTCCCTCCTCCCGCATAGCTGGGCACTGAAGTCACCGGATGGAAGGGGGCACCCCACATGGTATAGAAGGCACAGACCCCCAGAATTCCCAACACCCTCCCCCCCCCCGACTCCTCAATCACTGGGGCTGGGCAGACCCTTAAAGACCAGGCTGGGGGGTGTGCCCTCTTACCGAAGAAACCTCCCGCCCTTAAACTTCCTCTCCACTTCTGGCAAGGACTTTTGGGGCAGAAGACCCCACACCCCAATTGGACATGCAGAGAAACTGAGAGCCCAGAGTAGGAATGAAACTTGGGAGTGTGATGGACCTTCCCCACTAGAACACACGGAGTCTGAAGACCACCTGACCCCGGATCTCTACGTCCGTCCGGTTTCCCAGTTCCGGATGGTCCTCCAGGCACCCAATCTTGGCTCCCAGCCCCTGTGCCCCGCATACCTGGTGCCTGCTCCCCGGTTGCGGCGCGTAGCAGCCCCAGCCCGAGCCCCAGCACGAGGAGCCGCAGCATCGGGCGCATCGAGCCAAGAGCCATAGTAAGCGCCTGGAGGCCACCGCCGTCTGCACCGGCCGCCGGGCGGCGGAGACAGGGGATCGCCGCCCCGCCCCCGCCCCCGCCTTCCGGGGCGGGGCCCTGGCCTTCTCCCGCCCGGCCATCCGCTCCGGGATGCCCCTCCCCGTGCGGCCCGCTACCTTCAGTCATTCTTTCAACAAACAGTCCCAGCGCTGGGGGCCTCCAGTACTCTGCAAGCATGCGGACCCGGCTCTGCCCATTCGGCGCTCAAATCCGGAACTTGTGGGATAGGGCGAATCAGATATGAAACAACCCATAAAAATAATTATTGATTTCTTATATAATTTTTAACTCTGTGAGATCTTTCAAAAAATTTTATTTTGTTTTGCAAAGCTGAGGATCAAACCCAGGACCTCCTGCACTAGCACTCTACCACTGAGTTACATCCCAGTCCTCTCAAAGATTCTTTACCAAAAAAAAAAAAAAAAAAATTGTTCCAATTAATTATACATGACCAAAGGTTCTTTAAACCAGGGGGTAACTGCTGGTTTTTAAAATTTAATTTAATTTAATTTTTGGTGCTGGGGTTTCAACCCAGGTGCGCTTAGTCACTAAGCCACATCCCCAGCCCTTTTTATATATTTTATTTAGAGACAGGGTCTCACTGAGTTGCTTAGGGCCTCTCTAAGTTGCGGAGGCTGCTTTGAACTCTTGATCTTCCTGCTTCAGCCTCCCGGAGCCGCTGGGATTACAGGCGTGCGCCACTGCGTGAGGCTAACTGCTGCTTTTTTAAGGGCCCCCCCGGGGCTGCAACAATAGCAAAAATTATGTTCCTTTTTGAAATTAATTAATTTTACAGTAGAATGTATTTTGACATATGGTACACAAATGGAGCACAACTTCTCATTCCTCTGGCTGTACATGATTCAGAGTCACTCCAGTAGTGTAATAATGTTCTCTTTAATTTATACCTTAGGACATACATACTAAAATGCATGCTTGCTGTCTTCATTTTTCAGAGTAGAAAACTGAGGCTTGGGAAAGTTGAATGAATTCCCGAGGTCATAGTGCTAATAAGTGGTGGCTGAGGTGTCAGCCAACCCGGGTCCCCGAATCCCAACCGGTTGCAGGTGCAGCAGTCTGGGTCTCTAGCGCCCCTCTCTGACTAGCTTGGGAAGCGTTCGCGCCCACTGCCGATCGGGTCGGGGTCTCTGCCCCTCCCCGGGGGAGGTGGCCGAGTGACGTCATTGCCTCTTTAAGACCCCCCGTCTCCGCCCCCGTCCCCACACTCGGCCTACGGATCTTTCAGGTCCTTCACGCAGGTGAGCCCGGGGCAAGTGTGTGTATTGGGCTTGGGAGACACACCTTGCGGAGCCTAGTGCAGGGGGCTTGGGGACGCATGCGGGGCCACCTGGGTGGGCGAGTCCCTGGGCATGAGGCTGTATTGAGGGGATCCAGTCCTTCCGCAGTTCCAGAAGGGTTAAACGCCCCTCCCCCTCCCCAGGGACAAAGGCACCGAAACTCCGCGAGCCCCTCCCCCACCTGCCTTCCTCTCCAGGGCGGGACTCCCCTCCCCCTCACCTGCGGGAGGGAATCCTGCGGCCCGCGCGCCATTGAGCCCCTCCCGGCGCTCAGTGCCTTGTAGCTGTGGCCCAGGGGGTCGGTGGTGGAACCCGCCCTCGCGCCCTCGCACAGAGTCAAGCCACAGTATGTGGAAAGGGAAGGAGAGAAGGGTAGGGACGCATTCGGGGGCGAAACTTCGGGTAGCTAGATCCGGCAAATCCCCCTCGGTTGGTGAGCCCGACATCTTGGGCCTGACCAACACAGGTGCAGCCAGCTTAGTGGTGGAGGAACAGCTGAACAGACCCTTGGATTTTTATCTCCTCTTGGGACCCTAACATGGCCTTTTGGTCTAAATACGCACAAAAAGTTCCCCAACTTTGAGGGCTCACTCCTTGGCCCCTCAAAGGAGAGTGAGGGTGAACCCAGGCAGTCATTGGGGTGGCCTTCCAGAAGGAACTCCTTGTGTCCCCCGCACCTTGCCTGCCCCTCCAGGGCTGAGCCAGGCTGGACAGCCGCACCTGGTGGGAGAAACCTGGGCAACCTTCATTATTGGGAAAGAAGTGATTAACTAGGGAGGCATTAAATGCTAATTTTGACCGTGAGTAATTGAGGCTCACAGAGTACAGCTTGCTCCAATATCAGGACCTGTGGACAACTCCCGGGGTTCCTGCTGTTGGCATCCTGTGTGGGGTCACAGCTGTGACATAAGGTCTGGGCCAGCCACCCTTTAACATTCTTCTGCTTTTGTTCTCCCATGTAATGTAGCCCCTTCAACCTTGCCATGGCCTCTGCTGGTCTGCAGATCCTGGGAATTGTCCTAGCTTTGCTGGGCTGGGTAAAGGCTCTGATTTCCTGCACCCTGCCCCTGTGGAAGGTGACCGCTTTCATCGGCAACAGCATCGTGGTGGCCCAGGTGGTGTGGGAGGGGCTGTGGATGTCCTGCGTGGTGCAGAGCACTGGCCAGATGCAGTGCAAGGTGTATGACTCGCTGCTGGCACTGCCCCAGGACCTGCAGGCTGCACGTGCCCTCTGTGTCATCACCCTCCTTTTGGCCCTGGTCGGCCTGCTGGTCTACCTTGCTGGGGCCAAGTGCACCACCTGTGTGGAGGACCAGGATTCCAAGGCCCGCCTGGTGCTCACTTCTGGGATCATCTTTGTCATCTCAGGGGTTCTAACCTTGATCCCAGTCTGCTGGACAGCCCACACCATCATCCAGGACTTCTACAACCCCCTGGTGGCTGAGGCCCAGAAGAGAGAGCTGGGGGCCTCCCTGTATTTGGGCTGGGCAGCCTGTGGCCTTCTGATGCTGGGTGGGGGACTGCTGTGCTGCACCTGCCCCTCTGGAGAGGCCCGGAGCTCCAGCCATTACATGGCCCGATATTCAGCATCTGCCCCGCATTCCCCCTCTCGGGGACCCTCTGAGTACCCCACCAAGAATTACGTTTGATGCTAGCAGGGGAATGAGGCTCCATTAATCAGGGAGCCTTGGCCCCTGAGCTGGAGCCATTGAGAAGTGGTGATGCCTGACAGCTTTGGGTTTGGTTCTTGTTTTTTGCTTTTTTTTTTTTTTTAATGGGGGAGGGGAAGGTATCTCTTTAATCTAAGATGACCCAAACTCCCACTTGGGCTCTGCTGTTGGCATATTTCACCTTTGGATAAATTTGTTTCTGGATTCTTCTTCACTTTGAGCAACACCATCTTGGAAGCCAAGCTGGAGCTGTGGGACCAAAGTGAAGGCTCCTTGCTGCTGTGGCTTTTGGGACCACAAGATGGCCTATCCGGAGGAGAGCTCCCACTGTTTCTGGGGACTGGGCTTCTCTAGACTTTGATGGACAGCCACACCCCTCCTCATCAGGCCAGGAAGGACTCCTGATGAGTTACCAAAGGACTGCCCACCACTTTGTCTTCTGACCTCTACCTCCTCCATTATTACCACGTCCTCTCCCCAAGTCTGGTCCCAGCTGTGCTGTAGACCTCACCACCCACACCTCTAACCCTGCACACATCTGCCCATGTCTGGCCCACACAAGATTTTACTAAATAAAGTATGTTTTGTTTCTGTGCCTTTGCTTTTGCTGGGGATGGAGTTCCCTGCCTGGCTAGAGGAGGAGACGGGTGGATGCAAGTCAATGATGATCTCTTGTCCCAGATCCTTTCCTGGCTTTGACCCCATGGTGTAAAAAAGGTTCTTCACTGGGCAGGACCTGAAGCAGACCTTGGCCTGACACCTCAGGGGAGTCAAGTGTACAAAACAAAGGAAACCTGATTACAAGATCTCTTTTTATTCCAGATTCCAGACTTGAGGGCAGAGCTGGGGAACTGACAGGCTGGCTGGTCCCAAAGGGCCTATTTATGCAGGTGAAGTTTGGGCCAAAATGAACCAAGCAGGGAGAGCACAATCTCCTTTATTTTGGAGACAAGGAGATGCTGGCCTTTGTTCCTGGGGCAGGGGGGAGGGCTCAGAGGAAGAAAGGTCAGTCTATGTCCTGGACAACAGAAGAAAACAAGGGAGACAAGGTGGTCTGGCGCACCAACACCTTTGGCCCCATTTCGACCCCACTAAGGGTCATTTCAGCCAGACCAGCCGAGAACATCTGTAACGCCAGGTCTGGCTCCGGCTGTGCAGAAATAGGCTCCCACAAGGGAAGGGGTGGTTAGAAGCAAGGGTGCAATCAGAGTCTGAAGGTGCAGACGCCTGAAGGAAGCCTTTTCCTCACACGTAGTCCCTCTTGTCCAGCCCCGACACGCCTGAGCGGGAAGGGATGGAGTAGCCCAGCCTAGGTCCACGGGGCCGCTCAAACTGGGGTGGGGGGCATGTGCAGCAGAGGAGCCCCCCACCCAGCATGAGCAGTGCAGCTGCAGCCCAGCCCAGGTAGAGAGAAGCCCCCAGCTCCCGCTTGAGGGCCTCAGCCACCAGGGGGTTGTAGAAATCCTGGATGATGGCGTGGGCCGTCCAGCAGACCGGGATGAGCACCAGGATGCCTGCGAGGAGCAGGAGGACTCCAGCAGTGAGCACAATGCGGGCCTTGGCACCTTCTTCCTCCACACACGTAGTACACTGGGCCCCAGTGATGGCCACCAGCAGGCCAAGCAGGGCCAGCAGGAGGGCTACGACACAGAGGGCACGCGCGGCCTGCAGGTCCTGGGGCAGTGCCAGCAGCGAGTCATACACCTTGCACTGCATCTGGCCAGTGCTCTGCACCACGCAGGACATCCACAGCCCCTCCCACACCACCTGGGCCACCACGATGCTGTTGCCGATGAAAGCAGTCACTTTCCACAGGGGCAGGGCGCAGGAAACCAGGGTCCCCAACCATCCCAGCACAGCCAGGGTCATGCCCAGGAGTTCAAGACCAGTTGAAGCCATCTGCCCCTCAGTCAGGTCTCCCCAGCCCCAAGCAGTCTGGTTGACTCACAGAGAGGACCAGACGAGTCAGGTGGGTGGGTCTCAGTGCCCAGGGAGAGGGGAGAATGAATCGAAGCCTCTAGGTCAGGACAGTCCTCACATCTGTAGGCCTCTTGCAGGTGTCAGATCCTCACGGAACAAAAGCCAGTCTCTGTCCCACTTAGCTGAGGGGTTTTTGTCCCCTTGGTGGCCTATCGCCCCTCAGACTCCTTGAGAGCTTGTTTGGAGGTTCTAGCAGGGGAGCGCAGCTACTCGTATACCCTTGACCGAAGAACGGTCCTCCTCTATCGGGGAAGGTCGTCCTCTTCGACCGAGCGCGCAGCTTCGGGAGGGACGCACATGGAGCGGTGAGGGAGGAAGGGGACACCCGCCTAGCCAGCCAGATCAGCCGAATCAACCCTGGCGATCAATGGGGTGACAGATGTCGCAGCCAGATCGCCCTCACATCCAGCCCCCTCAGACTCCTGCAGTCTGGTGAGGCCAAGCTCACCCAGCTCGCTGCTTCCTCTCCCAGCTGGCGCTGGTTCCTTCAGAGTAGCACCAGCCAAGGTGCCACCTGGGGCCTCTGCCGGTCTTGGCTGCAGGCGGGGTTTTAAGGACCGAGCAGGGGAGGAGCAGAGCCAAGGGCTGGGAGGCCTTGATTGGGCCGTGGGACCTGAGGGTTGAGGAGGAGGAGAGCTGGAGGTGCATGGGAGGGGCGGTAGGGGAGCCTCAGGGCCAGTGGGAGGGGGTCTACCTAGACCTGGCGGCCTGGGGAGGAAGAACAACTCTGCTTTGGAGCTCAGGGACCAGGAATGAGAAGACTGGGTGGGGCAAGTTGAAGAACAGGGGAGATGGGGTGCCGAGGTAACTGGCTAGGGACAGAGGAATAGGCAAAGGGAGTCTCAGCCTGCCCTCTGAGCCTGCCCACTCCCATGCCACCTTTGTCATCCCCCTGCCTCATTTCATGATGCAAATGTGCCCCTCCTCCCCGAGTATCGAACCCCCTCTCGGTCCCCCTACCCGCCCAAGATTCTCCGGAATCTGATCTGCCTTCTGTCTCAGCCCAGTGGCCCTGGCGGCTCCCAGGGGAGGGGCCCCGCCTGCGCGGTTCCCTGGGCAACAGGTGCCTGGCGCCCAGCTCAGGTGGCATTGCCCTGACAACGGCCTAGAAAACTACTCGCCTTCTATCTCAGCTCAGGTGTGCCTGCCCCACCCCCGCTGCCGAATCTGGGGGGCTGAGCTGAGCTGCTGAAAGCCTCCAGAGACCAGGGGACAAAGAGGAGCCTGCTGGGGAGGCGAGCAGGGGTGAGGTGGGGCGCACAGGCCGAGCAAGAAAGGGCAGGCAGCCCAGGACAGGGTGCAGCCAGTCAGGCCTCCCTGGGGGAGACACCTGGAGGATTCTGGTATCCCTGAGCCACACCTTCCAGTCGGCAGGAAAGAGCCCTGGGAGCCTCCTCATTGGGGGCAGCCTGAGAGTCGCACAGACCTCTGCTCAAATTCTGACCCCTACCAGGAATGCATCATGGAGAGTCAACTCCTTAACCTCCTTGCATCAAAGACCCATTGTGGGAAGTTCAGGAATTCCCTCAAGCCCTTCTCTGGGGACAAAGAATCCCTGAGGACTATTATTACTTTTACTTATTGGTATTGGAGACTGAACCCAGGAGCACTTTACCTCTGAGCTACAACCTGGACTATTTTTTGAGATAGGCTCACACTAGATTGCTGAGAGTCTTGCTAAGTTGCTGAGACTGGTCTTGAACATGTGATCCTCTTGCTCCAGCCTCCCATCAGTTTCTGGATCACTGGAATTACAGGTGTCAGCCACCATCTATAATTATCTGAAAAGGGAGCATTCATAGGATTTCCAAAGATGTGTGTGGATTCTGAAAAATGCAGAGTGGGCCCTCATCCTGGACAGTCTCTCACCTCCATTCCTCCTCCCAAGAAAGAGAGGGCTGGAGGTGAGGCTGGAACTGACCTAGCCACAGACACCAGAAACTGGTAAGGGCAGTACTGGGAGGTGCCCCTTCTGCACACCTGGTGTCAGGGAGGTTCGGCCTTCAGTGCTTTGAACTTGAAGAGACTTTATTTATAGAGGGTTCTAGCTTCCAGGTTGTTTGGGACTAGAACCCAGGAGCAGGAACCTTCCTTCTGGGTATGAATTTTAGCACTTTTTGGAGGAGAGGTTTATGTTTACATCAGATTGACAAAGGGGTTTGTGATCTCCAAAAGCTTGAGAACCTCCCCATACCAAAAAAAAAAAAAAAAAAAGGAGACAGAGACCAGTGTCTGTGCCTCCCCACAGGAGGCAGGCCCTCTGGGATGAGGGGCTGGTCTAGAGCTCTAGACCAGAGGAGGTAGGAGGTGCCTTTTTCACAGTGGCAGGGGTGGGGTGGGAACCCACAACAGTGGATTAGACAATGGCTGGTCTCTAGCCCTCCAGTGATGGTGTTGGGTTCTTCCAGGTCATCCAGCCCCTGGGGCTTGTATATCTCAAGGATGAGGGGCTGGTGGAAAGAATGACAAATAGAGACAAGCCTGACTGTGAGCTCCCTCTGTGGCCTTCAGGGGCTGCCAGGAATCCAGCCGCACAGGTTTGGGCAGTTGTCAGGTGGCAGCAGCAAGCTTGGGTATCCAGAGGGCCCACGGACAGGACCCTACCCTAGGCAGCTCCATATAGGGGGTTTCCTCTTCCCCAGGCCCAGAAAAAAAAAAAAAAAAACCCTCTTGCCTTAGGTCTCAGGTGCCCAACTCACCCAGTTGACCTGGGACATTCCAGTTTGAGTATCCCCAGTTTGATTGGGAGAGCCGGGTCCTGGGCTGTACACCTGCCTTGGGTTGCCCCCCTTTCTTTCTTGTCCTAGGCAGTTGTGTGCCCCCTCCCCAACAGGCTTTTTACCCCCTGGGCAGTTTGAATATTGAGCCCAGCTTTCCAAAAAAATTAGGATAGTTGTTTACACTACAACCTAGCCTTGACTCAGTGGCCCAGGAGTTCCTGGGTAACTCTAAGCCTATAACATCATAACTGGCTGGGGGGCTGCACATACCCAGTAAGCTGAGCCTGGACACCCCCAGGAAGGCCCCCTGCCTTCTTTGGCTCAATGTCTGTACAGGAAGCCAAGCAGAGTGCTACACTGCCAGGAACCAGCCAGCCCCAGAGGGATACACACTGTAGGACTTAGGTACCTCCCCAATGATCAGTGCCTGCCAGGCTTGCCCACTGGTGGCCCAGTTAGCTCAGTCACCTTCCACCCAAGTCTCACATCTCACATGTCTCCCCGCCGCCCCCCCCTCCATGTGGATGGAATTGGATCCTGGGAACCGAAGGGTTAAATTGGGAGTCTACTCAGGGACTGACAGGGGCTGGAATGTCATTGATATGGAGAGCTTGGGCCTGCTCAGCAAAGTTACCATCTAAAAAGGCACTTTAACATATCCACAGGAATCCCTGCCCTGCCTCACCCAAGCAGGAAAGAGAAGGGGGAGGGAAACTTATAATGTACTGCTCCGGGAAGAAACCAAGGCTGGGGCCTCAGCCTCCCTCCTTCAGCCCAGCCCTGTACTGCAGTGATAAAATGACTTTGTCTTGGTTCCCTCTGGGAGCGACAGAGAGGATCAGGTGGACAGAAGAAGCTCAAGCTCAGCTTTGGTAGGGCAAAAGGGGGCCAAAGCTGGGGAAGGGGACTGTGTAAGTAGTAAGTAGCCTTGGGTGGCACAATAAGAGTCCCCAGGGCAGCTCCACCCCCTGCCAGTTTGAGGAACTGATTTCTTGGTGGAGAAGCCAGTCCCTAACCTGTAAGTGCAGAGGAAGCCTGAAGGCCTGGTAATTCTCAGCAGCTCAGAGGAAGAACCAGCCCAGAGTGCTGGGGAACCTTGGCCAAGCTTACACTCAGGAACGAGGACAAGCTTGAAGCAGCCCAGGTCGACTTCAGAGCCAGCTCCCTCAGGGGAGGGGCAGGGCTCAGGGTGCCCCTCCTGACCACAGTGGGCAGGGGCTCTTCCCAGTGAGCCTCCCCAACACCCATTCCTCTAGAGCCTGCCATTCCCTCCTTCCAGAAAGGAACTGCAGCTAGACCTGATTATGCCATAGACGGGATCAGAACAGGGACAAGTGGTAGATGAGCCCTCGGGCCTTGATTAACGATCTGTTATTGTTATACTGAAGTTTCCTACTCCCTGCTTTTTTTGGGGGGGGCGGGGTGTACCAGGGATCAAACTCAGGGTTACTCCACCACTGAGCCACATGTCCAGCCCTATTTTGTATTTTGTTTAGAGGCAGGGTCTCACAGAGTTGCTTGGTGCCTCACTTTTGCTGAAATTGTGAAATTGGCTATTTTTTTTTTTTTTGGTAATTCTAATTTGTTATACATGACAGCAGAATGCATTTCAATTCATAGTACACATATAAAGCACATCTTTATTCATCTCTGGTTGTACACAAAAGTAGAGTCACGCCATTCATGTCTTCATGCACATACTTAAGGTAATGAGGTCCATCTCATTCCACTGTCTTTCTTACTCCCATTTCCCCTTCCTCCCCTTTGCCCTATCTAAAGTTCCTCCATTCCTCCCATGCTCCCACCCCCCCTGCCTAAGCCCATCCCCAATATGGAAGCATATTGGGGATATATGCATCCTCATATCAGAGAAAACATTCAGCATTTGTTTTTTTGGGGATTGGCTTCCCTCACTTAGCATAATATTCTCCAACTCCATCGATTTACCTGCAAATGCCATGATTTTATTCTCTTTTAATGCTGAATTCCATTATATATATATATATCACATTTTCTTTATCCATTCATCTACTGAAGGACATCTAGGTTGGTTCCACAATTTAGCTATTGTGAATGTGCTGCATCCATGTGGCTGCATCACTGTTGTATGCTGTTTTTAAGTCCTTTGAGTATAAACCCAGGAGTGGGATAACTGGGTCAAATGACTTTTCCATTCCAAGTTTTCCAAGGAATCTCCATGCTGCTTTCCATATTGGTTGCACCAATTTGCAGTCCCACCATCAATGTATAAGTGCCTTTTCCCCCTCATCCTCAGAGATTGGCTATTCTTTTATTTATTTATTTATTTTCATTTTTTATTTTTAGTTGTCAATTGACCTTTATTTTAATTATTTATATGCGGTGCTGGGAATCCAACCCAGGGCCTCACCCATGCTAGGTAAGTGCTCTACAACTGAGCCACAACCCCAGCCCAGGTTGGCTATTCTTAATCAAATCAACTATAATCAGTAGGATGATGCCAGAAAATATTACAAGAGCCAGGCACAGTGGCACACACCTGCAATCCCAACCACTAGGGAGGCTGAGCAAAAGGATCACAAGTTCAAGGCCAGCCTCAGAAACTTAGTGAGGCCCTAAGGAAGTTAGTGTCACCTATCTCAAAATAAAAAACAGATGGAGGTGTGGCCCACTGGTTAAAGGGCCCTGGGTTCAGTCCTGGGCACTTAAAAAAATACACACACATACACACACACACACACATCACGTGAGCCACACCTATAATTCCAGAGACTTGGGAGGCTGAGGCAGAATGAAAAGTTAGAGGCCAGCCTCAGCCATTTAGTAAAACCCTACCTCAAAATAAAAAATATTAAAAGGATAGGATATAACTCAGTGGTAGAACCCCTCTGAGTTCAATCCCCAATATAACAAAAAGGGATGGGGGTGCTGGAACTGTAACTCAGTGATGCATGCTTGCCCAGAATGTGCTAGATCCCAGTTCCATCCCCAGCACCACTTAACTCCTTAAAGAAATTACTGTAATCCCAGCGGCTCAGGAGGCTGAGACAGGAAGACCGCAAGTTCAAAGCCAGCCTCAGCAACAGGGAGGTGCTAAGCAACTCAGTGAGACCCTGTCTCTAATAAAATACAAAATTGGTTTGTGGCTCAGTGGTTGAGTGCCCCTGAGTTCAATCCCTGGTTTCCCTCCCACCCCCAAAAAAGAAAATACCAAGCCTGGCACCAAGGGATGGTTAATCCCAGAAATTTAGGAGGATCACAAGTTCCAGGCCAGCCTCAGCAAGTTAGTGAGGCCCTAAGCAACTTAGTGAGACTGTATTTCAAAATAAAAAGGGCTGGGGATGTGGCTCAAGATAAAGCATCTCTGGGTTCAATCCCCAGTACCCATAACAAAACAAAACAAAACAAACAAACAAAAACAAAGATAAAAGCTTTGCCTTGTATATTCATGTTCACTGGACTCAAGTACCTGCTTTTACTGGCACTGTGGAAAGTTCCCTTCTCCACTATCAATTACCTGGAAAGCACCCTACCCCCAGCCTCTGGTTCACTCTCTCCTGGCCTTAGCCCCTAGTGTGGGAACCACCATTGCTCTAGTCTGCCCCAGGACCTCACTGGGCAGTCACAACTGCCTGACCTTAGATAACTCAAGGCTTAAAGGAACAGAAGTGCGGCTCTGCCTACCTCCAGGGCCACCTCAGGCATTTTCTGAGTGAGCACCCCTACATTTTGGATATAGGGACTGACCTGGACAAGACTTTTGTCAGGCACATAAGGGCAGTTTCACTTGTAAACCTGAACAGACACAGTTGAATGGGTAACAATTAACTTTATTATCAGTGGTGATTGTTTTCCTTCAACCAGCAGTAGGTATGACTCCCAAGCTTTGAGGGTGGGGTCCCCACAGTGCTGTCTTTAAAGGAAGGTATTCACTGTCTCTGATGTCCATTTCTTAGTTGAGGGGAGGGCTACACAATATAAAGTGGAGACGCAGCAAGTTAACAGAATGGGAACTTGGCCATAATTCAGAGGAGAAAGACAGTCACTTTGTTTTTTTCTGTTGCCAGTAAGAGCTTTATCCAGAGCACCACTGGCTCCTGCCCAAGGGCTCCAGAGGCACCCAGTGCCCTGGCCAGTAAGTGACAAGACCTTGAAGTTCTGGGAAGACAGGTAGGGAAGTGGGCCAGCCCAACAGGGGAGAGGACACTGCCAGTATAGACTGCATGGTGGATCCACAACAAAATGTGGAACCTGAGCCAGGCGCCATGGCGCATACCTGTAATCCCAGTGGCTTGGGAGGCTGAGACAGGAGGATGCCCAGTTCAAAGCCAGCCTCAGCAAAAGTGAGGCATTAAGAAACACAGTGAGACCCTGTCTCTAAATAAAATACAAACTAGGTCTGGGGGTGTGGCTCAGTGGTCCAGTGCCCCTGAGTTCAACCCCCAGTACCAAAAAAAAAAAAAAAAAAAAGGAAGCAGGGAATGCCACCTTTTCTAATAAAAGGATCTTTGCAAATGCAATTACAAGAAGGATCTCAAGATGAGATTAATGGATTGAGTGTGGGCCCCTGCATCCAAGCTTCCAAGGAAAGATGTCCTTATAAGAGGAAAACAGGGAGATGTGAGACAGGCACAAAGAAGCTTGTGAGGGAGCAGAGACTGGAGTGAAGAGGCCCAAGCCAAGGAGGGCCCAGAGCCACCAGAAGCTGGGAAAGGCAAGAAGAATCCTTCCCTAGTGCCTTCAGAGGGAGAGAGGCCCTGCCAAGGCCTGTATCTGGGATTTTTGGCCTCCAGAACTGAAAGCAAATTTCTGCAGACTTGGGCCACTCAGTTTGTGGTGTTATCACAGACACGGGAACCTAATGCACTACCCTTCTTGCTGGTGAGTTCTGGGCTCTAACAAGTCCCTCAAAGTCAAGATCAGCTTCCTGTTACCACTGCTGTGCTGCTGTCAAGAAGCCAGTGGAGATGAGCCGCCTGGGTGGTTACCTGAGCCTCTGCCACCTGTGGAACAAAGAACTTCATTGAATTGCACTGCCTGTACAGAAACTGGCCAGATGGGGGTGGAAGGCCAGTAAGGCTGGAGAGACTACAGGAGTTTCCTCTCAGGACTCAGCCTGGAGCTCTCCAGTCCCCTGAGGATGACTTCACAGCCCTTGTATGTGATCCTCCTGCCCAGTATCGATTGTCCATCATCAAGGCTAGAGGTCAGCAGGACCCCTGGATCTATTTCAGAAAAAGTATGACTAAGACCTGGGAGGATCAGAATTTCCAAGGGTAAACAGAGGAGGGCCTCAGCCATGGCATCCTGATCCCTTATCAGGAAAAAATGATTAATTTTGGACATGGATTGAAGCATTCAAACTTGTCTTCATCCCTTCATCCCCATTTCCTTCCCCATGAGCAGCAGTCCTGCTTGCTGCCTGAACACCAGCCAGTTATCAGCACTGGGATGAGTTACATTCTCAAATAACCTTGCAAGAGGCTTCAGGGCTGGAGAGAAAGATGGAAGAAAGCCCCCAATTTACTTAAAAGGACTTTATGGTCAGACTTAAACGCTTTTCTTCCCCAAACCTAGGCTACTGCCCTGATACCCTTCTTTGGTCCCCAGTCCGGGCTCTGACTCACGCCTTCTGAATCTGCCCTTGTCTAGGCAAGGCTGTCCACTCACCTGTCCGCTGGCCCTGCGGCCCGCGGCCTCGGGAGGGTCAGTCAGAAAGGCGGTGACAGGAAAAAGTGCGGTGGTGGGGGCGGAGGGAAGACTGGCAGCGGCCAGGGGTCGCGGGGCGTGGGCGGCGCCAGCAGGTTGAAAGGCGAGGGTCGAGCAGGCAGCGGCGGTAGCGGCTGCTGCTGCGGCTCGTCTAACAGGGGCGGACGGCCGCGCGCGCCCACCGGCCCCGGCGCGGTGGCCATCGCGGCCTCGGGCAGCGGAGGTAGCGGCAGGTGCGCGGGCGGCGGCGCGGGCGCGGGCAGGCGCGGCAAGTCTTGCAGGGCGAGCGCCGCGGCGGGTAGCGCCGGCGCGCAGGCCTCCGGCGGCAGCTCCGGCAGCGTCAAGTGGTCTCCGGGGCCCCAGGGCGCTAGAGGCTCGGGTCGCAGCGGGAGTGCGGGCAGCGGTGGCAGCTCAGCCCGGGCGAGGGCCGAGGGCGGAGGGGCACTGGAGCTGAAGCCGGGCGGCAGGCCCGGTAGCGGTGGGTGCGGCAGGGATAGCGCAGGCGGCGGTGTAGGCGGCAGCGACGCGCGAGCACTGCCCAGCCGGGAGTGAACGCGGCCGCGGACTAGCCGCGGGTGTGAGCGGGAGCGGGGCAGCCGCGCCGCCAGCTTGGCTGCTGCAGTCGCCCAGGATCTGGCCCTCCCGCTGTAGCCTCGAACCCCGGGACCCTGGCCCGGCGCCGCGCAGAGGTCTGCCCAGGGAATCGGAGGGGCCTCCGCGCTCTATCCAATCAGAGGCCGGTGCGCTAGCTGCGCCCAGCATCTCTTCCACTAGCTGACTCAAACTGTGCTTGGCAGCCAATCAGAGGCTCAGAGCACTCCATCAAGTTCTATTTCCCGCCTTCCCGTAATCCATCCAATCATCGTGTCCCGTGGTGCCGCAGTCTCCGTCCCCATCGCTGAGACCTGGCGCTGCATATGCTCATTGGGCGCCCCCACCTGGCCTGAGGATTCGCTGAGCCACTGCAACCCACAGGTTGCATTCCCTGCTCATCAGCTGTGGCCAATTTGTAGAGTGTGTGGTTCTGTTGTTTATTCACAGTGACTCCAGAATGATACTTCTGGGTGGGTGCGTGGGTCAAGGTCTATGTAGATTTTCATTCAGTTAGTTTACAGAAAGACCATGATTCAAATGCAGAGTTCAGTGACAGGACTTAGCATTTGAGTTAAAAATTAATGTTAAGATGGATGAGACTCTGGTAGCTCCAGGAATAAAGGAGAACATGGTCAATCTATTCAAAGTTAGAATGTATAACCGGGCACAGTGGTGCACGCCTGTAATCCCAATGGCTCTGGAGGCTGAGACAGGAAAATAGTGAGTTCAGAATCAGTAACTTAGTGAGGTCTTAAGCAACTCAGCGAGACTCTGTTTCTAAATAAAATACAAAAAATGTCTGGGGATGTGGATCAGTGGTTAAGTGCCCCTGGGTTCAAGGTTCAATCTCTTGATTTTATATATATATTATTATTAGAAGAAGATTTCTAGGTTTTAAAGTTATATCACCCAGCTGGAGATGTAGCTCTGTGGTAGTACTTGCCTAATATGCATGAGGCCCTGGGTTTGATTTGATCCTGAGAAAGAAGGCTTGAGGGGAGGGTGGCTATCATACTGCCCTCACTGAAACAGTTTGCTTAGTGGCACTGTGAGCAGGTGATATCAACCTCTTCCCCAGAACTGCAAGCCTTGGAATGTGGTTCATTCTATGTTTTGGGGCAGGAAAAGACAAGATTATTTGAATATTTTACAAATTCACTGTTAGTGACTAAAATACCTAACCAGAACAACTCAGAGGAAGAAAAAGTGTTTTGGGTTTACAGTTTCCAAGGTCTCAGTCCATGGTCACCAACTCCATTGCTCTGGGCCTGATCTGAGGTAGATCATAATGGCCGAAGGGCATGGCAGCTGAGAGCTGTTCAGCTCAAGATAGCCAGAGAGCAAAGAGGGAGTGGGAGCAGTTAGGGACAAAATATATAATGCAAGGCAGACCCCACCTGCCTACAGTTAGAACCCAGTAATCCATTCAAATAATTAATCCATCAAATGGAATAATTCACTGAATAAGATATGAATCTCATATTCTAATCACTTCACCTCCTAACACAGGAGCTTTTGGGAGATAACTGCATATCCAAACAATAACAATCATTAATTCAGTGTAAAAAAAAAAAAGCCTATGAATTTCTTTTTTATATATTTATTTTTTAGTTGTAGTTGCACACAATACCTTTATTTTATTTATTTATTTTTATGTGGTGCTGAGGATCGAACCCAGGGCCTCTCATGTGCTAGATGAGCACTCTGTCACTGAGTCAGAGCTCCAGCCTATGAATTTCTAATTGAAAGCCTATGAATTTCAATTAGAGCAAATTGCATGTGCTGGATTTAGAGAAATCAGACTGGAATTCCAACAATGTTTACAGAAGCTCCTAACTGCTGGTTTATCCAAAACCTGGATAGTGTAGTGAGGTTTGGTCTATGCCTCAATCCCATTATTATAAATTATTCAATTAAAAATGAGCTGAGAGGGGCTGGGTGCCGGGTTTCTGTTCTCGAGACTAAAAGGCTCAGGGGTCACTCTAGTTAAACTGGGCTAACTGGGCTGCACGAAATAACCACACAAGAGACACAAATACCTTTTTATTTTTTTATTTATTTATTTTTTTAATATTTATTTTTTAGTTTTCGGCGGACACAACATCTTTGTATGTGGTGCTGAGGATCGAACCCGGGCCGCACGCATGCCAGGCGAGCGCGCTACCGCTTGAGCCACAGCCCCAGCCCCATATACCTTTTTATTTGGGGTTGCTGTGACGGCTCCTTTGACCTTAAGGGTCCGCAGAAAGAGAGAGCGAGAGCTCGCGCTGACCCCTTTTATTGAGGAGAAACTATTCAAATGAGGCAAGGGGTCAGGTTTCAGGGGCTGAGTCTATCTTCATGATGTCCACTGTCAGCAGGTTGACTGACACCTGGGTAGGCCACACCCAAGTGCACAGTAAGAGGAGGGGACACACACAAGGCACTTCCATGGAAGATTCTATCCTAAACAGGGCAAGGGGTTATATTACAAAGGAACAGGTGAGCATAGCTTCACCCATGGGGCTGTAGCAAGACACACCCATTTCTGTGACTGAGCGCCTCAGCACCTAGCTGGGGAGTGTAACTCAGTCACCTGTAAGGTTGGCCTCCCACAGCTGGGGTTGTGGCAGAGCACTCCCCTAGCATCCTCCCTAGAGGGGGGGAAGTGACCTCTACCCTGGGTGCCCTGGTATCCGAGCTCCCCCACACACACACCCAGGTTGGAAGGGCCTCCCTCCTAGAGGGGGGAGTGTCTTCTACCCTGGATGCCATGGTATCCCAGCTCCCCCCGACACCCAGGTTGGAGGGGCCTCCACCCTAGAGAAGGGGAGTGCCCTCTACCCTGGGTGCCATGGTATCTGAGCTCCCACACACACACCCAGGTTAGAGGGGCCTCCCTCCTAGAGGGGGGAGTGCCCGCAACCTTGGGTGCCCAGGTATCCAAGCTCCGCCCCCCAACACCCAGGTTAGAGGGGCCTCCCGGCTAGAAAGGGGAGTGCCCGCTACCCTGGGTGCCTTGGTATCTGAGCTCCCCCGCCAGAATGCCCAGGTTAGAGGGGCCTCCCCAATAGAGGGGGGAGTCCCGCTACCCTGGGTGCCGTGGTATCCGAGGTCCCCCCCCAGAACACCCAGGTTAGAGGGCCTCCCCCCTAGAGGGGGCAGTGCCCACTACCCTGGGTGCCATGGTATCTGAGGTCCCCCCCCAGGTTAGAGGGGCCTTCCAACTGGAGGGGGGAGTGCCTGCTACCATGGGTGCCATGGGATCCAAGCTTCTCCCCAACCCCCACACCCAGGTTAGAGGGGCCTCCCCCCTAGAGAGGGGAGTGCCCGCTACCCTGGGTGCAGTGGTATCCGAGCTCCCCCTGGACACCCAGGTTAGAGGGGCCTTCCCCCTAGAGGGGGGAGTGCCCTCTACCCTGGGTGCCCAGGTATCCAAGCCCCGCCCCCCCACCCAAGTTAGAGGGGCCTCCCCCCTAGCTGGTGGAGTGCCTGCTACCTTGGGTGCCGAGGTATCGGAGCTCCCCCCACACACACCCAGGTTAGAGGGACCTCCCCCCTAGAGAGGGGAGTGCCTGCTATCCTGGATGCCTTGGTATCCGAGCTTCCCCCCACCCCCGACACCCAGGTTAGAGGGCCCCCCCCCTAGATGGGGGAGTGCCCTCTATCTTGGGTGCTGTGGGAGCTCTGCAGGAGGAGAGATGGTGTAGGCACCCCTGCCTACCAGAGCTTGACTCCTGGGAGACCCCATCGCACCATGTCCTCAGAGGCCCACCCACTCCCAGACCCTTGGCTCCCACAAGTTGTTTCTTACTGCCTGCTTAGGGGGCTGAAGCTGCTGCTTTGGGGTCTGCCATACGACCAGCGCGGGCTTCATGAAAGAAGGTAGGTTCATAAGAAATTACTAGGGAGTTTTAAATTAAAGAGACAGACTGTCATTATCTTTAACACCAGCTCCTAGATGGCTTCTCCTAGCTCCCGCCTCTAGCCACCTAATGTTTATAGAAGAGACTAGCGATAGAGGGAGAGCATGCCAGGGAGTGAGCTTTTATTGCGGAACAAAAAAATTCCAGGGAAAAATCCCATCCAATGAAGGTTAAGGGGGGCAGCATCCCAAGGTCAAGGACAATGATTGAGTCTTCAGGTCAGTGGCCAGGCATGCCTCTGCACGGACAAGCCCTGGGACCTGGGAAAGGGTGGGAAATGCTTTTAACACAGCTGTGTTTAAGCACCTCTCACCCAGCCAGGGAGGTAACTCAAATCACGTGCCAGGATGGCCTCCCACATTGGGGTACACAAGAGCCTCCCCAGCAGGCCCTGGAGGAGATTCTAGTTATTCCAGCCCAGCCCCTGGGCTTGTCCCTTCCCCTTGCTCGGCTGCATCTTGACCCTTGGGTTGACTCACTATTCTTAAAGTCGTTGGCCTCAGGGAACCCTGGAGGAGGAGAGAGAACTTCAGAGAGAGAAAAGCCCTGGGCCCAGCACACCCATTCCCCACCCCAGTTCCCCGACTCCTGCCACACCTTGCTTTCAGCGGGCCTCCAGGGAGACCCCAGTGCCCAGAGCATCATTCCCATAACCAAAACCTGCAGGAGACAGATTGGAGGGTGGAGTCAGGGATGGCATGGGGAGTCAGGTGACCAACTTTTAGTGATAGGAAAGGTAGGCAGATTAACTCAGAACTCAGAGGCCACTTGGAGAGGGCTCATCTCAGCTACTCCACTGCCTGGTCTCTCCCACCGTCCTCGTCCAGGAACAAGAGTGCAACTTCAAATTCCGGCTGCTGCCTCTGGAAACCTCTGACTTCCCTCTGGGCAGCTTCTAAAGCTGCTCCTTCTTCTCCCATGACTTCAGACAGACCCTCACCTGACACAGGATCACTCACAGTTCCAGCCACCATTATGGCACAGCAGGTAGCAAATATGTGAAGGAAAATAAAAAAAGCAGCAGACACGAGAGAGGAGTAGAAGGGGGCTCGCCATAAGGGAGAAGCCAGCTCCACCTGAGGGTCGGGCCAGGAGGGCTCACCAACTTCCTGCAGCTGGAGGTCACCACCACCAAAGCCTGGGGGAGAGGAAGCTAAGGGCCAGGGATGGCCCAGCCTCTGCCTCCCCTCTTCCTGGGCAAACAGAAGGCAGGAGAGGTGGGGAGAAGGTGGAAGTGTGAGGGGGGAATCAAGGCAGGAGTGCATTGAAGAGCCTCCTCACCCTGTTCTGCTCCTGGTCCGGAGCCACTGGGAGGCTGGTAGCCTGTGAGGGGAATGGAAGTCAGTGATGGAAGACAGAGACTTCCCCTAACTCCTTGAGGAGCAAGTATGAACCTAAGGGACTCTGAGAAGGAAGAAGGGAATCTCCCTATCCAGAGACAACAGAACCAGGGGGAAAGAGCTTAGAAAATAGCAAGAGGGATGGAAGATCCATTCTAGGAGGGACTCCCTAGCCTTAGGTGCCTAAACAGAAGGATTGGGAGTTTGAGGCCAACTTCAGCAACTTAGAACCTGTCTCATTAAAAAAAAAAAAAAAAAGCGATGGAGGAGGACCCTGATTTGGCTTGGAGACAGGGGCTGTAGGCCCAGTGGAGGGTTTGTCCCTTTGAGAAGTGGGGCCTGAGGGCAGAGAGACTTCTACCTGCTTTCTGAGGTTTTAAGCCCCACTGGATAGCTGGGGTTGGTGCTAGGAAGAAAGTTGGGGTGGGAGGCAGGAGCAGGAGTGAGCCTAGCACAGGGCTTGAGAAGGCTGCAGCCTGCCATGGGCCAGGGGACAAAGGCAGACGCCCAGGACCAGAGCCAGGTTTTTCCTCAGCTGATTCAGTGTGTGAGAAGTCACTGCCTTGGTGTCAGCTGACATGATAGAGCAGGACACAGAGCCAAGCCCAGGCCCTCCCAGGACAAGTACCTCCCTGTGGCCCCCCACGTCAGTCATATTCTACACTGACCTGGGAACTTGCCATTCTGCACTAGGGGAGAGGGCTGGGATTCCTGGCTCCAGCCACCCCCTTTATCTGAAGGAACTCCTGGAGTGGGAGGCCTGGGGAGGAGCAGTGGAATGACTCCCCCACTGCAAGGACCTAGTGGGGGGAAGGGAAGAGAGAGGGGAGTGAGCTCCAGGCATCTGTGCCATAGGCTGCCCAGGAGGCTCAGGCCAGACCAAGCCACCAACCTGCGGTGGCTGCTAGGTAGACACAGCATCCAAGGGGAGACCTCTGCCAGGCTGGGGAAAGCCTAGTTCCAAGGGTCACACAGGCCAAGAGCTCCTGCGGTCTGCCCACCCTACCTGTCATCCCCCAAGGGCCCATTCAGTGGCCTCACCTGGCTGGGTCGACAGCCCATTTCCATTGCCATATCCTGGAGGAGAAAAGTAGGAAAGTGAGGGTCAGGATGGGGGTGGGGTCTGGAGCAGGGGCAGGAGAGGCATAGGACGGAGATGGGTAGTTTCCTCACTTGCCTGGCTTCCAAGCTTTCATGCCCACACCCAGGGCTGGAGAAGCCAGAGGCCTGTTCAGACCAACAGCCCCTCCCTAGGAGTGAACCCTCTGCCTCTTTCTCTCTTCCCTGCTGAGGCCCCCTGCACTCACCTGGTGGGAGCTCCTGGCCATTCCCTGGTGTGTACCCTGGGAGGAGAACAGGCCATGAGGGAAGGGGCTGATATAGGAGAGTCAGGAAGAGGAACAGAAATGGACTTACCTGGTTCGAATGGCAGATAGGCAGATCTTGTCCCTCCCCAGGACTACCTTGCCCCTCCTTCCCTTCTCTTTACCCTCTCACCTGACTGGACCCCTTTCCCCAGGAAGCCTCCTGCGCCCAGCCCATTCCTGTACCTGTGGAGTCAGGTGGGCTGGGGAGGGCTAGGGCCTTAAGGGCAGTGGGCAGTTTCTGAAGGTAGAGAGAAAGGGCTTACCTGGCTTCTGGGGCTGCGTGCCTTCCCCAATACCTAGAGAAGAGATGGAGAGGAGGTGAGGGACCCAGGATGCCCCCACTATGGGCCTCTCCTCCATATCCCTGGAACCTTCTTGTGCCCAACCATGCCCACCTGGCCCAGAGTTATGGGAACTGAAGAGCCTGGGTAGAGGGAGAAAGACTAAGGTGCAAAATGGCCCTCAGACAGGGCCTGGGACCCACCTCCCTTCTCCTGGCCACGCCCCCAGCCTCTCCCAGCCTCTCAGTACCTGCTCCATAGACACTCTGAGCTGGGGGACCTATGAGAGGGAGGGATAAGCAGGGCATTGATACCCCAGCTAAGTTGGGGCAGGAATAGCTTGTGGTTCCCCCATTCAGGGTCATTACACAAACCAGAATCCTGGAGAAACCCCTGGACATCCCTTGGGAGGTCTGGAAGGAGACAGTAACAGGGTACCCCAGACAGAAACCCCCTCACTGGTCAGTTGGGCCCCCAGCCCATTCCCATTCCTGTATCCTAGGGCAGAGTTGGAGGTAGGTGTGAAAGAGGGAAAAAAGGTTTGGGGGAGGCAGAGAGACTGGCTAGAACAGAGCTCACCTGATTTCTGAGGCTTTGCACCCCCTCCATAGCCTGGAGGAGAGACAGGGACCAGGTGAGGACCCTAGATGAGGTTCCCGTCTCTGGCCTCCCCACAGCCTCAGCTCCACCCCTACCTGGTCCATGGCCATTTGGAGCTGCAGAGCCTGTGGAGAAGAGGGAAATGCAACAGCTGGGCCTGGGTGATGAGGCCAGGACTAGGGTCACTTGGTGTCTCCCTAATTCCCCTCCCAGTGACCCTTGCTTCCCCCACAAATTTCCTTCCACTCATGAAGCAGGAGTGAGGGTACAGACCCAGCTTAGTTTGTTTATTGCCAAGGGCAATGGGGACAGAGAGAAAAGGGACAAGGCTGCTCTCCCACCTGGCTTCTAAGGTTTCACCCCCACTCTGAGAAGTAGGGAAGGAGAGAGATGCTAACATGTGTCTAGCCACCTCTTCTCAAGCCCCTAACTGGCCCCTGTCTCTGTCCCCAGCTCTTCTCTCTGCCTGCCCCACCTCCCAACACCACCTCAGGGCCAAGGCCCAGCAGCCCTTACCTAGGCCAGCTCCCATTCCGTTTCTACTGCCGTAACCTGGGGGAGAAACAGGAACAGGCTTGGGGTTGGTGTGGGGGATTCAGGAGGCAGTCACAGAGACAGGTAGGGGCTAATTGAGGGCACCTTCATCTGGCTCTGAGACTTCAGGCCCCCCAGGCCTCTGTCATCCCCTCACACCCATGGCCCTGGTGATCCCTTACTTTCTGCCCTTCCTGTGGAGACATGGAGGCTGAGCTCAGGGCCAGACCCCCAACTGCTACAATCCAAGCAGGCTCTGCCCTCCTGGTCCCTGCCCTCACCCTCTAGGGGGCTCTGTCCAGGTCTTTTCACCTGACTGGGCTCTTTTTGCAAGGAAGGCCCTGGTTGCCAGCCCATTCCCATGCCCTAGAGAGAGGGAGGGAGCTGTGGTGGGGCACTTATGGCTTTGGGGGTGCATGGACGGAGATGACCCAGCAAGACTCACCTGGCTTCTGGGGCTTCATGACCCCTCCAAAGCCTGGTGGAGACATAGTTGCAGGTAAGCGTCCTGGGGTCCCATATCAGTTTCCCCATTCCCTACTCATCCCTGTCCCTACCTGTTGTGAATCTGTTCTGGACTGTCAGGCCTGTGCAAAGAGGAAGGGGGAACTTGGGGTCAGGTTGAGGTGAAGGTCCCCCTCTTGGCCAAAGCTAGAGCCTTGGAGTTCTTGAGCCTTCCTCCTAGACCCCTAAATTTCTCACTGACTGCCCTCCTGAGGTCCAGGATGGGAGCAGTAGGCTGCCAGACCTCACCACTCACCTGGCTGGGCTCCAGCCCATCACCATTACCCCTGGGAGGGGCAGGTGGGGTGGAAAGAGAGGGGGAAGAGAGCTCTGAACTTTGGCAGAAACACAAGCAGGAGTGAGCTCACCAGCCATCTGAGGTTTCACACCCTCTCCAAAGAGTCAGGGGAAGGGGGAAGGTGAGGCACCCAGGAGAGACCATCTCAGAGCCACCCCAGAACCCTAGCATCCTGGTTCCAGCTTCTCCCAGCCCCTTGGTACCTGCTCTGTAGCCATTCTGAGCTAGGGGCCCTGTGGACATAGGAGGGATGAGCAGGGGGCAAAGGACCTATGGTGCCCTCTTCAGAGTCAGACCAGAAACCATGGATTCTGGAGACCACCAACCCTGCACCTCTGAGGCCTGGGGGGCAGAGGCTGTGGACATGCAGGCCCCACCCCCAGACCCCACCCAGTACCTGGCTGGGCTGCCAGCCTGTGCCTGTTCCTGAATCCTGGGCCACAGAGGGAGGATTGTGTGAATGAGGGGAGGGAAGTCGAGGTATGGGGGAGGCAGAGAGACTGGCTAGGGCAGGGCTCACCTGACTTTTGGGCCTTCATGCCCCCTCCATATCCTGGAGGGGAGACAGGTAGCAGGTGAGGGCCCTGGCGGTCCCCATCTCTGGCCTCCCTAGAACCCTGGAACTGCTCCTACCTGGTCCGTAACCATTTTGAACTATAGGTCCTGGTGGAAGGAGAGAAAGGGGCTCTGAGGATCTCAGCCTGTCTCTGAAGTCCTACCCCAATGCCTGGCCCCTCCAGCTCTACTCCAGCTGCCACTCCTGACCCTCCCCAACACCCATCAGGCCATCTGTGGTCCAGGGTAGTGTGAGAAGGTTGGGGAGACACATGGCTTATAGGGTCCCCACACCCTTGTTTTTGCTACCTTTTTCTCACACATCCCTGGTGGCCTCCAAGTGGCCACATCCAATGTGCCCTTGATGCTCCCCACCATTATCCTTCCTGGACCTCTGCCACCCCTCACTTTCTGGTCTTCCCTTCTGTTTCTTAGGCCCTTTCTAGGTCCCTTATTCTGCTCATTCCCTGGAAGGTGATGGTCCCCAGCCTTCTGTGGTGGGCCCTTGACAGCCCCTCTGGTATCCCAGATGACATATCCAACTTCCTGGTTCATTGAGTGTCACTACCACCCATTGACCAGCCAGAAAAGTGGCCTCCCCTCATTATGACTAGCTCCTGCCACATGCACCTGAGCTATTTCTAGAGCCTGTATCCTTTTTCTATGGGCCTCTCTTCAGTGCCCCGTCAAGCCCTCACCAATTTTTCAATGTGCCTTGGCCACCTCTCTCCAACTTGGCTGTGGCTCCCTCTTTCCCAAATTCTGGGGACACAGAGTTCCCAGGCAGCCCTCATGGGCAGCCTTGGCCTGTACTGTATTCCACATTGTCATTCTGTCTGCTTCCCCAGTGGGCTCTGGGTTCTGAGAGGACCAGTTCCAGCCCTGGCTGGCACAGAACAGGTGTGGTCCATGGGTTGGTTTGTTGAATGAATGCTTGTTGCATGAGAAGAAGCTAGGTGGTGAGGGGTTGGGCCTTGCCTGGCTTCTGGGGTATTAACCCTCCCACAGGTCTGGGGAAAAGGAGACTGTCATGCCTCTGCATCAGCACCCCTACTATGGAAACCCCATGCTCCCACAACCACAGTGCCTCACCTGGCTGGGCTCCAGCTCCTGGGAAGGCCACAGCTTCCAGTCCATTCCTGACTCCAAATTCTGGGGACACAGAGCAAAGGAGCATAAAGGGAGATCCAGGACCTTGAGGAGGGCAGTGCAGGTAGATAAAGTAAGACAGAGACAGGCCCAGTGATGGCCTTACCTGGCTTCTGGAGTTTTCCACCCCATCCAAAGCCTGGGGGAGAGACGAGCAGGTGAGGGGTTTTTTGTGTCTGGTACTCCTGCCAGAAACCCAGCCTTGGGCTCCCCTCCACCATCCCATCCCTTATTTACCTGCTCCAAAGCCACTCAGAACTGCAGAACCTACAAAGAAGGGTAGACACAGGAAATCAGAGTGGCACCAAGGTGGGAATATGGCTAGGACTGGCCAGCCTCTGGCTTCCTCTGCCCTTCACCCTGGACCTGCCTCTCACTCTGGATTTTCTCCCAATCCTGACCATGGTCTGCAATTGAATATTTGGTTCTTGGCCTGTGGGGTGGGCCCAGTGGGTCCAGACATGGACAGGTGTGAGAAGGTGGGGGAGACACATGGCTTGTAGGCTCCCCAGGCCCTTCTTGCTTTTGCTACCCATCCAACCCTTTTCTTACACATCCCTGGTGGCCTCCAAGTGGCCAAATCCAATGTGCATGCCATCCACAGGCCTCAGCCAACTTGGTCAGGGATGTGCTCTGGAGATTGATTGGGATTGATTGGGTGAATCTCTAGAACCCTAGAGATTAGTCTAGAACCCTAGCTGGGAGGTCCCGCCTCTCCCTCCTGCTCTTACCTGGCTGGGCCCCCAGGGCATTTTCATTGGCAAATCCTGGAAGGAAAGTGGTATGTAAGGAGAGGATTAGGGAGGACTTGGTGGAGGTGGGACAAGGCCATAGATGGGTGAATGGAGCCAAGGAGGAGGCAGGGAGATCAGGTCTCTGCTCACCTGATTTCTGAGACTTCATGCCTCCTCCCAGACCTAGGGGAAGATGCAGAGGGGCTGAGCCATGTTGGTTGGTTGGCAGATCCCACCCAACCCACTATTCTTCCCCCAGAAATCAAGTTTCTAATCTCTCAGGTCCTGACTTCCCCTAAGTCCGCCTCTTCCCTCCTCCCTTACTGGCTGGACTCCAAGCCCATTGCCGTTGCCAAACCCTGGGAGATGGAGCAGGAAAGAGGCAGGGGAGGCCTGGCCAAGTACATGAGGGGTAGCAGACAGGTACGTTGGGACAGAGCAGGGAGCACCTGACTTTTGAGGTTTCACACCTGCGTCAATGCTTAAGAGAGGGAGTCCTGAGGTAAGGGAGCCCTGAGCCCTGAGCCCAGACCCCCTTTCACCCCACCCTCCCCTACCAAGTGCATGGCTGTTCTGAGGCAGGGTCTGTGAGGAGAGAGAGACAGAGGCTGGAGCCAGGCCAGTGTGGGCCAGGCCATGGTGGTTTATTTTATTTTTTATTTATTTTTTTTTTATTTTAGAGAGAGAGAGAGAGAATTTTAATATTTATTTATTTATTTTAGTTCTCGGCGGACACAACATCTTTGTTTGTATGTGGTGCTGAGGATCGAACCCGGGCCACACACATGCCAGGCGAGCGCGCTACCGCTTGAGCCACATCCCCAGCCCCCATGGTGGTTTAGATAGTTCTTGTGGTGTCCCTGTCTCAGGCCTTTGTGTGCCATGTCCCCAGCAGCTCTTGCCTCTGGGAGCATGACTACCAGGCAGCTTGGAAACCCCTCCCTAGTCCCAAGACCACATCCCAAACTCTGGAAGGGCATCAGCAAGCCAATGAAGGGACCTGAAACACAGTGGCAGAGATGGGGACGAGGAGAGATGGGGGCACAGAGACAATACAGCAAAGGCAGGGCCCTCTGCTCCCCTGCCTTCGGAGGTCTTGCACACCCTCCCAGGCTGGGAGAGACAGAAAGAGTTTGACATTGATATTGACCCCAACTACCCCCTCCCCAAAAAATAAAAATGGAGAATTTCTTTCTTTTTTCTTTTTTTCAGTACTGGGGAATGAATCCCCAGTATTCATTGGTAGGATGCTCTACCACTGAGCCACATCTCTGGACCTTTTAAAATTTTTATTTCGAGACAGGACCTTGCACAATTGCTGGGGCTGTTTGTAATTTGCAATCCTCCTGCCTCAGCCTTCTGAGTCACTAGGATTAGGCCTGTGCCACCACACCAGGTGAGGATGGGATCCTGCACCCTCCTCCCCTGTGCCTTCCTGAGCCCTACCTCAGCTACCCTCATCTGGCAGGGTTTCCGCTCCTGGAGAAGCATGATTGCCCTCAAAGCTTGGAGAGAAAGTGAGGGCTGTAAGGCTTGGGGTGTGCTGACGAGGGGGGGCATAGACAGAAATGAGCAGGATGGAGTCAAGACATGGGCAAGGCAGGGCTCCCCTGCACCTGGCTTTGGAGGTTTCCCAACTGCTCCCAGGCTTGGGATAAATGCCCTCCCTCCACCACCCAACTCTCTCCCCTCCGGGTCCCAGATGTCCTTACCAGGCAGGGCTCCCACCCCTGGGAAGGCTCCAGCTGCCATCCTAGTTCCATATCCTGGGAGGCAGAGCCAGAGGGAAGAATAAGGAAGGGACTAGAGCTTCAAAGGGAGAGAGACAAAGGTGGCGAGAGCTTGAGAGAGGACAGGCATGGAGCAGGCTCTTACCTGGCTTCTGGGGCTTCATACCCGCTCCAAAGCCTGGGGAGAAAAATGAGAGATGAAGGGAGGCCAGAGACCCAGCCTCCTTCCCAGAGTCCCCGTTCCATAGCCATTCTGAGCTAAGAGCCTGGGGGAAGTGGGGGTATCTGGGTCCCTGCGGAGGACCTGTTTTCCCCTCCCCACTGGACATCAGAAACCCTGAGTCCCCTCTTGCCCACTTTCTCTAAACCACCAGTTTTTCCTTCCTTGAGGCCTGGGACCAGCCACACCCCCAGAACCACCTCACCTGGCTGGGCTGCAGCACCTGGAATGGGTCCTGCTCCCAGCCTATACCTGTTTCCATACCCTAGGGAGACAGGGCAAGGGGGAGTCAGGAAGAATGTGGGAGGTTCACAGAGGTGTGGGGGGACAGGCAGTGTCTGCGGCAGACTCACCTGGCCTCTGAGGTTTCACACTCCCTCCAGTGCCTGAGAGGGATGAGGATCAGCTGATGGTCTCAGAAGCCCCCCTCCCAGGAACATCCCTCTAGTTCTGGCTCCAGGCTGCCCCCGGTCCCACCTCTACCTGCTCCATAGCCCTTCTGAGCTGGAGGGCCTGCGAGGAGAAGGGGACATGAGCTGGAGATGTGGGGGGTCCCAGCTGAGGTTGGACCAAGCCAGAAACCAGCACACCTGAAAGTCTCCCTGTCCCCACAACTATTCAGTGCTGTCCCTCTCTTCTGAGGACCCCCTGGGGGTGACCCCTGGACTCCCCACTCTCACCTGGCTGGGATCTTAGCTGGTTCCCCTTCCCAAATCCTGAGGAGACAGATTAAGGGGGGGTATGAGAGAAAGATGGGGAGAAAGAGAGCTGAGCCAGAGCAGGGCTCAACTGCATCCTCACATTTAGCACCCCCTCTTTTTTTATTTATTTTTGATACCAGGGATTGGATCCAGGGGCATTTTACCATAGAGCCACATACCCAGCATTTTTTTTTTTTTTTTTTTTTTTTTTTTGAGACAAGGTCTCACTAAGTTGCTTAGGGCCTCACTAAATTGCTGAGGCTGGCCTTGAATTTGTGATCCTTAGTCTCCCATACTGCTGGGATTATCGGCTAGCGCCCCCTCTGAAGCCTGGGGGAGAAACCCAGGAGCCCCTGAGTCAGGGGCTCCCCAGAACCCCACCTCTGGGCCCACAGCCATTCTGAGCAACAGGCCTTGGGGACTCTGCTCAGATCAGAGAAAGGTAGAGTGTCACTTGCCAGCGGCCTCTAAGCAAACCCTCCCTCCTTCCTTCCTTCCTTCTTCTCAGCTTGGGGACAAGAGGAGGTCAGTTCTGTCCCCTTAGGTTTCTAAGATGATTGCCTGCCCGTCTCCTCTTTCCCAGCTGGGAGGGAGGAAGCATCTTGCCCCTGTTCCTCAGACTCCCCATCTCTTGACCTGGTCCTCACCTGCTCCCAGCCCACTGGAGGTGCCGTTGCCTGTGAGGGAAATGAGAGGTTGAATCCAGCCTGGCAGGAGAGGCAGGAACTGGGGTGCAGTGCACCCTCCTGGAGGACAGGGAGTAGCCTGCCCTGCCCACCCCTCAGTCTGTGTTACCTTGTCGGTAGCCATTGGGGCTCCCAAAGCCTGTGGGATCAGGGAGAAAGTGGGTAACTTAGGAAGGCGCAAAGAGGGACAAATGTGCACGCCACCCCTCCCTCTCTGGGGCTCAGTTGCCTGCTGGTCACAGGAGGGGTAAGGACAGAGAGCCAGGTAGGCAGTCTGATGGCAGATGAGCTGAAGCTGGGGTCCCTGGATATGGAGGAAGGTGTTTAAGCCGTATCTCTGAGGGGCTGGGGGACAGCCCATTTTGCCCTTTTCCTCATCAGTTCGTATACTTCTCCCCTCCAATCTTAGTTTTGAGGGTCTCATTCCTTTTCTTTCTTTCTTTCTTTTTTTTTTTTGGCGGGGTGGGGGGGTACTATGGATTCAATCCAGAAGTACTTTGCCATTGAGCCACATCCCCAGCACTTTTTATTTTTTATTTTGGGACAGGATTTCACTAAGTTGTTTAGGGCCTAAGTTGATGAGGCTGACCTTGAATTTTAAACCCTCCCCCATAAGCCTCCTGAGTTGCTGGGAGTACAGGCATGTGCCACCGTGCATTGCAGTTCTTTGGACTCTCCTCCATTCCTGGAACTCTCACCACCCCCTCCTGTCCCAAGCCCCTCCACCTCTCCCTTGGCACCTTGAATGCACCATGGCTCATGGAGCACCCCCATCCACCCTTAGCACCCCAGAAGTGAAGACCTGTCCATGACACTAAGCCCCACTCCCCCAGCCCCTGAGCTTCTGAAGCTTACCTAGTCCCTCTCCTGTCCCAATTGCCTCTTGGGGACATGCCACCCCTCTCCTGTCACAGCCTGCCCTCAAGACCAGCTTCAAATAACTTTGCCATGTTCTTAGAGGAAAAAAAAAATCCCAACTCTTCAGAGCCCAAGGTGTCTGTATTCTCTACCCTTGAGCTGACCGTTGATAGTACTGCTGCCAGGAAGACAGGGAGGGGCCCCATGCTTTCCTGGGCCCCACATCTGGAGTCCCAGAGCTGGGTAGCACCTGGGGCCATCCCCAGAGACCTCCCAGACCCCATGGAATGGGAGAGATGGGCCCTATCCCCCGACTAAGAGTGGCTTCTTAGCTTTCTGTGGGCCAGGAGGGAGTAGGAGCAGCCCTAGGGGAGGAGGGGGCTGCTGCTCAGGGCTGGCCCCTGGCCGAGGGGGAGCAAGACCAAGGCTTCGGTCCCTCAGTCCTTGAATCTCCCATCCAAACTCCCTGTCACCCAGGCTTCTCATACTCTGACCCTTGCTGGCTCTGGAACCCCAGCATCTAGCCCATGCCCTACTTGACCTGACCCCCAGCCCCAATTGCAGCTGCCCATACCCTCCCCTCCCCTCCCAGCCACCTAGCCCTCACCGCCTTGTAGGCTCTCAGAAGTCAGGCAGAGAAGGAAAAGGGCCGCGAGGAAGGCCCAGGTGCCCATGATGCCAGGGAGTGAGAAGGCTTGGCACCCTTTGGAGCTTTAAACACCCTTGTTGTGAGAGGCAGAGACTCTGAAGACTCCAGGAGGCCAGCCCCCCTGCTTCTCCCCCTCAGCAAGCATCTAGCCCCCTGGCCCTCCTCCAGGCCCTACCCCTCATCCATCATGGGTGCTGACAGGAGAGGCCTCCCACCTGGCCCCCCAGGCTCCTCCACCCTATCAGTGACTTGGGTCCTGGCGCCAGGCCTGGAGGACTCACATGTCTCCCCCACCTGCCCCACATTGGCAGCTGGTAAGGGCCAGGGTGACACCCTAGGCCCAACCCAAACACAGCTGGGGACAGGGTGGGAGCCAGAACCAGAAGTGTGGGCATGTCTGTCAGGGAAGCTGCCGAAAGAGTTACTGTGTTACCCAGAGAAAGGGGCAGTGACAGAGTGTTTCAAACTCTTCAGGGAGGCAACAGTGTATCAGATGCCCAGCTAAGGGCAGCCATGGCCACAAGAGTTCAGCTGCTCTCTGGTCTGATCTGAGACTACATAGACCGCCTCAGGAGACCAGGACACACAGACACCGGTTACCCCACGCTCAGCTTGTCTGAGTCCTGCTGTTTCCTTCCCTGCCTTCCTTCTCTTTCTTTCTTTTTCACTCTGGGGATTTAACCCAGGGTACTCTACCACTGAGTTGCAGACTCAGTCCTTTTTAATTTTTTCCCCACTAAAATTTTCCAATCCTCCTGCTTCAGCCTTCTCAGTGGCTAGGATTGTAGGTGTGTACCACCATGCTGGGCGAATCCTGCTGTTTCTGGACCTCAGGCCCAGGCCCATCCCTAGGTGGGCCTCCCTCCTGTCTTACCTCAGCTGTCAGCACTGACTTTAACCTTGGGGAACAAACTCAGGGTCCATTACTTAGAATGTGTAGCACTGGCTGCAGCCCTCATTCTTGGAGGAGGTTGGAAAGAGGGGCCTAGAGCCAGGCTGACATAGAGAGCCTGGCAGAGCGAGAAGTACAGAGTACACAGCAGAGGCAAACCCTGGAAGAGCTGGGGTGGAGTGGAGGTGCCCCCAAGGAGTCTGTGGACCCCACTGAGCTGGCAGGGGATGGCATTGCTCAGCCCCCAGCCCATAGACCAAGTCCAGAGGCCCCACACCCTGTCTGCTCAGCCCATCCCCGGGCCAGCCTGCCATGCCTGGCACACTGGCTGAGGAGGCACATGTGCCCAACCTGGCAGCCAGGCAGGAGGATGTCTGGAGAATGGCTACAGTGAGGAAAGGCCTCGGGGGAGTCCTGAAGCACGAGGCTCCTGAGCCTGCCTCCTCTACGGGGTTCATTCTGCTGCCGGTAGATGGCAGGGCTAGTGCCAGGCACCCCTCACCCACAGACCAGCCCCAGCACTGAGCTGGTCCTTCACCTCCTCTCTGCCCCTCACTCTGAGCTGTACCCGACTGTGGCTCTGTCCCTGACCAGGAGGCTCCCACCCAGGGCTGACACCCACCAGAGTTCATGTGGCCATGCTTATACCCCTCACAGACCCACCTTTTAAAAAAGAAATTTTTTTATAGTTGTAGATGGACAGAATGCCTTTATTTTATTTGTTAATTTTTATGTGGTGCTGAGGATTGAACCCAGTGCCTCACGCGAATCCCAGTGCCTCACACCTGCTAGGCAAGCGTTCTGCCACTGAGCTACAGGCCCAGCCCACAGACCACCTTTGTACCAGGCCCCCTGTGGGTTCAACCTCAGCCATAGCCTCAGCACAGTACCTCACATGCCCTCCTCCTGTCCTGCTTGCTGTCCAGGAGGCTGAACTTTCCATAGTTATGGGGAGGGACCACTGCATAAGAGCCCAGGGCAGTTGGAATGATGTACTAGAACTCCCTGGGGACTTTCCTGCCAGGCCACTGCGCTGTGGCTACAGGCACTGGTTCCCTAGTCTCCCCATGAAAGGCAACTGAATGGCCTGGTGGTTAGCAGAAGCTGGGCCCTGGGTTCAGGTGGTGTGCAAATACCCACGAGATCCGTTCAGGGACCTTGGGTAGGAATCTGGCCTTTCTGAAGCTGTCACTCTCCTCTGATATGAAAACAGCAGGAGCACCAGGGATTGGGGGCTATTAGGACCAATCCTCGTTTTACACATGGGGAAACAGGTAGGGAGGGGAAAACGGTATCTGCCTCAGACGGCACAACTCCTAAGTGATGGGGCTGGAGTCTGAACCTGGGCAGTCCAAGGGCCCCCAGGTCCAGCTCCCCTGCTCTCTGTCATTCCACACTCTTAAAAAAAAAAAAAAAAAAGAAAAACATTTATTTTTTAGAAGTAGTTGGACATAATACCTTTATTTATTTATTTATTTAAAGAGAGAGAGAGAAAATTTTAATATTTATTTTTGGTTTTTGGTGGACACAACATCTTTGTTTGTATGTGGTGCTGAGGATCGAACCCTGGCCGAACACATGCCAGGCGAGCGTGCTACCGCTTGAGCCACATCCCCAGCCCCATAATACCTTTATTTTATTTATTTATTTTTATGTGGTGCTGAGGCTCAAACCCAGGGCCTCGCACTTGCCACACTTGCTGAGCCACGATCCCAGCCCCTCATTCCGCACTCTTCTGGGCAGGCTACAGGTCCAGTGTGCCAGTCTGCTTCAAACTTGGGAGAGCCAAGGACCCCCTGTGCAGACCCAGACACCCAGACATGTAGACACCCAGGGCTCCCGCAGGGTGGCAGGGAATCTTGGCCCAGGAGGAGGCAGGCAGGAAAACTGGTAGGGGCCATGCAGGAGGTGCAGACTGAGTTCCTGCTTGGCCACTGCCAGGCTGCCTGGGTGCTGGCATGGGCCTGTGGAAAATGCCTCATGGCTCCATGGGCCAGCCTGAGGGCTGCGTAGGACCTGCAATACCACAATTCCTGCCCCCGGCCCCCTGCAGTCAATGCCCTGGCTCACTCCCAGCTCCACCCTGGCAGAGCTAGCTTGAGAACACACGGACTAGAGGGCCAGGGAATCCCTGAAAGAGCCCTGGCCTGGGTGACCCAGTACCCTGGCCTAAGGGGGACAGAGTCTAGCCTCTGAACAGAGGAGCAATGTTGAGGGGCTAGGGTGGGAGCCAAGGGCAAAGAGACAGCTGGGCTGCAGGAAGTGCGGGATCAGGGTTCTGGAAGTGCATTCCCTAAGATGGCACAGCCAGTGTTAAGGGACTCCCAATCAGCTGCTTGACCTCAGCAGCACCTGTGAGGATGTGAATCTGGGAGGACAGCTGGGGGTGGGGGCAGCCAGGCGCCTGTGGGCAGACACTTCTGCGCCCACAGCTGTGTTGTTGGCCCCTTGGATCACCAGCTCCTCTGCTCTGGGTAGCTCTTTAGCCCAAATCTGAGCTTCAGCTTTTCAGTTGCTTCTAGGACGCCCTTGGAGCAGTCCCCAGGCACTCACACTGTGCAAAGCTGACCCCCATTAACCCCTTCTCCCCACCCACCTGCCTTACGCAAAGGGTAAAACTTTATGCAAGTGTAAAACACGGCATTCATAGAGAAGAGCACAGAAGACGTAAATGCACAACATGGCGAACACCATGCAACCACAAAGTGGCAGTTCCCCAGAAGCGCCATCACAGCCATCTCTTCCTCGTTAAGTTCTCCACGTTTCCATTTGAGGTCGTCGTTTCCTCACCTTTCTAGCGTCCCTGTGAGAGTGAGCTCGCCTTTCTGGGAGAGTATGGGCGGGGCCCGCTTCTGGGTGTTGTTGCGGCTGCCGGACGCACGGGGGCGAGCGCGGCACTCTCCTGGAAGTGCAAACGCGACCCGGGAATCCGGTCTGAATTTTTCCTCCGCGACAGAGGCCCCTCCCAGCGCTTTGGCTCAGAGCTCGGTGGGCTGTTATGTCTCTGTGAGCCCTGGCTGAGTGGGGAGTATTGGCCCTTTTCCTCCAGAGGCTTCCTTTTGTCCCAGAGAGCTGCCTTGAAAAATGCCAAACACCACACAGGAGCGAGCGCCCCCCCCCCCCGCCCCGCGCGTGTGCGTGTGCTTGTGCTTGTGCGTGTGTGTGTGTGTGTGTGTGTGTGTGGTGTTTTGCTGCTATGAAAAAATGAGTAGGCCGCGGGCTAATCACTTCACGTGCATTTTCTCAGCTAGTGCTTATTTCCCCCAAGGAGACAGAAGCTGTTATTATTATCCCATTTTACATTGGTGGAGGCTGGCAGAGTAGGATTGGATTGCAGTCCTGAATTCCCTGACAACACAGCCTGACCGTTTATCTGCTAACTGTGCTTATTTATATTATTTTGCATTTATATTATTGCCCTTCTCCACACAGTAAAATGTCCATTAGAAACATGCTGTTGAATTAAAAATATTTCTTGTTTATTTTTTAAAGTGCCAGTGATCAAATCCAGGGCCTGGCTCATGCTGTAGGCAAGTGCTATACCACTGAGCTACATCCAGACTTTTTTATTTTTATTTTTTAAAATTTGGGACAGGGTCCCCATTAAGTTACTCAGGCTGGTCTGAAACTTGCAATCCTCCTGTTTCAGTATCCCTAGTGGCTAGGATAACAGGCGTGCACCACGGACACTCAGTCTTATTTTTATTATTTTATTTTATTTTTAAAGATAGTCTCCCTATGTTGCCAGGTTCCTGAGCTCCCCCAGTGTCTGGGCTCAAGCCATCCTCTGGCAGCAGCTTCCAGTGTCATTGGGATTGCAGGCATGCATCACCGTGGCTGCTATTTTCTGTTTTTAAATCATTGTGAATCAAACTTTGAGGAACTGGAAGTTGGAAGGGGGCCTGCCCTGAAAGTGGGCTGGCAGAAATAGCCCTCCACAGCTGAAGGCCTACTTCCTAGGCCCCCTGGGGACAACCCAAGGACCTCAAAAGTTCCAGTTTGATCACAGCCATGGCTGCCAGAGATTCTAAGGCAAAGAATGGGTGCATGGAAGTGGGCTGCAGCCCCCAGCTCTGGGCGTTGGGCCTCACCAGGTACTAGGCCCTCTCCCAGTGCTGTTCATACCCAGGAGTGTTCAATGACAGCACAAGCATTGAATGGTCTGGCAGCCCTGTAGTTTATGACTTTTCAGACTTGGGGCAGGGGAAGGTTGGAGGACTGGTTCTGGTGACAAGAACTAAGAGGAGATGTGTTGAGAGCCACAGCCAAGTCAGAATGACGCCTGGCATATTGCCAGAGGGAATGGTTGAAAGGTGATGCCAGCGAACTATTGAGATGATGATTTGAGTTAAGCTGTATATAATTGCTGTGATGCTGGATTGATTGAGTTGTATATGGACCCTGCTCCGGGAAATGGGCTGCTCCGCACAGCCCGGTGGAAGGTGGAAGGTGTGTGTTCCCGTGTAGTGTGTGTGCAGTGCCAGTGAGAGTTGGGGAATAAAGAGTTGCTGTTTGAACCTACAAGGCTTTGTGGCGGCTCAGTTATTTGTGCCCAGCCAAACTGCGGCAGAGATGGGTGGCCAGCAAATTTTATTTCTACTTATTATTTGCTATAACAAGTAGAAATAAAGTTTCAAATAGAGATAAATGAAATAGAGAAAACAGGTGAGACAATAGGCCTTTGAAGGAGGCTTGTCCTTAAGCATGACTACCCCCCACCCCATTAAAAGGATAAAGGTCCCCCTAAGTGAAAGAAGAAGCAATCTGCACAGGTCCTCTGCTAAGCGCTTTAAGGGGATCATCCCAGCATCATCGGTTCCAATTTATAGGAGAGACTAATCAGAGGCTCAGAAAAGCCCAGTATGTTCCCAAGGTCGTTCAGCAGGGAAGCGGCTGAGCGCAAGGTTCAAACCCAAAGAATGAGTAAAAAGATGCCTCAGAAGAGGCTGAAACAGGCAGGAATGCTGAGAACAGGCAAGACAGGCCGAGGTCTAAAGAGCTCCCTGAAAGAGGTGGCATTTCCTGGCTTCTGAAGTCACTCACTGGTGGAGTGGTGAGTGCGTCCTCCTCACTGCAACCCCAGAGCAGCATGGCCGGGCCGGAGGAAAGCAGCCCAGGGCATCTGATCCGCAGATTTGTCTCCAGGGTGCGCTGCGTGGCCACCTCTCCCGTGTTTTTTTTTTTTTTGGCACTGGGGACTGAACTCTTCTCAACACCACTGAGCTATATCCTCTTCTTATTTTTCCCTTATTTATTTTTTGTTAATTGCCCAGGCTGGCCCCAAACTTGTGATCCTTCTCAGACAACCTAGTGGCTGGGATTACAAGTGTGCGCCAGCCCGCCAGCACTTTTACCCAAGTTACTGAGGCCGCAACCGGAGCAGCGGTACTGGGTGTCCCGGAAACCCGGAGGGAGGATCCGAGGGCGGGATCAACATTGAGCTCGGCCTCGGATCAAACCTCACCGCGGCCACGCCGCGTCTAGCGCTAATCACACTGTGCGCCTGCGCCACGGGAGCGCGCAGCCAGGCGGGGCGCGCACGCAGGCCGCGGGGCGGGGCCAGCGGGCCGGCGTCTCTGACGGGCCGGGCTTGGCAGGCCGGGGCGGGGCCTCGAGACCGGTTTGGAATTTTTGGCGCGAGCCGGCTCCGCGGGCGTTCACGGGCCGTTCCTCATCTGGGAGAGCCTTCCGCCGGGACGTCGGGAGCCGTCCACCACAGACCCTGGCCCACTTGACCGCCCCGAGGCCTCCCGCCGCCTCTACCGACCTGGAATTTGGGACCTCGTTGCTGCGCCCCGCCCAGCCGCCCAGGTAAGCCCAGCCCCCGGCCCAGGGCTCCCGGGAGCGCAGCCTTTCCGCCCGCTTCCCCGCGCTCCCGGGCGGCTTCTGGTCCCCGGACTACTCCTTCCCGGCCAGCTTCCACTCGCGTACCCTGCAGCCCCCTCCCTCAATGGCCAGCCCGCCCTCTGCGACAGCCCCACCTCTCCAGTCCCGCGGAGGCTGGCCCTGCCCTCAGGTGACCAGCTCCCGGCCAGCGCGGTCCCCGACGGCCCCGCCCACGCCGCTAGGCCCGCCGGGGTGGCCGCCCTTCCCTCCTCTCGCCACCCCGCCGGCTGGTCCCCTTTCCTGTGGGGGTCCCTTCCCCAGCGGCTGCCCTCCTTTATTTGACCTTTCCTGGGAGAAGCCCTTCTGCTCTCAGGGCTTTCAGGCGGGTCTCTCCGCGGGCCTCCCGGTGACAGCCCGTCTCCCCAGTTGTTCTCCAGGGTATTCCCACGCCCACGGAGAGAATTCCGCCGCCGCCCTGCCCCGGAGGAACTCACAGTCTAGCTGTAGACGGTGGTCAGCAGATGTGTCCGGCTCAGTGAGAGGGTGAGGCCCGAGGCCCCTGGAAATTGTGGAGGTCACTCTGGCTGGGGCTGTGGCTCCCGGCCACCCTGGCTGTATCCCCACCGAGCCGGCTTCCCTGTCAATCCTTCGCGCCCCTAAGGCTGTTTGTTCACGTACTTCTTCATGTTCCTGGGATGGGATTTTATTTTTTATGTTTTACTTTTTTTGAGAAAGGATCTCCCTAAGTTGCTTAGGGCCTCGCCAAATTCTGAGCGCCCTGGAACTTGTGATCCTCCTGCCTCGGCCACCTGAGCTGCTAGGATTACAGGTGTGCACCACCCGGCCCATTGGTGGGATGGGATTCTTGAGGTAAACAGAGGCAGAGGAAGGGTCCCCACAGAATATAGGGTGAGGCTTTCAGCCAAGCCCCTAGATCCCTCCCCACACAGTGGTAGGCCCTTCTTTAGGTGACTGATCCTGAGCAGTCACCAGCACACTCTCTGCTAGGTATGGCATCTTGTGGTACAGTGGTCCATTGTGGCTTTCTCTCAAATTTGACTCTTCCTCTCTTTTTTTTTTTTTTTGTGTGTGTGTGTGTCAATTACAGCATTATAGGAACACAACAGCCCTCTGCCCAACACACAAGGCACTGATACTTGTGGGATGACTGTACTTTGTGTGTTGTTTCAGTTACTACCCAGAGTTTATGATAGCATTTATGGCATCATTTGCTTGATAGTAGTTTGCCTTTATGCTGGACTTAGGGCTAAGCCCTCCATAAGTTCAGTACAGTATGAGTCCACAAATCCCTGAGGCTAGATGCATTTCAGTAATTAAACTGAGATTTAGAAAGCTATTATGGGTACATTTTCACCACTGATGGGTATGGGACATCATTCCAAGATCAAACATATTAATATTTCTGCCAAGAAATATATGAATATTTTCACTGAGAGATGATGATGATAATGATGATGATGATGATGATGATCCTGACAATGATGATTTTTGTGGAACTGGAGATTGAACCTAGGGCCTAGAAAGTGCCAGGCAAGTACCATATCACTGAAACATCCTCAGCCCTTTCCTTCCTTCCTTCCTTCCTTCCTTCCTTCCTTCCTTCCTTCCTGGGATTGAACTCAGGGGCACTCAACCCCTGAGCCCATCCCCAGCACTATTTTGTATTTTTATTTAGAGACAGGGTCTCACTGAGTTGCTTAGCACCTCGCTGTTGCTAAGGCTGGTTTTCTTTATTTGTTGCCATACCAGGGATTTAATTCAGGGGCACTTTACCACTGAGATATATCCCCAACCCTTTTTGTTTTTTTTATTTTGAGATAGGGTCTTGCTGAGTTGTTTAGGGCCTCACTAAGTTGCTGAGGCTGGCTTTGAACTTTCCATTCTCCAGTCTCGCCTCCTGAGCCTCTGGATTGTAGGTGTATGCCACTGTACCTGGGAGGGTTTATTTTTGAAGCCTCAATTCTATTCTCATCTCTCTCTTTATCTATTTGTCCTTATGTGAGTACCACACTGTTTTGATTACTATGGCTGTGTAGTAGGTTTTGGAATTGGGGTGTGAGTCTTCCAACATTTTTCTTTTTTTGATTATTTTGATGAACTTTCATATGAATGTTAGGATCAGTTCGTCATTTCCTCTAAGGAAATCACTTCGGATTCTGTGCTAGGGACCAGTCCCAGGGCCTTGCCTATGCTAGGCAAGCACCCTACCACTGAGTCATATCACTAACCCATAATTTGAAGAGTATTGCCATTTTATCAAATCTTTGGATCTATGAACATGTGACATCTTTCCATTTATTTAGACCTTAATCCCACCCCCCACCCCCACTCTTCTGGCTCTTGAACCACCACCACCACCACCATCATCATCATCATCATCACATACTATGTATACCTTCCACCATTGAGCTACATTGCCTCCCCCAGCCTCCTCTTAATAACTCACCACCAAAGCCTCTATGGACTTTGATAGCATCAACTTCACAACAGTGTTTCAGTTTTTTTAGGGGAGCAACTTCAGGGCTGGTTATTTTTTTGTTCGTTTTTGTTTACTTTAATTAAATCCCAAACTGCTGGGATATATATGTATATATCACCAATTTAAAAAATATATTTATAGTATTCACTGTGGTAACATGTGCATAGCATAATTTGGTCAATTTCATTCCACATTCCCTCCCCTTCCCCTTCCCTCCTCCCTTCCCCTCAACTTCCCCCTCAGTCCCCTTAGGGCTTCTATTTCACAACCTGCCTCTACCCCTGGGCAAAATATTTGAGTCATGCTGTGGAGCTGGGATCTGATAAATATGAAAGCCTGCCCCCTCTGGGTGGATACCTTCACTTTGATAGGATTGCAGGAGCTCCAACTTCTTGGAGACACCTGCTCATAGTGCTGATAGGCATCTAGGTGCCATACATTCTGGATGTTCTTACCAAGATTTGGTGGATTGTCTTATATAAATGTTTCTTCATTTACTATATGCACTTAGTACCATGTCCAGAGGTTTGCAATACTTGCTTGCGAATAATGTTTGCCAGCTCCACCTGTGTTGCTGGGGACAGGCTCCCAGAGCGCCTCAAGCTGCTGTTTAGGAAGTGGAGCTCCACTGAGCAGTTCTGGCAATACAGCTATGAAAATGAAAGAAAGGAACAAAGAACTCTGCCTTTTACCCTGGAGTTAGAGAGGAAGGATGGTATTAGAACTGGAGAGGAGGGGAGGGATAGTGTTGATATTTCTGTCTCAGGTCTTAAAAGAAAGGAAGGCTGGACCTCCCACTCCCACCCCAATGTGGTGGCTGTATAGGTTCTGACTCCAGAACCACTTTGGTTTTAACATCCCCATTGGGCTTGACACCCTCAGGGACATAGGCCTCTGGTCTCCATTTCATCTTTCTGTCATGTCTGAGATGCCGACAGCATGTCATGCAGGTGTGTGACGGCCTGTCCTCTGCCTTTTCCTACAGGTGCTTGTGGTCCCCGCAGCCTTCATGTGGAAAGTAGAACGTGCGAGCAGTGTAGACTGGGCTCTCTTGGGGGCCACAGCACCAGGTGTTTTTTGAGTGGACACACTGCTCGACCTCCGTCTCTCTGCCCCCAGGGCCTCCTGTGCTGGCCATGCCTGTGCCTGCTGAGGGTACCCCACCACCTCTAAGTGGCACCCCTGTCCCAGTCCCAGCCTACTTCCGCCATGCAGAGCCTGGCTTCTCCCTCAAGAGGCCTGGGGGGCTCAGCCGAAGCCTCCCACCCCGGCCCCCTGCCAAGGGTAGCATCCCAATTAGTCGTCTCTTTCCTCCTCGGACCCCGGGTTGGCATCAGCCCCACCCCCGGAGGGTGTCATTCCGGAATGAGGCTTCAGAAACCCTGCAGAGCCCTGGGTATGACCCGAGCAGGCCAGAATCCTTTTTTCAGCAGAGCTTCCAGAGGCTCAGCCGCCTGGGCCATGGATCCTATGGAGAGGTCTTCAAGGTGAGGAAAGAGACGGGACAGTTCTCTAAGTCCATCTGTGGGACACTTTGCTTCCCTCTCCTCTCCTGAGCAGCCTGCTCCACTGTCCTCTTCTCTGCTTTTGTTTTGACTGCTTTCTCATAACCTCTATGCAGGGCCCTTTGAGGGTTGCCTGTGCACACTGGTTCCTTGTCCAGAGTCTGGCACAATCTGCAGTGCCCCTGGTTGCCATCTCTGCTGAATTCAGCTGTGCTGAGTTCCTTGGCAAGCACTACACAGCTCCCAGGGCTAGCCCAAGTACAGTGCCACCCTGCCCTCTGGCAGGCTTGAAGGCTACCCCCTGCCTGCCACTTTTTTTTTTCCTTAAAATATATTTTCTAATCATTTATATTTTCTCTAAAATGGTAGCTTTCTGAAGCTGGGCACAGGGGCACACGCCTGTCATCCCAGCAGCTTGGGAGGCTGAGGCAGGAGATCATGAGTTCAAAGCCAGCCTCAGCAACAGCGAGGCACTAAGCAAGTCAGTGAGACCTTGTCTCTAAATAAAATACAAAATAGGGCTGCGGATGTGGCTTAGTGGTTGGATAACCCTGAGTTCAATCCCTAGTACCCTACCCCCCCGCAAAATTAAAAAATGGTAGCTTTCCCTTGCACAAATACTATTTGAAGATAATTTTGTTATTTTTATTAAATGCAAGGAAAATAGTCCCCTGGGCCAGATATCTTACCCAGAGGAAAGCTGTGCATAGCAGAGCAGGCTGCCCCTGTTCTGGAGCCATGGTTTCCACTTAGCACTGTGCTCTAGAGAATCTCCTGGGCCAGAGTCCATGGGTCTGCCCTGCCTCCTCCATGGCTGGGTCTCCAGCATATCACCATGTGCCGGCATCTCTCTAAGACAGATGTGTTGCCCCTCCACATGTGTGATATCTTAATAGCATCTATCAGTTGTGCCCCCACCCCACCTGCAGGCACCATTTCTCTTGCAGGTGCGCTCCAAGGAAGATGGCCGTCTCTATGCGGTCAAACGTTCTATGTCGCCATTCCGGGGTCCCAAGGACCGGGCCCGCAAGCTGGCTGAGGTAGGCGGCCACGAGAAGGTGGGGCAGCATCCGCGCTGCGTGCGGTTGGAGAGAGCCTGGGAGGAGGGCGGCATCCTGTACCTGCAGACGGAGTTGTGCGGGCCCAGCCTTCAGCAACACTGTGAAGCCTGGGGCGCCAGCCTGCCCGAGACCCAAGTCTGGGGCTACCTTCGAGACACTCTGCTTGCTCTGGCCCACCTGCATGGCCAAGGCCTGGTTCACCTTGATGTCAAGCCTGCCAACATCTTCCTGGGGCCCCGGGGCCGCTGTAAGCTAGGTGACTTTGGCCTGCTGGTGGAGCTGGGTGCCACTGGAGCCAGTGAGGCCCAGGAGGGAGACCCCCGCTACATGGCCCCCGAGCTGCTGCAGGGCTCCTACGGGACAGCGGCAGATGTGTTCAGGTGAGGGCTAGGACATGGAGGGGTTGTGTGGCCCTTGTCTGGGGGTGGTCAGCAGAGAAAGGGACTCCCTAGAAGAGGACCTCCATCCTGGCCCTAGGTCAGGAAGACATTTAGCCTCAGGCCTCAGAGATGCTGTGTCTGCCTTATAGCTAAGAGATCTCCTTGGCATGCTGCTTAAAACCAGCAAGCCCTTTGGAGTAGCTTTACTTAGCCTCGCCATATCCTTACATTTCTAAGGGAAGAATGGCTATTACTCTGGTACAGGAGGGAACAGTGCAGTGAGGTTAAGGGACTTACCCTGAATTCACAGTTAGCAGCCGGGACTGGGCCCAGGCACTGGGTTCCAGTTTCATGCTGGCAACACTGCCCTGCCTCCAGCACTTGCATCTGACCATCTCAGCAGAATGAGGATGGCATTAGTAACCTTAGAAACTCAGGTGCCCATCAGTGAGGTATTGGAGGACCACCACAGCAGCATGTGGGCTGCACTGGATGTAGGATTAACCCTTCACAACAAGGTCCCCATCCAGCCTGGAGCTCATTGGCCCTGCTGCAGCCGACTCTAAGTCCCCACCCCTCTTTCATCACTTCCCTGGCTTATGGTGGAAGATAACAGCCCTTCCCACCCTCCAGTGGGATTGGGGTCTGTGTTCCAAAGTCAACTCTGTCCCTAGTCTGGGTCTCACCATCCTGGAAGTGGCCTGCAACATGGAACTGCCCCATGGTGGAGAGGGCTGGCAGCAGCTGCGCCAGGGCTACCTGCCTCCTGAGTTTACTGCTGGTGAGTGGAGGGCCCAGTGGCAGGCTGCCACCAGTTCCTATGGCAGGGAGTAGCTGGTGGTAGGGGTACTGCTGGGTTCAGGGCCCAGTCAGTGCCCTGGAATCTTTGACATGGCTTTGTCCAATGGGCAGGTCTGTCTGCTGAGCTGCGTTCTGTCCTCGTCATGATGCTGGAGCCTGACCCCCAGCTGCGGGCCACGGCTGAGGCCCTGCTGGCCCTGCCCATGCTGAGGCAACCAAGGCCCTGGAACATCCTGTGGTGCATGGCTGCTGAAGCCCTAAGTCGAGGCTGGGCTCTATGGCAAGTAAGCTGCCACAGTGCCAAGCCATGTTACCTGACGCCCACCCCAGGGCCTGCCTGGCTTCTTGAGGTTTCCTCTCCCCCACAGGCTCTGCTCACCCTGCTGTGCTGGCTTTGGCACAGCCTAGCTCACCCTGCCAGCTGGCTGCAGCCCCCAGGTCCACCAGCCACCCCACCTGGCTCGCCACCCTGCAGCCTCCTGGATAGCAGCCTCTCCAGCAGCTGGGATGATGACAGCATAGGGTGAGTGAGAGCTCCTACACCTGGAGTGGGCCCATAGTATAGCTAAATGGAGGTCTGGTGAATGGGAGTCACAGCTTGGTCTATGTGAATTCAACTCAGTGAGTGGGGTGACTGCCACCCACAACACAGCTTCACACTGGTAAGTGGTAGGAAGGCCAGTGTACCTGCCAGAATAGGCAGGGGCACACCCCCCCCCCCCCCCCCCACACACACACACCTCAGTAGAGGCTGCAAGTGCCCAGGGATAGGGCATTTTCTTTCCCTGGATGAAGAAAAATCTCTCAGAGCCTGGCAAGTCTCCACTCTGAGAGGATGCCCTTAGTCTCAGGTGGCCAAGTGAGAGGCTGTAATTAAGAAACTCCTGCACAAGAAAGCTACATGCCCCAAATACACAGCTCTTGAAGGAATCCCTTCCTTATAATAATGTCACCCTCACTCTGAGGGCACTTTGTAGCCCAAGGGGAGTGCCAGCACAGCTTCATTTACCAAAAGTTCACCTGAGATCCAGCTCAGCTAAAGCCTATATTCTGAAAATGAACAGAAATGGCTTTTGGGCACAGTCAGATGGGAGGGCTTGAAGGTTGTCCAAATGTACCACATCTTTATGGTCCTGACTATGGCCCTTATCCCTCCGTCAGGGCTAGAACCTGAGTGGGGTTGCTCTCCTACACTTCTCACCTCCTTGCTTGTTTTACCTACCTTCCTATAGGCCTTCGCTCTCCCCAGAGGCCATCCTGACCCGGGCTGCCAGGAGTACTTCCACCCCCCGGGGCAGGTACACACCAAGGTAAGCAGGCCCCAGAGCTGGGGCTGCGCAGGGTTGGTTTTGGGATCCTGAGTGTCATTCTTCTTTTCTTACAGGGATGCCCTGGACCTAAGTAACATGGACTCAGAGCTTCCTCGGGGTTCCTGTCCTTCCTTTGAGCCTAGGAACCTCCTCAGCCTATTTGAGGACTCACTGGACCCAGCCTGAGCTGTAGGTCCAGCTTCTGTACTTTTAACCTCTTACTCCTTCCCTGTCCCTTCCCCTGGAAAGCTGGGTCCCTTTGGGATCTACTGTGTCTAATAAAAAGTATTTGAATCTTGGGAGCACCCAAGCTTGCTCTAGTGGCAATAGAGCATTTTCTGTCCCTTTATTGATGTAGCCCAGGGTCTTGGGCTGCTGGGAGGATCCTGCTATGAGGCTGAGCCCTGCTGTAGATCCCAGGGCCCCAGGCCTTGGCTCAGCAGACTGGCACCACACACTGTGTGGGATAGAGATTTCCTGAGTGGGCATGTTCCCAGCAGGCAGGGAGCCATCAGATCATGGCACTGAAGGTGGGGGCAGACCTTTAGCCCAGTGGGGCCTGGGTCCAGAGTCACTCACTTCATGTCTGTTTCTGTTAACTGGGAAAAGCAGCCACTGTCCTCATGTCCCTTGTCCAGCTGGTGCAAGAAGATCCAGTACCCACTGGGTCTTGGGAAAAGGGGCTGGTCCTGCTGCCCCAGACCCTTACTCCAATCTTTAAATGGAGAAAGGTGGCAGGGCTTCTGGCTGCTGGGAGGGCTGGCATGCAAGGCAGAGATGGAGGTTAGGAAGCAGGGGCCAGAGGGGCTAGTCCAGAGACCTGTGAGGGCAGGATCGGGGGATGATGGGTCTGGGTTGGCAGGTATGGCAAGTTTGCAGGACTCCAGCTGTCAGAACAGGATATAACCTTAGAGTCTCTCTGGCCCAACCTTCACAGGTAATAGAGGGTAAACAGGTCCAGAGAAGGAAAGGTTTCCTTGCAGCTGACACAGTACCCAGGAGGAAGAAGGCAGGGAGGGGAAGTTGGAGTTCCAAGGCCTGGGTGGAAGAAGAGGTTAGTTCAGAGGGAAGAATGAACAGACAAGGGCTCCCAGCTGGGAAGTCTCAAGCGCTGTAAGCATCAAGGGAGCCAGCCCCTTGCAGACCAGAAGGAGGGAAGGTGGCATTATTGGTTCCAGGAGGCTGTGGGCAAGCTGGCACAGGAGGCAGGAGGCAGCTCAGTCTGGGGGACAGGCGTGGTGGGCGGCCCAGAGCAGGTCAGGCACAACACCGGCGTGGAGCTGTAGGATGGAGCCCACGCTGAGCAGATGCATAATCTGGTGGGAGTTACCCCAGTAGTCGAAGCGGCCAGGCCCCCAGCGCTCTGGTAGGCGGGCCACATTCACCAGCCCTCCAAGCAGTGCCAGCGCATCCATGCGCAGATAGCAGCGCAGGGAACCTGGAGCCCCTGAGCCCAGCCCTACTGCACGGGCCCCAAACACCAGCAGACGGGCCCCAGCTTGCCAGCCAAAGGCTCGGAGTCGGGCACTGGTGGAAGGGGCAGTGAGGGCTCGCCAGCCGGCTATAGCAGACAGCAGGGTGTAGCCCACCAGGGCAGCCGGGCGCAGCCAGGGCCTACAGACCAGGGTGCAGTGGATGATGGGCAGGGCCCCTGCAGAGAGAGAACAGGAGGTACATCAATCTGAGTCTGCTTTCCCTTCCCTACCCAGGGCTCATGCCCCTGCCTCCCCATCTCTAGGGCCCTGGCTCACCGAGGGTGTTGACGAGGCAGACCCCACACATATCAAGAGCAAGAAGCCGGGCGTACACAGAACTGCCCCCTTGGTGGCACATGAAGAGGTGATACAGCACAGAGGCAGCAGGGGGAACCAGGCAGGCCACACAGTGTGTGCCCCCCAGCCAGCTATCCTTTCCCAGCTGACTCCAGGGCATAGTCATTGGCACCAGCACCAGGAAACCCAGCAAGGCCAGCCCTGGGAGAGAGAGACAGTTATCCATCATACAGTTTGGGCATAAAAGTTGAATCACATCCCTAAGGAGTTCAGTTTAGGGATGACACAAGAGGGGCAACAGCAGAACAGATCTGGGTGCTGCTGCCATACACACAGAGGCAGGCCTTAGGCTATAGGCTTTTGGAAACCTACTATCATGGTTCACAACTTTGGGAAGTTGAGACTCTGAGCCCACTTTGCAGGTGAGGAAACTGAAGCTTGGAGGTCAAGTAACCTACCCCAGATGAGCCCAGCAAGTTGTATGGCTCTCAAGCTGCCCTCACCCTTTAAGCTGGAGCAGGAGGCCCCCATGAGGCCTGTCTAGTCTACAGAAGCCTCAGGAGGTATCACCGGAGTTCTGAGCAGGATATGTGGACACCACCAGCCCCAGGGCTACTAAGCTTGCCTCTTCCCAAGTGTCCACACAAACAGAGGCTTTGGGTCTTTTTGTCTTCCAGAAAGGGGTGAGGCCAGGTAGGGCAAGGCAAGTCCTGAATGCTCAGGTGGGACTGAAAGGAGTTTGTCCCATCTCCTTCCCAAGTGTTTCCCAGGATCTCCATTCTTGCCAGCCCAAGCCCTTCTCTGGGATTACAAACCCTCTCCAAAGAAGTTGGCATTGCCCTCAACTGGGTCAAACCAGAGCTCAGACTGCCCACTCTGGGTTGGGCCAGGCTACACAATAGCCCCCCACTAGGCAAAGGCTAACCCTGCAGGCTCCCGGCCCCTCAGCCCCAGGAGCTGCTCAAGGACGGCCAGGGCTGTGTCAGCAGAGCTCAGAGGGCTGCGGAGGAGGGCCCAAGTGCCTGCTGGGGGCGGGGGGGGGGGGGGGGGGGGAAGGGGGGGGGGGGGGGGGCCCCAAGGGGCGGGGGGGGGGGGGGGGGGGGGGGGGAGGAAGGAGCTGCCACCAGGCGGAGCCCCAAGACAGGGCTTCTGGGGCTGGGGCAGAAGGGCTGCTAGGCCATGAAGGGCTGGGACCGAGACCGCGGCCAGCTTTTCCCAGGCCCGTTCCTCTCCACAGTTAACATCCATCTCCAGGACGGGTGATAGCGGGGGAGGGTGCTCAGAGCACTAGGATTACGAAGGGGTCTGACACTAGGCTTCTTACCCCAGGGACAGAGCGGGATTAAGCAGTCCCAGCCCCCTATTCTGATCCCCTCCTCGCCAGCCCTGGGGCCCCCGCTGGGAAAGAGGAAGCTGGCAGCCCGGCTCGGGACAATGGCAGCTTTGTCACCACGGTTTCAGGCCAAACCAGGGACGGGACAGACCAGGACCTAGGCGCTGGGGCACTCCTTGGCCTTCGGGTCCCGGGCAGTGAACGGCAGGGCGGCAGCGGGTGCCGGAATGCACGAAGTGGGGTGCGGCTCACCGTGTGTGTAGATGTTGCCCAGCTCGTTGTGCACGTAGAAAAGGCTGCGCAGGCAGCCCGAGCCGCTGCTGGCCGGCCGGTAGCCGGTCAGCACGAACTTATTGAACTGCAGGTGCGGAGGTGAGCTGGCCCAGTCCAGCAGGCGCGGCCCGGACAGGAACGCCATGCCCCTGCGCAGCGCCGGCCGCTTGTGCTCCTCCTGTCCCTGGGTATCCTCCTTACTGGGGCTGCAGCGCCGGAGAGCTCATCCCTGCCCGCCTCCCGGCTGCCGGGTCGCGCAGTGCTGGGTCAGCGAGCGCGCCAGCAGAGGGTCCGCGCCCCCTCGCGTCCCGCGTTGCGCACGCGCGAGCCTGACGCCCCCGCACCGGGGCGGAGGCTGGGAGACCCAGCACCCGAGCGCAGTGCGGCCGGGTCCGCCCGGGGAGGCGCTCCGCAGAAATAGCTCCAGTTGGAGGCGACGGCCGATGGCCTCGCCGCAGCTCGAAGGACGGGCGCGGCCGGACGCGGGAGGGAACACCAGGCTCCGCCCCGGTTCCTCGCCCCCGTCAACCCTGCTGGTATTTCGCGCGCTGGATTCCTGACGTTGATGCTGCCAGGGCCAATGGGCGCGGCCAACGGGGAGGCTCCGCCCCGAGAGCGCCCAGGCCTTCTCTCTTCTAAGCATAATCTATGGGGCACCAGCCTCACTTGCATGTTTGCTTAGGACCTGATGTTCTGGGTCCCGCGGGCTAAGCTGGAGTGACCAGGCATCTCGTGTCTCCCAGCACTGCGCACCCGGTTTTCCGCGTGACCCCCAAAATGTCGTACCTTTGGGTATCCACCCTCAAGTTCACAGCCCCACCAGTCAGCCCCACCCTGCGGTCGGGGCTCTGTCCAAGGTGCTGCTGGCTCAGGCCCATTCGGGAGGTTCCAGACGAGCGCTGGCGCGTCCCCACTTTGGAGATGATCTCTCCAGTGGCCCCAGATACCCAAGCCTCGGAGGAGATGCGTGACGCACCAGGAGCCCTCGGCAAGGCCCGGATCTTCCGGCCAGGATTCTCTGAGCTTGGGGGAGGCCCAACTCACTCGCTATTATCGCTCATAAGGCGCACCCTCGGCCCAGCCCAGGCCAGGTAGGAAACTGCAGAAAACAAGGCAGGAGGCGATGGGAGAAAGGTCGGCTCCCGCTCCACCACCCCCAGGGCGGGAACCAGGAGGAGCCCCTTTGTCAGGCATATCTTTGCCCAAGGTCAGTCTCTGTCGCCCACTCTTATGCAGGGCACCGCCCATCCATCCTCGGTTCCTCCTCTCCCTTCCAGAAGGTTCTGTCAAACTCTTGGCATGAAACGCCATGCAATCCTGATTCTGAACTCTCATTAACATAGTCCCTTCCACCATTTAAAACTTGCCGAGGCCTGTACCAAAATAGGACCTTTATTTAAAGTCAGTGATGGACCTCTTTGAGACAGGAATTTGGGTACATATGGAGGAGATAATGATTATCAAAGGAAGGGCCCATGTAGAAAATGCCCATGAACCATTGCCACTCCTGACCAACCCAGGCCATGCCCTCGACCCATGCCTTTAACTACAAAAAAGTTACAGGAGGGTGAAGTGCAAGTTTCAGAAACACTAGAAATTGTGTAACTCCACCCTGCATCCATCTCTAGTCCAACCCCTAGCAATTGCTCCTATATAAATACTAACCCCAACATCAAGAAGTTGTCACTCCTCTGGACACGGCTCACATTCTCCCCTGAATGTGTCTCTGCTTTCCTAAATAAACCTTTTTGTGTTTCTGGCACCTGCTGAAATTCTTCTACAACATGTTCATCAAGGACCCCATTTGTCCTGAGTCCATGTCCCTTCTCCAGAACGCCTCCAAATGCCAGTGACATTTTGACTACTTTTTTTGACTTCTAACCTCTCACTGAGGGCAGCAATCCAAGATGACCCCAGGAAGGTCTCAGAGACTCCTAAAAACAGAGACTACCTCCCACATCAAGATCTATGGGTTGGTGAGCTGGACCTAGAGGTTCAGGCCAAATACCCAGAATAGAAAAAGATGCTTCCTGTCCGATTTCTGGTCTCCCTGGAATGACCAGAGACCAAGCTGCCTTTGAAGTGGCAAAAGGCCGAGGTAGAATGCGGCATAACGTCTCGGATATCCGTCTCACTGGCAGAAGGTCCGATGGACCTTGGGGGTCCGAAGTCAGAGAGCAGAGATGAGCGAGAGTAAGGAGCTCCTGCTGGAGGCACTCAGGGGCTGATAGCCGGTGGCAGGACCCTCTGCCTGGGGGTCCCCAGGAGGACAGGGTAGGGCCACCCCTTGGGGCCGGCGGTACCACACAGCCCAGCTTCTCCCGGCGCCCCGGGAAGGTCCCAATGCCGGGGGCCCTTTTCCCCGTGCCAGAACACAGCTCCTAGAGAGGGAGCAGACATCAGCTGGACCCCGACCCAATCCCACCTCCAGCATCCTGCTCTGCCTGCGATCCCACGCTCAACTCTAGGTGTGGACCCAAGGTCTTGCCCGCTCTAGAACTTGGGAATCCCTTCCTAGTTCCCCTCTGGGGCCCTAGTTCCCCACCGGGGCTCCCGTGCCCTGGTGCACCAAGGTGTCAAGCGCCTGGTGCGGGGGTCCGCCCTCAGGCCCTGCCCCAGCGCCCGCACCGTCGGCGCAGCAGACGCAACAGAGACAGGAGCAGCAGCAGCAGCACAGAGACGGCCGTCACCGTTGAGAAGACCCGGGCTGCGGGCACACGGGTGCAGTGAGGACAGGGCCCAGAAAGGCCACTCCCTGATTCCCTCCCGCTTCTCATGCCCGCCTCACCCCCCATTGCAGCTTGTGGGGCTCCAGGCCTAGGGCTGCAGCTCACGTTGGCCCCCAAGGGGGGTTCTGCGGGCGTCTGGGCCGAGCCCTTGGGGGGCGTGCGGTCCTCCGCAGCGTCCTGCAGCCCTGCGGAGAGGAGTGTGAGGCGGGGTGGGGGTAGAGGGCGGGGGTAGGGGGACCGGGACCCAGCTCACCGCGGTAGGTGAGCGCGAAGCCCTGCGCATGGCCGCGCGCATCGCTGCTGAAAGTGAGCAACAGCACAGCTGCACGCAGGCGCAGAGGTCCGGGCGGAGGAGGGCGGGAGCCGTCAAAGGTGCGGAGCAGGCTGCCCGAGGCGGCGTCGCGCAGCTCCAACCGGTCACGCGGGTCGGCCAGCTCAAAGAGGCGGAAGGTGAGCTCCAAAGCGGCACCGGTCGGGCCCAGCACCCAGCTGCAGTTCCGATCTGGCCCATACTCGTCGGGAAAGTCCGGGGAGTAGATGACACCCTGAGGCGCAGTCCAGTTTCCCTGACAGGAGCCCACCGACACTGCAGGCAGGGATTACTGTCAGGACCCTGAAGCCAGTGGCTTTTCCTTTACAGCTTGGAGTTCCCCGCCAAAGTTCGTAGCAAAGCCCAGCTGGGCCTAACCCCAGGCCAGTTACCTAGAGAGGCCCCGCCCCAAATCCAGGCCCTGTGCAATCTCCTTCCGTCCACGCCTTCCACCAATACATTTCAGGTCTGGCTCTCAACTCCCAGGTTCAGTCCCGTCCCCTTTTCGGGGTCCAATCCTCAATCCCAGTTCTTCCTCAGGCTGGGACACCAGCCTAGCGATCCCCCTTCCCAGATTCTGCCCCTATGAGGGCATGACACGTCGGGTCCCACCTGGTCTCTTCCCCTCACCCAAGTCCCCCACCCTCTAAGCCATATCCACACCTAACCTTCATAGATGCCCAGCCGTCCATCACCGCCACACAGCTGGCCCGGGTGGCCAAAACAGATCTGGTCACAGTCCGTAGCGGGAGCAAGGCGTCCCCGGGCCAGGTCGCTTTCAGAGCCACAGAAGCAGGCATAACCAGCCTCCACACCGGCCAGCTGGGAGCATAGACTGAGTAACCCAAAGGCAGGGATGGGGTAGGAGTGGAGTGCTGGGGTCAGAAGTAGGAATCAGGCTGGCGGTTCAGAACCAGTGTTAGGATTTGGCGTCAGAGTGTTGGGAGTTGAGTGGGGTCCTGAGGTCAAAGTCAGGGTTACTGGTCTGGGCTTGTCAGCAGTACCTGGTAGCCCTTCATGCGGCAGAAGCGAAGGCACACCTGGACAGTGAGCTTCGTGGAGGTGCCACTGGGACCACTGAGAGCTGGGGGTGCACCGGAGTCTACAAAGCATCCCAGGTAGCCAGGCACTGAGGAGAAAGCAGAGTCAGAATACCTCCCTGAAAGCGACCCTCCACCCAGGTTCCTCAGAACTCCCACCTCTGTCCAGCTGACCCACTCACTGTGACATGTGGGAATGTCACAATAGCGCCAGTAGATGCCCTCCTCAGTTTCAGCTACATAGCACCACGGCTGCACATCACCATCGGGGTTCCTGCAGGTGTGGGGGGTAGTGGTCAGGATCCCACGGCCCTGCCCCATCACCTGTGAGCAATGTGCCCACTAAGGCTCTGTGTATGTTGGAGGCCATGTTCCTTTCTGTTATCACACAAATTCTTGTTTTCTCAACGCGCTTCTGGACGTCAACTTCTGAGATGACAGTGGGGTGTCATTAAAGGACCCTTGAGGGCTGTTTTTAGGTCTTTGGCTGCGGCCAGGACTTAACCTCCTAAGTGAGAACTTTGCTGTGGGTCTTGGCCATTTCCCTCTCCTCAGAACCCATCTTAAAAGTAGAAGTGTGGAGCCCTAAGCTTTGCGGATTAACAGAGAAGTGGCTCCTGTTCTGTCCCTGTGGCTCCAGACTGCAGCTGTCGCTCTGAATTCCTATTTCCCCATCACCAAGAGTGGATGGTGGTGAGGCAAGAGCCTGACCCATCACCGCAGGGCCCTCCTCTGGCCAGACCCCACTCACACTAGCCCTTCGAGTCCTCTTCCTGATCTGAAGTTTTGCAGAAATAAGGCACCTAAGTCCGACTCCTTTAGTGAAAAAATACTGTGCGCCCAGTCTTCCCCAAGTACAAGAGAGGCCATGCGCTTCGCGGTGGCTCTGCCCCTAGTTTGTCCGCGCAGACCTTGTGTTGTCCGCGCAGACCTTGTGTTGTCCGCGCAGACCTCAGCTCCGCCCACGCTGAGGCCCCGCGTCAAGCCACCTCCCGTAGCAGAGTCCCGCCTCCACTGCTCACGGGCCACGCCCCTCACCGGCAGAAGTTGTGCGCGCCCAGCCCCCAGCGGCCCTGGGGGTCGCTGGAGCTACTGTAGCTGTGCTGCTGCGTCTGGTCCCAGAAAAGACACGGGCGTCCAGCTCCTCGAGGACCGGTGTGGTTCTGGTGACCGCGGTAGTCGGCGCCATTCACCTGGAAGCACTCGGACAAGCCTGCCAGGCAACCGCGGGATATGGGGCGGTCTGGACCTTCTCGGGACATCCTCATCATCCGACTCCAGCTCCCGCCTCGGTCCCCAGGCAGCACACCCAGCGCCCGCCCCCGCGGGGGCCCTCGGGCTGCTCAATTGCTCCAGCCACCTGCTCTGCCGCCTCCCCAGCTTCGGGGGCCCCAGCCCTGGGCAAAGAGGCCGAGGAGGGAGCGGTGACCATGTCTTGGCCGCCGTGCCTGACTCACCTGGACTGTACAGGCTTACTGCCGAGGCCCCGCGCAGCGGCAGAAGCGGGAGCAAAAGGAGGAAGAGACCCTGCAGGGCCTGTGTCCCCATGGCCCCCAACCGGGTAGAGATCACCCTGGCCCACCCCCGGACGAACTCCGGGGTCTCCCGGCGACCCGGGGGATGTTGTCCTCCAACTGTCAGTCCTTGTCTCGCTCTGGACGGCGCACTCGGTCTCTGGCTCCCTGAGGTCCTCGTGTCTCAAGGTCTCTGCTCCTTGGAAGTGTCTCTGCCCCGTCCCTCCCTGGGGGTCTCTCCGTGGATATCTGGCCGCAGGCGTTCTCTGTCTCTGCTTCTTTTTGCTCTGGCTGGTGCCTCGGCCTCCACACCCACCTTTCTCGCTGTGCCTGGCTCTCCGCTTCTCCTTCGCCCAGGTCTCTAACGCGCCGGCTCCTGCCCCTTTCGCGTCCCTCCTCGGGTTCCTCCCTACCCCCTGAGGGAGGACGGGAAGCCCCGCCCGGGACTGGAGCGCAGGCAGCAGGTCCAGACGCCTCCCACGCCCGCCCCCCGGGACCCCCAGCGTCCCAGAAGACGCCTCCCGGCCCCTCCCCTCTCCTTCCGAGGGTGGGTGCGGGTTCTAAAGCGAGGACGTGGAGGGGGACAGGCTGGGCTAGCAGAGGATCCTAAAGGGGGAGATACAAGACCCGCTCCCGCGGCCGCACGGAGTCCGTGGGTCCCAAGCACCCTTATTCAAATGTACACGCGTGCTCTCATTCAGTCACCCATTCATTGTCGCGCTCACTCGCACACCTTCTCCCTCCCCAGATCCCGACGCTACTGGCTCCAAGGAGGAAGTGCCACTCCCGGCCCCCCCGCACCCGCGAGGCAGACTGGAATCGTGGACGATCGGTCCCGGACAGGCAGGGGCAGCTGGTGTCTGGGGAGGAAGGCAGCTGCGCCCCTGGTCACAGCCCGCCCCCTCTCTTCCTCCTCTCCCCCCCTCCTCCCTAGGACCCCAGCCCAGGCTCTCCCGTGCTTTCACTGTGCGGTGGAATTCCCCCAGCGGTGCCCCCCACCTGGCGAGGGAGGGGGAGGGTAGCAGGCCCGGGCAAGCGTGGGGGGAAATTCCCCGCCCCCTCCCCCTAGGCCCGACTCCTCCGAGTCCTCTGATCTCCCAGAGCCGCCTGCCCGCTGCCCCCGGGGCTTGGGGGGAGGCCAGCGCAGGTGCGTGGGAGGGCGGAGGCGGGGTGGTGGTGGTGGAGGGTGGGGGGCGGGGGACCCAGAGCGGCCACGCCTAGCCCAGGCCCCTTGTCCATCAGTCCAGCTTGCTTACCCCTCGTCAGGCCCTCAAAGGCCGAGGGGCCCAGATGGACCCATCAGGTCCTGGCTAGCCCTTGCCTCGCGTGCAGTCCCCAGTCCCGCAGCTGGACGAGCAAGTGGACGCGGGGGTGGGGGGCGCTGGGAAGATTCTGCGAGGCCGAGGTGCTCATGGCAGTGGTCCAACACGCGGAGATCTTACAGTTAGCGCCTCACGTGAAGGCTCTTGGGATGGGGGCACATCAAGACGGGGGCTGTTTCAAGAAGGAAATGGCTTTGCTGAGACTGTAGGCCAGGGCCGGGTGTGCCTCCTCAGGGAGCTCTCTCAGTGGTCAGGTTGGCCGGGGCTGAGCGTCGCCCTCCCGTGCTGGCTGGGTGCTGGAAACCCCTTGACCCCACTAAGGAGGGAGCAACCAGGGGCCACCAGTAGAACCGGGTTTCCCTTTTCCCTCCTGCCTGAGAGCCCGGGACAACGCTCCTTTGCAGAGAAGGTTGGGCGAGTGGCCAGGCGGAGGAAGAGGTGATGTGGGGGGCTGGGACAATGGGACCCCACGTGTGGAACAAGGAATATGGAAAGGTTGGGGGCAGGGAACAGACCCCTCTAGTCAGGACCCTAAGCCTAAAAGAAGGGTCCCCCGTGCCTGTCTCCTGCAAAGAGGACAGTTAGGAAAGGGAAGTGGTGCTCAGTTCAGAGGTGCAGGGCACTGAGATGGTGTACCCTCACCACAAGTTCCAGTTTCAGGTCACAGTGGTGGATCCTTCAAGAACTAAGAGAAGCCTCCTCCCGGCATACCATTCCCTTTCCAAGCCTTGGGCACTCAGCACTCTGCAAGCAGTGGCCTGTCTGTGCTCCCAAGGCCCTGGGGAGGGGGTGTTGGATGTTTGCATGTCCCCACTCTGCGGGCCCACTGCTGGGGCACAGAAGTCCTTGAGAACTTGGCTGTTTCCGACTATAAAGTGTTGAAGCTAGGAATCAAACACTTTTTTCAATGTGATCCAATCCCGGGGAGCTGATGCTGACCCCATCCCACACTGCTTTGGGGGTTCCTGACTCTGCAGGGAAGTCTGGGTACAGAGAGACATCAGCTCCTTCTTGTCTTTGCTTGGGAGTTCCACTGCCATTACAGCAGCCCTGTTTTAAGCTGAGGTCCTGAAGCAGGATCTCCAGCAGCCCATTTCACAGAAGGGGAGACTGAGTGAGACCAGGGAGAGGCAGGGGTCAGCCTAAAGTCACCAAGGCATGATATCCTAATTCTTGGTATAAAGCGGGTGCAGCCTTGGCTTGTCAGTTCCCTGAGGAGTGGATTCCCAGGCACAGATCTGCCATGTGAGGGCAGCAGAGAGAAAGGAGCCTAGTACTTGAGTGTTGGTGGGTGGAGAGAGTCCCAGATGCAGGTGGGCCTTGCCCTCCCTTCCCCTGGGGCATGTGATGCCAAGTTCACCAGGTCCAGTGAGGAAGATGGTGTAAAGGTAGGGGACATTGTGTAAGAGGAGGAATTAGGTCACTTTATCCCATTAGGTGCCCCCAGGAAGGAGAGGGGCAGGCTCAGCTTTGACCCTCTCAAGGGACCCCCCCCCCCCAGGGCTCATTGGAGCTTAGCCCTTTTCCGCCTGGAGGGCCAGTCAGCAAAAGAGTGGACTCCAGTGTGGAGTCAGAGTGCCTGGGTTCTACCCAAGGGCTACTCAGTGGTACTTGTCCCTTCAACTTTTTATCTTTGCAGTGGGGATAGTGTTCCCTTTCAGGCCAGCCCTCATGGCAGGGCACATCACAGCTACCAGGAAGAAAGAGGCACTGAAGCTGGGCACAGTGGCACATGCCAATAATCCCAGTGGCTCAGGAGGCTGAGGCAGAAGGATCACAAGTTCAAAGCCAGCATCAGCAATTTATGAGGCCCTAAGCAACTTAGGGAATCCCTGTCTTGAAATAAAATTAAAAAAAAAAAAAAGAGCTGGGGATGTGGCTCAGTGGTTAAGCATCTCTGGGTTCAATCCCTGGTACAGAGGGTGGGGTAGAGGAAGAGAGGGTAAATTATTAAGGGAAGGAGATTAGGGGTCTTGACAGGCAGAAAGTTCTGAGTTGACCCCTGGAGACTCCTGCTCCTGGGTGTCCACATTGTTCCATGAGCCCCCAACCAGGAATGTGCATGGACCTGTGAAAACATGGGATGTCTCTCCTGTGATTGGGTCATGTTATATGGCAATGGTGAAGGGACTTTTGCAGATGTAATTAAGGTCTCTAATCAGTTGTCATTGAGTTCATCAAAAGGGAGATGGGGGTGGCTTCTGTGGTGACACCAATAGTCCCAGCCACTTCAGAGGCTGAGATAGGCGTATCATTTGAGCCTAGAAGTTTGAGGCCAGCCTGGGCAGCATAGTGAGACCTCATTTCAAAAATAAAAAAAATAGGCCAAGGTGGGCTTGACTTGATCAGTGGGCCTTCGAGAGTCTGGAGCAACAGAGATGTTCCTCTGGCGGCTAGAGGAGCTGCTAGGCTTGAGGTCCTGGCTGCATACAGTCACGAGAGCTTGGGAGGGGACTCTGGGCCTCAAATGAGCCCCCAGCCGTCCTGCCTCCTTGTAAGGCTCTGAGCAAGGACCCTGCTCAGCCCTCCCAGTCTACCAAAACTGTGAAATAATCATGAAGGGGTTTTTTTTTGTTTTTGTTTTTGTTTTTCTTTTTGGCTCTGGGGATTTAACCAAGGGGCACTTACCCACTAAGCCCCATCCCCAGCCCTTTTTATTTTTTATTCTGAGACAGTCTCATTTAGTTGCTTAGGGCCTTACTAAGTTGCTGAGGCTGTTCTCAAACTTACGATCCTCCTGCCTTAGCCTCCCAAGCTGCTGGGATTACAGGCATGTACCACCAAACCTGGCTAAAAGGGCATTTCAAGCGGCTAAATTTGTGGTAATTTGTTCTGCAGCAGCAGAGTGTGCTGAGTAGGACAGAGGCGGCAGGGGCAGTGCCTCAAGGAGAGCCTGCTCAGCCCAAGGGGCCCAAAGGTACTGCCCATCAGCAGCCACCCTCAAGACTGCACCCTGCTGGTAGGTGGTGGAGCTGGGCCTATTGGAGCTCTTCACATGGGACTTCAGAATGCGGACAGGAGTCTGTCTCCTCCTCCTTGGGGAGGTGGATGTCTTCCATTGGCTGGGGAGGCCAAGGTGGCACTGAAGGGAGGGTTAGGCCCAGCAGGGGGAGAGGAAGGCAGTCTGATTGGGCAGTGGCTTGAGGTCCATGGCAGCATCTGTGGCACGGGGGCCTTGGCAGCCTCTAGAAATCCCCTTGGGTAAATCTGGCTTTGGGTCCAGGTAGTCACATCTGATTGGGAACCAGGGAGGAGCCCTGGGGCAGGTGTAGTGTGATGGGATTTGCATTTAGAAAGCCCCTGTCCCTGCTGTGGGGATAGTTTATAGAGAGGGATGCTGGAGGCAAGGGTGTGTGTAGTGGGGCTGGGGCCCCGGGGAGAGTTGGAGGCTGAGAGATGGACATGATTAATAGAGGGACCCGCTGGGTTCTTCAATCCTTGTAGCCCTGCACAGGACAGAGGAGCCTTCTTCAGCCAAAGAACACACCAGGGAGAAAGAGGAGGACTAATGGGTGGGCTGCTGCTTCTCTCTCTCTCTTTTTTTTTGCAGGGGGGTGGGTACTGGGGATTGAACTCAGGGGCATTGGATCACTGAGCCACATACCCAGCCCTATTTTGTATTTTATTTGGAGACAGAGTCTCACTGAGTTGCTTAGTACCTTGCTGTTGCTGAGGCTGGCTCTGAACTCGCAGTCCTACTGCCTCAGCCTCCCGAGCTGCTGGGGTGACAGGCTGTGCCACCACGCCCGGCTTTTCCTCTTTTCTTTTTTCTAGCACTGAGGATGGAAACCCAGGCCTTACACTATGTGAGATGATTGCTTTGCCACTGAGCTACACTCCCAGCCCGTGGAGCTGCTTCCCAGAGTGATGACAACGTTCTGGTAGTAGGTAGAGGTGATAGGTGCCATGAAATCGCACACTTTGGGTGAATAGCATGATATGTGAATTATATCTCAATAAAGTTGTTGAAAAAGAGCAAGGCAGGTGGCAGGCACTGACAATGGATGGGATGTAGGGACAGGCAGGGCAGTGTCAAGGACCGCTCCAGGTTCCCACTGATGTATTTATGCCATCAAGAGACTAGAAACACAGTCCTCTTGCTGCCCATGCTGCTGCTGCCCCCAGGAGATCCTGGGGCAAGGCCCAGAGGCAGTTTGCAAAAGAGGGCCAGACTGGGACTGCAGATGGACAATGACCTCTGGGAGTGGACGTGCTGACAACAGCTGAGTTCCAGCAGCACCTCACTATGTTGCCCACACTGGCCTCCAGCTCCGGGTTTCAGATGACCCTCCCGCCTCAGCCTCCTGAGTAGCTGAGATTAGAGGCATGTGTCATTGAACCCAGCTAACTTTTTACTTTTATTTTTTAAATTTTTAAAAATTTATTAGATGTAGATGGACATAATACCTTTATTTTTAATTTTTACGTGGTTCCAGGGAACGAACCCAGTGCCTCACATATGCTAGGCAAGCGCCATACCACTGAGCCACAACCCTGGCCCACTTTTTAATTTTGATCCATGAGGCATGTCATGCCATGGGCACAGAGACACTGGTGCCCCATGGTGCTGAGGGAGCCCTCAACAGAGCTAGGGCAGGGTATGGAGGTGGCCAGGTAACTGCTGCTGTCTGTCAAGGCCTGGCTAGGCTGCATGATCCACAACCAGGAGAAGTATTTGCGGTGTGCTTTGCTCTGTGGCAGGGGACATCTCTGTGGCTCTGGAACCATGGAGGAAGTGAACTTAAGAGAGGGAAGGTTCTGGGCTGGGGTCATAGCTCCAGGTTAGAGCTCTAGCCTAGCATGTGCGAGGCACTGGGTTTGATCCTCAGCACCACATAAAAAATAATAAAGGTATTTTAAAAGGGGGGAGGTTCTGGAGATCAGGAGTGACAGCCCTTGTAGATGAGTGACCTCTGGGCAGAGGTGGGTGGTTCATGAAGCTGCCCTGGGCCACAGCCATATGCAAGTCCATGTCCTTCTGAGAGTACTCAATCTGTGCCACCTGGGCTGTCTACCTAGCCTTTAAGGTCAAACCAGCCCTCGCCAGCAAAGTGGATGTTTAGAAAGTGGGGAGAAGCCGGTGTTCCTTCTCTAACTTTGCTCAAGCCTCATGCTGACTTATAGGGTGTCCAAAGCCCAGCCAAGATGACAGGGCTGCATGTGACATGCAACTAGACTCCACTGTGGAGGCTGCAGAGCTGACAGATGGCAAGGCTCTGCAGGAAGCCATAGCTGCTGTGACCCTTGGTGCTTCTCGCGGGGCACTGCAGGCCTGAGTGGCACTAACCTTCTTTGGTGGAACTGACTGGAGATGTGGCTCCTGTAGCAGCAATAGAACTGTCCATGCCTTCCTGTGGTGGTGGCGCCTCCCGCAGGGTGCACAGAGTACAGGATGCAGAGGAGCGGGCTCCAGCTGCTCTGTCCATTTCCTCAGAGCCCAACTCCAGCTGCTAGCAATTCACTTAGCCTTGAGTGCCCGAGATATAGCCACTGGGCTGGGTGTTCACGGCTGACTGGCAGACAATGGTGACATTCTGGGAGGTGGCTACAGTGTCACTGGACAGCCTTCTTGACTGGTAGCAGATCTGGAAAGTGGGGACCCAGAGGTGCTGGCAGTTGAGGTTAGGTAATGGGCTGGAGTGACAAAGGAGTAGCCACCTGACCAGAAGGGAGTCAGGGTGAGGTGCCACTCCCACTCCAATCTTGCCCTTGTTTATGCAAACGAGTGGGGGGGGGAGCTCAGGCTGAGGGGCGGGGGCAGAGAATCAAGCCTCTTTCAGTAGCTTACTCTATCAGGGCCTGAAAGGCCATAGGTGCTGCTCTGTCCCCTGCGGGCTGGAAAGAGACCCCTCAGCAGCCCCCTCCAGAGAGTCCCACTCCAGGCCCCCCATCTGCTTTTGGTCCAAGACACATCCAGGCCAGTTAACCACCACTGCACAGGCAGGGAGTCTCCCCATGGGGAACTTCCCTACCAAACCCATCACTTCCCAAGCATGCAGTCCTAGACTCTCAGAGTGTGTGGCTTTGTGGTGGCCAGCTGTTGTCACAAGAGGACAGTGAAGCATAAAATAGGGTTTATTGAGGGAAGCAGATGGGCAGAAGGCCAGTGGGGGCACCAAGCTGTCACTGTCTAACAGTGGGTAGCACCTCTCTGGCCAGCTTGCCAGCCAGGGGAGCCTATTATGGGGTGGGGGCAGGGACCTGCTGTGCAGGGTCTCTAGCACGCAGGGGGCTCTCACTCCCCTGCGGGTGTCCGTGTGCCTTCCTAGGACACTCAGTCCCGCAAGGCTGGCAGCTATTAAGCTCCCCAACAGGAGGAGGGGACACACCTTGCCACCACCTAACTCTCATCACCTAACTTCAGGTGAACGTGGGCAACCCAGGGCAGCACTGCTGTGGCCCGGACACATTGGCCTGCTCCAGCTTCCTGCCACATCTGGGCTGGCCCCCACTACCAGGAACGACACCTGCCACGGGAGTCATGAGCATGGGTTTAATTCAAGCTGGAAAAGAGCACAGGAAGGAAGGCCAGCGAGCCCTGGCGGGGCCTGCTCTGCAGTGGTTATAGAGGGCCATGCCCCAGTGGGAAGCGGATGGCCAAAGACCAGGAAGGCCTTCCAGAAAGACCTGGTGTGGCTTGCATGGGTCTTTGGAGGGTGGGTGGCTCAGCTGGAGGGAATGGGACTTCCCGCACGTGCTCTGGCTCAAGGCCACTTCACCTTACTCTCTTGAACTCAAATGGGGGCCACACCCTGCTGGAAAGTCCTTGGCACAGTCACAGGCTCTGAAGATGAGCAGCAGCAGGGCAGGCGTGGCCTCTGGAGGTGCTTCTCCAGAGCTGAGGAGCCTAAACCCCGGGGCAGGCGCAGCCACTGCCCTGCTCTGCCCCACCTCTGGACACTTGTCTGCTGACACAAGTGCCCCTTCCCAGGATGCCTCTGAGGAAGTGTGAAGGCCTTCCATGCTTCAGAAGAGGGAGACAAGTTTTTGTCAAGCAAATCTGAGTGGATGGGAAATGCCTGCATGGATAGGGAGCATCTGGGTGCCAGCAGCCTCTGACAGGGCTCCTGTTCTGTCTCCGTGGAGATCCACCTCACTGGGACTCGCTGTCCGGCTTTAAATCTTCAGTGTTCCTGATAATGAAGAAACCCACATCATTTCAAAGGTTGGAGCAGGGTGTAAATAGACAAGAAAGCTAAGGAGTCTTGGAATCCTTTTTTCCTAGAGAGAACCATTAGCTCGTTTTTATACACCCACCCACACATAGGTCAGGGCATTGCACACACGAGTTGTTCTATCAAGAAATATCCCAGCCCAGAGTTCAATTTTTTTTTCTTTTTGAGGTGCAGTGTTCTTTTGGGGGGATGGAATCAGGGCCTCACTCACATAAGGCAAGTGCTCTATCACTGAACTTATCCCCAGCCCCAGTCCCAGGTTTTTTATTGGGGTGCTCACACAGGGACTTTCTGCCTGGTTGACTGACTGCTGTCACTGAAATCTCACCCTCTCAGAAGTAGGTGTTCAGTAAAAATCCCAGGTACAGCTGGGCGTGGTGGTACATGAGTATGATCCCAGTTACTTGGGAGGCTGAGGCAAGGGGATTACAAGTTCAAGGCCAGCCTTAGCACAGGGAACTGGTTACCAGCTAGGCATCTGCCTCTGGAGCAGCTGTTCCAAAGGCAGGAGTCTTGGACCTACAGCTTTAAGAATGTTCTGCACCTTCTGTGTTATATTAATTGGCTTTTTTATGTTAAGCCAAGTTTATATTTCTGAGATAAATCTCCCTTGATCATAATGTATAATCCTTTTTTTATTTTGAGGATTCTGTTTGCTGGTATTTTATTGAAGATTTGCTTCTATATTTCTAAGAGATACTGGTTTATAGTTTCTTGTGATATCTTTGCTTACTTTTGGTATCAGGGTAATACTGGTCTTATAGAATGAGTTAGGAAGTGTTCTCTCCTCTATTGGAAAGAGATTATGAAAATTCCTCCTCCTCCTCCTCCTCCTCCCCCTCCCCCTCCCCCCAGTACTGGGGACTGAACCCAGGGCATTGCACATGCTAGGTAAACACTCTACCACCAAGCTACATCCCCATTGCACATGCTAGGTAAACACTCTACCACCAAGCTACATCCCCAGCCCTTTTTATTTTTTATTTTGAGATAGGCTTTTACTAAATTGCCTAGGCTGGCCTTGAACTTGCAATTCTGCCTCAGCCTCCCAAGTAGCTGAGGTCACAGGCATGACCACCATATCCAACAAGATTTATGAATGTTGTTGATCCTTTCAAACAGTCAATTTTTGGTTTTATTATGTTCCTCTATTATTTTTCTTTTTTAAAAAATTTTTATTAGTTATTGATGGACCTTTATTCATTTATTTTGTTAATATGTGGTGCTGAGAATCGAACCCAGTGCCTCACACTTGCTAGGCAAGTGAGCTACCACTGAGCCACAACCCCAGCCCTATTATTTTTCTATTCCTTATGTCATTACTTTTTTTCTAATCTTTATTTTCTCCCCTTTGCTTGTTTTAGATTTCATCTTCTCGGGCTGGGGTTTTGGGTCAGGGATGAAGCACTTGTCTTGCATATGAGAGGTACTGGGCTCGATCCTCAGCACCACATAAAAATAAATAAATAAATAAAGATATTGTGTCCAACTGTAACTAAAAAAATTTTTTTTTAATTTCATCTTCTTGGCTTTCTTTATCCTGTTTTGTTTTTAGTATATCAACATGGAGGTTTAGGGGGCTGGGGATGTGGCTCAAGTGGTAGCGCGCTCGCCTGGCATGCGTGCGGCCCGGGTTCGGTCCTCAGCACCACATACAAACAAAGATGTTGTGTCTGCCGAAAACTAAAAAATAAATATTAAAAAAATTCTCTCTCTCTCTCTCTAAAAAAAAAAAAAAAACAAAACATGGAGGTTTAGGTTGTTGACTTGAGATCTTTCCTCTTTTTAAAATATAAGTTTATAAAAATTTTTTTTTTAAAAAGGCACCATAAAAAAATAAAATATAACTTTGTAGCTATAAATTGTCCTCTAAGAACTGCTTTTGGTGCATCCCAGTGACATCCTTTCTTCAACCTCAGGTGCCTCCCCACCCTGAGTCAGAACTACCAGCCCAACTACACCCACAACCTGTGAGGACCCACCAGAAGCTGTGAGGACCTCCAGGTTTTGGGGAGATTTGCAACATGACATCATATAACCAAAGCAGTTACCCACAAATCTGCTGGTCTTCAGAAGAACAAGTCTCGAAGCACTGTTGAACTTCAGGCAGAAGTTTTATCTTTTCTGGGAAAGAAAATTGAAAAGATGAATTAAGAATTCTTTTCTTGTAGAAGCTCACTGAACAAATGACCCACCTTGATAACGATGAACTCAAGGCCCTGGGGCTAAAGAAAAGCAGGCAGAGTGACTCTGACTGGGGGATGCATTGGGAATTTTGGTTTTCTAATACCCAAAACCTCCCGTGCAAGGTAAAATGGCTACTTGAGACCATGAGAGTTGGCCTCCAGCCCTCGTCATCAATGGAAGCTCACTAGAAGCCAACAACCTGTCATGTGCCAAAGCCTCTGAAGACTTCCACTTCTTGTTTAAGACAAACCTGGGGTTTCTCATGGAAATTTATATCTTTAAGCATAAATGAAGTATCTTTTGGTTGTTTTCTACAACTTGGATTCATTTCTACCTTATACCAGCTGGTCCTTACTGTTCACATGGATTAATGTGAGAAACATGATGTCTTTTTTTTTTACATTTTTTTTAGTTGTAGATGGCACAATACCTTTATTTGTATGTGGTGCTGAGAATCGAACCCAGTGCCTCACACATGCCAGGCAGGTGCTCTGCCACTGAGCCCCAGCCCCAGCCCCACAGGATGCCTTCTAAAGGCTGGTTTTCACCAGGTGCGCAGGGGCACAATTGTAATCTCAGTGACGTGGGAGACTGAGGCAGGAGGATATCAAGTTCAAGGCCAGTCTCAGCAACTTAGCGAGACTCTGTCTTAAAATAAAAAATAATCAGTGGTAAAGTGCCTCTCAGTTCAATCCCCAGGACCAAATAAATAACGTCTGGTCTGGTTTTACATTTGTTTAAGTGCGGGGAACCCATTTTCAATTCAATATGATTAATTGTAGACAAACTCTGTGTGTATGTGCCTGTGTACACTCCACACACATCAGCACAGCCTTCTAGAGTAGGCTATATTTTTTTATCAGATTTTCAAAAAAGACAATGACCTGTAAAAAAAAAAAAATCTGTCTTAGAACTAAAGAAAGAAGAAAGTTGGTAGTTGGGATAGGCTGTGTTTGCAGGGACGGACGGGTGTGGGGTGGTTTCAGGCGACGGGGCGGAGCCTTGAAGGGTCTGGAAAGGCAGTAGGGCCAGACATGAAGCTCCAGAGGGACACCTGTCTCCTGGGCTGGCAGAGACCGTGACATCCACAGCTGTTCTGCCTTCCCTGACTCCCACCCACCCACCTGTGTGTACCTGGGTCCTCCTGCTGGGCTGGGTTGGGGAGCCGCTCCCGCTGCCGCAGGGCCTCCAGGCCCACCAGGTCAGGCTGGTGGCAGTGGCTGCGCATCACCATCACCCGATGGCCCTGGGTGATGGCCCGGCTGCGGCAGCCCAGCCGGGCCTGGTCCCGGCACATCCAGTACACCTTCTCGCCAGCGGCCTTCTCCTTCCTGTACAGGAACGACTCGTACACCAGGAACCTGCCCCCCAGGGAAGTCCTCAGGAACTCCAGGGGCTCCAGGGGCTCTGGAGGGGAAAGAGAGTGGTGTGGGGCCCTGGAGCCCAGGCCTGCTGGCAGGGGATGTGCCTCTGTGTCAGAATGGAGGGGTGCTCTGTCCCCTATCCCAGGCAGCCAGCCAGGAAATGCAATCCCCCCAGAAGGAACCACTGTGGTCCCTTCTCCCTCACCCCTCTGCCTGACTTTTAAGGCCACGGGGACCAAAGCTCAGACCTACCAGCCCTGACACCCACAAATGCAGACTGGCTTCCTTTCCAAGGGCTCTGGTGCTGACCCTGAAGCTGCTCAAACCCTGAGCTCTGCTGGAGAGCTCTCCTGACCACTAGAACTATGCCCTTGCTGGCAGGTCCCTAGGGCAGAAGCTGGGCCATTCTGGGGGACCTAAGGCTGATCCGGTCCAGGTACCAAGGGTCTCCCAGTTCCCTGCCCCTCAGCCAGCGAACTCTCAGACATTTAAGAAGCTGACCTGAAGGTCTTATGATATTGGAGGTGGGGTGGCCAGAGAAAACCAGGTGGGAACTAAAGCTGGGGCAGCACAGGGAGAACAGGAGAAGGCAGGAAGACAGATTTGAAGGAGACAAGAGACCTGGAGTGGACAAAGCGTCCAGGCAGGGAGACTGGGGCCCAGGCTTGCCCATCCTGCTCCCCTCTGCCCGCACCTGGGCCTTCCCAGTGGGTCAGGTTGGGGAAGTGCTCCCGCTGTCGCAGGGACTCCAGACCCGCCAGGTCGGGTGGGTGGCAGTGCCTGCGCATCACCATCACCCGCTGGCCCTGGGTGATGGCCCGGCTGCGGCAGCCCATGCGCGCCTGGTCCCGGCATGTCCAGTACACCTTCTCGCCAGCGGCCTTCTCGCGTCTGTACAGGAAAGAGTCGTACACCAGGAAGGTGCCCCCAAGAGGTGTCTTCAGGAACTCAGGACCTCCTGCAGAGTTGGGGAGGCAGTTAGAGAGCGGGAGCCTGGAGCCCAGGCCCCAGCAGGGAAGAAGTGGGGTGTGCCCCTGTTTTCAGAGCCAAGAACAGCATGGCCCCTGAATGAGGACCCCCCACCTATCTGCATCACCTACTCACTGTTAGGTGGCCCTGAAGCCCAGGTCACAGAACCCACCATCCCTCCAAAACAGCTGGGCCTTTAGCTGCTAGGGCCTCCCTTTCCTGAGGAAGGAGACTGACCCACAAGGACCCTGCAGGTGGAGCGCCCACCCCACAGTGCCCACCGGAAGGTAGCTACAGCTTTGTTATATGTGCTCATCTATGAGGGCACCCACGGGGCCAGCAGGTGGGCGTGTGTTGTACTGCTCAGTTAGAGGAAAAAGTAATGGCTTTGGGGAACAAAGAAGCTCAGGAGCTAAACAGGGATTTGTGACCTAGAGGGACAGGGCTGCAGAAAGATCACTCCCCTGGGAACCAGGCTGAGTGGAGATTTGAGCAAGGGCGTGGGAAGGAGGGTGGGAGCAGCCTGAATCACCTGCAGGACAGCGCTTCCCATCTCACAGAGGACACCCTCCCTCAGTCCAGGCACAGGGTCCACACAGAGGGGGCTGGAGGTACTCAAATCCTCAGATAGCAGGAGAAGCCAGGAGAGCAAGGTGAGGGCCAGGGCGGGGCATCTGGCTGTGGAACCACCTGGAGAGCCCAGGGAGTAGAGTAGGTGGGATGCTAAGGGGAGAGGCCCAGGAGGAACAGTTGCAGGTGCAGAGTGTAGCACAGGCCCTGGACCAGGAACAGGCAGCCAGCCAGGAAGGAGTGGGGACACCTGCCTGAGGCAAATAAGATACATATGTGACCATGGGCTATGGGTTCACTGCCTTCCTCACCTCATTAAAATGTCAAGGAATAAAAAAGGCACAGAACAGAAGGCCAAAGAATTGGGGAGGAGGAGGGGAGAGTAGGCCAGAGGAGCCGACAGAATGAGAGACTAGGACCGGGGGGCAGGAGGGTAGTTAAGGACATGGCAGACTGAGAACTCAACCAGGCCTGGCAGGGAAGCGACCAGGAAGCCAGAGGAACCCTCGGCAGAGCCCAGGGAGGGGAACTGGAGACCTGAGGTCCACAAAGATGGGGTCCACCATGGGCTCCACAAAGCAGGCTGGGGGAAGAGCATGGAAACAAGATGCAGCAGCACGTCAGGAAGAAGTCTTGGGGAGAGATGCTGAGCTGTGTGTAGGGAGGAAGTCGAAGTCTGCACTGGAAAGCTCACACTTCTACCCGCTTTCCTACCCAAGACCAGAACACTGGCAGCCAGGCTTGTGTGCCCTGGGCAGGTCTGTCCTGTCTATCCTGCTCAAAGACCCACTGAGGCATGGCCTGCGGTCCCGTGGCAGACGTTCGGACTGGTCAGCACTTGCATCAGAACTAGCCAGAGTCTGCCTTCATCATGAGCCGACCCTGGGGGTAAATGGACATCCAAGAGGAGCTGCTTCTGGAAAGACTATGGCAGACAATTGGAGAAAGGTCACTTGGAGAAACCAGGCTGCAGCCACCACAGGAAAGAAATGGAGGCCATCACTCTGCTGAGACTGTGGAACACGAAAGGCATGTTCAACTACAGAAACTGGCTACATGCAGTGGGCACATCTGTAACCCCAGGTACTTGGGATGCTGAGGCAGGAGGATTGCAAATTCAAGGTCAGCCAAAGCAACATTAGTGAGACCCTATCTCTAAAAATAAAAAGGGCTAGGGATGTGGTTCAGTGGTAGAGCACTTCTGGGTTAAATCCCCAGTACTGTGGAAGTGGGGGGGGGCAGGAAATAAGAGAAGAAACTTAAATACAGCATTAAAAAACAAAACTGAGAAAATCTTGGACAATATCACAAAAATGTCAGTCATCCCAGGAGGCTTGACATCCCAGTAATGGAAGGCACAGAAAGAAACCAGATGAGGAACACAGGAAGATGCTCTCCGTTGAAGGGCACAAGCTGAGGCCTGAAAGGCCCCCAGTAACCCCTCACAGCCAGGCACAGCAGGGAAGGGCAGAGAGCCCCAAGTCCTTGAGGAGAGCCATCGCACACAGGGCCAGGCACTGGGGAACTTCTATGCTGGTCCACAACAGGTTCAGCCGCCACAGAGGGATCCTTCACAGCCTGGTGCCCACACACGGTTGCACGATGAGGGGAGCTTGCCAGCAGCTCCGGATAGGCAGAGTCTCAAGTAGTCACTCAGGAGTGACCAGAGGAGGGACTTCCCCAGCCTCAAAACAAGAGCGAAATGAAGAAAAAGAGATAGGCCCAGGGGCAGGGGGCTATAGAAGACACTCTGGGGTGGTGGCCAGCCAGGTCCCAGCCCCCAGGCCAGGCAGCAGCAGGGCCTAGAGGCCATCACCAAAGGACACAGAGCTATTGATGAGGTTGGTACAGGGGGTTGGTGCAGGGAGGAGGAAGGAGGCTGCAGCAGGTCCTCAGAGGACCAGGCAAAGCAGCTACTGGACCACAGAGAAGGCAGAGCGCTGCGTAGGGAAGGGCAGTAGGACACCCCGGCTAGGCTAGGACAGGCCTCCATGGCAAAGTGGAAAGAAATGGGCAAAATGGGCCTGGAGAGGCCACACGCTCGCTTTATCTGGCCAGAAGTCAACAGTGACAAGGAACTGGAAAGCCAATTCATAGTGGTAGAAAGTTCAAGATCAGGCCGCAGATGCCCTAAGAAACAACAGGATCCCCGTGGAGTGGTGTTTGTGGGGTGGTGATGGGCGCGGATGTGCCTCACAGTCTCCTCTCCCCGAACCAAAAGTGAATGGAAATGGAATAAAGTGGGAGTCGGAGAGAATTCAACCAGGGCTCTCAGGTTTGGGAGAGCTTTAGGGCCGAAAACTATAGAATAGGAAGAGGCAGGAGCGAGGAAGCACCTGACCGACCATCAAAGGGCGAGCCGGGAAGATGAGCAGATGGGGCTGAACTCACTCTCCTGGGCAGGCAGGACGGATGAGGACAGGCACAGACTCACATGGGGTGACCCCAAGAACAGGAGAGTGAGGCACAGGCTGGGGTGCTGCTTCATGGCAGGGCCCTTGCTTAGCATGCAGGAGGCCCTGGGTTCCATCCCCAGCACCAACAAAACTTCAAACCAAATAAAACACCACGCATGGTTGTGGTGATCAGATAGGGACAAATGCAACAGATCTGTGACAAGCTGGGGAGGTCTGATACCAACTTTTGGCCCCAGATTGTAAGAGGGGCTTGTCACAGGAAGCATGTTTATCTGCTTGCACTGTAAGCCTGAGGGGCGGGCTGGGTGGAGCAGGAGGTGAGCTCACACTCAAGAGAGTGGGACTTGCAGGTGGGCTGAGGGGCGGGGGCCAGGGGAGCGCCAGAGGTGGCAGATGTGGCTCCTCCAGCATCTTCACCTAATGAAGGAGGAGGGAGCAACATGCGAGGCCAGGAGGGAAGCCTGCGAAGTCTTCCAGGCACCTGTGCTCCCCCGCTGGGTGGGGCTGGGGCGATTCTCCCGCTGCCTCAGGGTCTCCAATCCCACCAGGTCGGGTGGGTGGCAATGGCCTCGCATCACGGTCACCCGAGAGCCCTGGGTGATGGCCCGGCTGCGGCAGCCCATGCGCGCCTGGTCCCGGCATGTCCAGTACACCTTCTCGCCAGCGGCCTTCTCCCGCCTGTAGAGGAAGGACTCATACACCAGGAAGCTGCCCCCGAGAGGGGTCCTCAGGAACTCAGGACCTCCTGAGGAAAATCAGAGGGGCAGTCAGGGAGGAGGCAGGGAGCAGGTAAGAGGGCTGAAGATGCAGGGGCAGGCTGGGCAGGCTGGATCGTCTCCCTGGAATTCAGGAAGCAAGGCTCGAGGTGTAGCCAGCTGGGAGCCAACATCCTCAAGGACAAAGACTCACCAGGGTCCGCATCCTGGTCCTCATCAAGGGATCCCTGCAGGGCTTGGGGTTGGGCAGGCAGCTCCGGATCTTTGACTTTAGCTTTCTTTCTGGGCCGGGGCCTGGTGAGAGTCAGGGTGCCCGGCCCCCTGTGGTAGAGCAGGCTGTCCACACCTGGGAGCTGCTTGTCCGCACAGCCCTCAAGGCCATCTGGCCTGGCCTGAAGTTTCTCCATGGCTTTCTCCTGCTGCCTCCGAGCCTGTAAGCCCTCCATGTCGGGCTGGTGACAGTGGCCCCGCATCACTGTCACCCGTTGGCCCTGGGTGATGGCACGACTGCGGCAGCCATGTAGGGTGTGGTCCCGGCAGGTCCAGTATACCTTGTCCCCCACAGCCTTCTCCCGCTTGTACAGGAATGACTGGTGCACCAGGAAGCTGCCCCCATAGCATGTCCTCAGGAACTCGAGGGGCCGGAAATGGCCTGCGGGAGGGACCCAGGGCAGTCATGAGACAGAGACAGCAAGAAGGGAAGGAGCCAGGGGTCCCAGGAAAGATGGCTAGCAGCACAACTGGCGACTGAAAGGTGTTTTTCTCCTGTATGGCTGGTTTGTGCAACGGCTTCCCCAGAGCTGGGCATGTGCAGAGCCTGGGTATGTTCCCACTGACCCTCCCTGCAGCCATCCAGGGAGGAATTGGAGTTCCTCTCCCCGGGCAATGAGGTGTCCCATGCTCCTGGGTATAAAACACCAACTCAAAATCACTCTGGCAGGGGATGAGCTGGGCTGTGACTCAGCAGCCTATGTTCCCAGACTCAGGTTATTGTTTAGGGCTTGTTTATTTATTTATTTTTTTTTTTGTACCAGGGATTGAACTCAAGCACTTAATCACTGAGCAACATCCCCAACCTTTTTTTTTTTTTTTTTGAGATAAGGGTCTCACTAGGTTGCTTACAGCCTCACTAAATTTAGAGGCTGGTTTCAAACCTGAGATCCTCCTGCCTCAACCTCCCAAGCCACTGGGATTACAGGCATGCACCACTACACCTGGCTAAGAATTTTTTTTTAATCTATCTACATTTTGAACAGTACATGCACATGTGCTATAAAACTCAAATGATACTGAAAGATACACAGTGGAAAAGAAGCCCCTTGCCCTGTCCTGTCCCAGGTACGCAGCATAGCATCACCTCTACTCCTTCAATCCCTTCTGGGTCAGGAGGCCTCAGCCTTCTGGAATCTAGGCCCACTTCCTAATTAGTGGTAACAAAACCATGAAAATTCACATCTATCTCTTGCCAGGGCCCCACCTGCTAGGCTGGTGCTGAGCACTTCCCATGCATGGAGCCCACAATCTCCATAACATCCAGGTTATCACACCTGCCTTAGGATAAATCTCGGAAATGCTAGAATTTAAGCTTATTTTCTGAGGCTATAGGGCCATCACCAGGTGGGGCTGGCATTTGCTCAAACTACAAGGCCAGAATCACTGGAACCAGTTAAAATTCTGACTTACGAGACCCTCCCCCATCAGATAATTCTGGAAGAAGCTGGGACCCCTACATCACAGCTGGTCCAGGAGCAAAGATGCTGTCCCATGGGCTTAATCATTGGAACATGCTTATATTTTTTTAGTCACTTTGACCTTGAGCACATCTTTTTTCTCTTGAGTATACTTTTAAAAAATACATATTTTTAGTTGTAGATGAACAGAATACCTTATTTTATTTATTTATTTATTTATTTATTTTTATGTGGTGCTGATGATTGAACCCAGGGCCTTGCACGTGTCAGGCGAGTGCTCTACCGCTGAGCCACAGCCCCAACCCCTCTTGAGTAAGTATACTTTTGAAAACGTAAGGGGGCTAGGGTTGTGGCTCAGTGGTGGAGCGCTTGCCTAGCATGTGTCAGGCACGGGGTTCGATCCTCAGCACCACATATGAAAAATAAAGGACCATTAACAAGAACAACAACAATAAAAGAGCACATTTAGGGCTGGGGATGTGGCTCAAGTGGTAGCGTGCTTGCCTGGCATGCGCGGGGCGCTGGGTTCCATCCTCAGCACCACATAAAAATAAAATAAAGATGTTGTGTCCACTGAAAACTAAAAAAATAAATATTAAAAAATTCTCTCTCTCTAAAAAAAAAAGCACATTTATAAAAAACAAACAAAAAAACACATGGGACCCTGATGTTTGGTGTGAGAGAGGGGCAGGTGATATGTACTCACCCATCCCCAACGTTGGGCGCTTCTTGGGTGGCAAGCTCAGCAGTGACAGGGCTCGGAACCCCACGTTCTCCTCTTGGGCTGGCTTGTTCTGTACCTGCCCAGGTGTGGGCACCAGCTCCTCGGGGTTCAGCCATGGGCCCACCCGCTCAAGTGGCTCCTCCACTTGGCCTACAGGGCCCTGGGGTCCCTGAGGGTCCCCCAAGCCCTCTGGCAGGGCCGGGCTGGGCAGCTTCTCCCTCTGGCGCCGAGCCTCCAGTGCTTCCTTGTCAGGTGGGTGACAGTGGTCTCGCATCACTGTGGCCCGTAGGCCTCGGGTGACAGCCCGGCCTCGGCAGCCCAGACCTGCATGCTGGCGGCACTTCCAGTACACTTTGTCCCCCACAGCTTTCTCCTGCTTGTACAGGAACGACTCATACACCAGGAGGCGGCCCCCAAATGGGGTCCTCAGGAACTCCAGGGGCTGTGGAGCTGCTGGGGGAAGGGGAGGGCTGGATTAGCTATCCAGGGGCTTAGATGAGAGCCACTGAGGGGAGGGGGTTCTGGAGTGGAGCAGGGTCACTGTGTGCAGAGGGTACATTCTCAGAACCCCACTGCCAGCCCCAAAGCCCAGACTTTCCAGGCTGGTTTTATCGTGGTGGAGCGGGCTGTTTTTGATGAATTGAAGGAATTCTGCTCATCACTGCAATTCCCATGAGGGAGGGAGGATGGGGTGCCTAGAAGGCACTATATTGCACATGGGTGACATCACGTTGTCTGCACCTCAGCCTGGGATGGGGTGGTGATTACAGATTGGGAGGCTCTGCCAAGAGCAGGGACAGGACATTCAAGGTCAGCATGATGGAAGGGTGGGTTCACAGGCACACATTTCAGCATGCAGGCTCACAAACGAACCCTCACCTGTGTCCAGCTTGCTGCGTTTCTGCTCAGGAGCCCTCAGGCTGGGCTGGACTACCAGGGCCTGTTCCTCCTCGGCTGGAAGGATCTGGAGGGTGCTAGCTAGGGTTTCAGGGCCAGACATCTCCAAGGACACAATGCAGTGCACTTCTGTGGGCTTGTCCACCCCATCCCCATCCTGGTCAGAGGCCATCAGCAGGACCAGATTGGAGAATTCCTGGGGTTTCCCGGGGGCTGCTGGGATGACATCTGTGCCCACGTCGTGGGAAGGCTCCTGGCCAGCCTTCACGCTCTCGTCCTCCTGATCACTGGGCTCAGGCAGGGGCATCTCGAGACCAATGGCCTGGCCCTCAGGCCACACTCAGTACTCCCACCCCTGGCAAATAGGTGTCTCCTCTTTCTCTTCCCTGACCAGGAGCCTGGGAGTCCAGGGGCTCTGTCCTAAGGAAGGAGGCAAAAGCCCAGTCAGTAGAGGAAGCCTTTGGCCTTGGGGCTCTAGAAAATGGACCTGGGATGCAGCTGGGACAGATGGGGCTGCCCTGGTGATAGGGCTGAGAGGCTGGGCAGACCTGATGGAAATAAGGGCCTTGGGCCTGTGCTTCTGCTCTGCAGACACTGCTCCTGGTAGTCTTGGGCACATCCAAGCTGCCCCTTCCCCATCCACACACTGTACATGGCTATGCCTCTCTCCAGGGCCCTCAGATGACTCACATACTAGTAATTAAGTTTCTATCTACGGAGCCTCGTCATCCCAGCCCAGATGCAGTGTCATCACTGCTATTCCATTTAAGCTGCCAGCCCAGTGTTATGAGTCAACCATTCTTACTGACCCAGAATTCAGATGAGGACACCGAGGCACAAAAACCTGACATTCCCGAGGCCGAAGAGGCAGGAAGGTAGACCCAACTGTTTCTGCTTAGATGCCCAGGGACCTTCCTGGCTTTCTCTGACCCCATCTACGTCGCCCTGACTCTGCACCTGTCAAGGAACAAAGGCATGGACAGCAGTGGCACTTTGCAGACCTGAGCACTGAAGCCCTGGGATGTGGGACTTTCTGGAGTCACAGAGCCAGCCCCTAGTCTAATGTGGAGGTCCCAGGCCATTCCAGTCCTCCAGAGATGCCAGTGTCCCTCCAGAGCAGTGACCTTGTGCCTGTACTGTTGCTGACACTGCCTCAGCAGTTGGAGCAGGGCAGGTGTTGGAGAATCCTTCCAGGCCACTGGGGGGCTCTCTGACTTCCAGCCTGGAGAAACACAGGATGGATAACCAGGAGCCAGTGCAGGGACCAGCTGGCCTGGAGACCCACTAGGGGTGGGTTATCAGCCTGGGCTGGCTGTCTGTCTTACTGGGGCAGCTGGGTAGTGTGCATTGATGGGGTGGTTCCCACTGCTCAGTAAGAGCCCCTAAATAAAACTGCAGCACCCCTGTCATTTTTAGCTTCTTTACTGAGGAACCTCACCTCCAAAGTTCTGGGATTCCATTTCCCACTGGCCTCTCACTTCTGCCCCCATGCTCCCTGGTCTGGAGCCCCCAAGTCAGTTCTAAGTCCTGGTCAGTTCCAAGAACCGAGTGTGAAGGGTGCTGAGTCCCAACAGCCTTCCGCATCAGCGGGCGTTGCACTGGGCAGCAGTAAAGACCCCCAACCCAAGGGACAGGGCTCGAAGGAAATCTTCCAAGTAACAGATAATTGATGGGGAGCCCGACGCACCCCAGCCTGTCCTCTGCGTCATCCCCCCAGCCTCAGTCCAGCCCCTGGACAAGCCAACCCCTGCTCCTCCTGTGCGTCCTTTCCACCCCTGCCCATCCCGACCTATGGGGCAACAGGGGACACCAGGGACCTGGGGGCTGTCTGTGGCAGAGACCCAAGGTGGCCTCCAAGACAGAAAGTGGCACGGCCTGGAGCCCCGCTCACATGACGCCCGCCCCCGTGCTGACGTCCCTCTGCAGGCAACCCGCCCCTCGGCTCCCCTGGCCTGCACAGTCCGGGAGTGAAGGGACTGAAGGGACGGCTGTGGCGACTGAGACCCGAGTCCTCCCTGACTGGGGCCTCGAGCCTCTGGCTCCCGTGCCCACCCAAAGAAGGCCTTTCCGAGCACTCAGGCCACCCACTCACTGTAGCCATGTGGCTGCTGCCCACCCAGCACGTGGACCGAGAGGAGGACCCCTCCGCAGCCTCTGGGCAAGCTGGGCCTCCTGAGTCAAAGTGGGTGTGACAAAAGAAACCACCACCAGGTTCCCATAGGCCTGCACCCGGAGTCTGAGATCGGACTACGCAATCCCTTCGACTAAAATTCTATTTAAAAGGCATCCAAGATCCAGGTACCTCAAAAGATATGGAAAAGCACTAAGGCAGCAAGAGTCCCAGCACTGTGTTGACCTCCCCCTTGGGGAAGGGCTGGGCCCCGCAACATACCAGAGTTTGGATTTGATGGACTGTTCCCACTCTCCCTGTTAAAAAACTTGGAGTGGTAGACTGTTAAACGACCCCAGATCCTCCTTTTGAAGTATTTAGGGCTCTTTGCAGTGGGTTTTGTATCCATCCTTGAATCTAGACTGTCCTCAGTGATTTCCCCACAGTGAGAGTGCCCAAGCCCTCCTCTACATGGGCCATAGCCACAGGAGGAAGCTGTGTGGAAGGCCATGTGCAGGGCACCCAGCCACTGCCAGGCACGGAGGGGATCATCTCATTCCTGCCAGGCCACTGCCCCTCCAGCCATGTGCACCCAAAGAACCCTGATCAATGATAAACTATTGTTATTTTGAGTCAGTAAGATTGGGGTCATTTGTTACACAATAATTGATACACTTAGCAAGTGACTGCACCTAGGAGGTTGAGATGGAATCATCCTAATAGTTGCAAAGTACCTGGCATAGAAAATAAAATAACTTTTTTTGTGTGTGTGTGGTACTGGGGATTGAATGCAGGGGTATTTTACCACTGAAGCAGGACTCCCTCTGAAACACACATGCCTGACCTTCAGGGAAAGATTCCCCCACATGAGAGGATGAACCACAGAAGGTGGCCCATCCATACAGTGCAATGTTATTTAGCAAATAAAAAGGAATGAAGTTCTAATACATGCTTAGTGAAAGAAGTCAGTCACCAAAGACCAAGTATTGTAGGAGTCCATTAATATGAAATGCTTAGGGACTGGAGATGTAGCTCAGAGGTACAGTGCTTGCCTACCATGCACAAAGTTATGACTTCAGTGCCCAGCCTCACCCCCCAAACACACACACACACACGCACATACATATACATGTATGATGTCTAGAACAGGACAGTCTATGGAGACTGAAAGCAAACAAGTTGCCTGGGCTGAGAGGAATCGTGAGAGTGGGGAGTGATGGCTAAGGGTATGGGATTTCCATTTAGGGTAATGCAAATGTTCTAAAATGGTGAGGTTTGCACAACGATGTGAATACACTAAAAACATTGAATTATATGGTATATTAACCGTAGCTTAGTAAAGCTGTTAAAAACCAATCCTTGTAAGTATGACTCACATTTTGGGGATCACTTGGATGAAAAAGGTTTTCTACTCCTTAGACTGCTCTACTGGAGTTCTCCTACCCGGGCTTGGTTTCCTCATCCCAGTAGACAGGTGGCATGAATTATATGTTATATGTTGTGATGATTTTTTTCTTTTTGGGGGTGAGGGGGAATTAAACCTAAGGGTGCTTTACCACTGAGCTACATCCCCAGCCATTTTTTACTTTGAGACAGCCTTGCTAAGTTCCCAAGACTGGCCTTAAACTTGCCATCCTTCTGCCTCAACCTCCCTACTTGCTGGGATTACAGTCACACCAGGCTGTTGTGTGTGATGTTTTCTAAGTTTTAATATCATATCCTAAAAATTATATGGAACCCATTTACAAATGTTAAGAACATAATGCTGGTAGATCACCCATAATTCTGCTAAATGCACAACAATTTCCATTCTCATATTAGTGCCTTTAGTGCCCACTTTATTATCTGTAGCACACAGTGTTCAAACACGTGGTTTACTACTTTTTTTCTCTTTAGAGCAGAACACCTCACCTGAAGACCAGATGGAGCCCTTGTAAAGGACCAAAGCATTATATGGGCCCTTAACAGCTACAAAAACACACCAGCAGCAATATTCTATATGGCCACACGATGGCGATGTTTCCCACAATATGTTTCCACTGCTTTCTTGATAAAATGAAATGGGTGACAATGTTTTCAAATAAAGAATCTAGAAATTTTTCCTGGGACGGGGATGGGCTTTAAAAATACTCCCCAAAAGTCTATGAAAAATGTTAATTAGAAAGCAAGATCCAATGAACCCATTATGCCCCATCATCTTACATAGAATTGAAAACTTGAGGCAGTGGGTTAAGAAATTCAGGGAAGGCCAGGCACAGTGCTGCAGGCCTGTAATCCCAGTGCCTCAGGAGGCTGAGGCAGGAGGATAGCGAGTTCAAGGCCAGCCTCAGCAATTTAGTGAGGCCCAGTGGTTAAGCACCCCAAGTTCAAACCCTGGTACTACAGAAACAAAAAACAGACTGTTATGAAGACACTGACACTGCCTCTATCTCTCAACTCACTTGTCTTCCCTTCTATTTCTTCTCCACTTTGGTCACATTTGTTATTTATTGACTATTTTTCTTTTATAAGTCGAGACCTTTCAAACAATTAAATAAATAGGGCATAATAAATCAAAACGTTGAAAATGTTAAGAATGGTGATTTTATATTTTCTCAAATTTCTTCTGTTCATCTTCTCATAAATGAACTCTTTTTACAGTCGGGAAATATTAAGCGCTTTAAAGATAAGCTGTGCCTCCTAGTTTCTTCTCTAACTCTAACTTAGAAAAAAACGTGGATCCCATTACCGTGCAACCTCCGAAGAGGCTGGATTTCTTCCCAAAAGAAGCTGCAAGGAGAAGCCCAGCAGACGCCCTTCAGTGGCCACGGTCATCCTCGCCAGCTTGGGGACCTATCAGCACCGCGAACTCAAATGCCCGCCCCAAATGCACCCTCGAAAGAATCACACCAGCCCCCTCTGGAGGCTGTTCTACCAAACCACTGGCCAGGACACTTGAAAGACCCCATCAGGGAAGACTGGAGAGAAGCGTCCACCGCGGCAACGTGGGATCCGACTGCATCCCGGAACAGAAGCCACGCACCGGAAGCACTGCTGAAAGCTGAATAAGGTCAGCCGCTTGGGTTAACGGCGGCGGTACTCCAAGATTAATTTCTGGGTTTTGCTTGTCCACTGTTAAACATGCTGGTGGAGAAAAAGATGCTGGCATTCAGGGAAGCTGGGTGAAGGGTATATTTTTGTAATTCTTTATTTTAGTTTTTGCAGTGCTGGAGATCTAACCCAGGAACTTACATACACTGTACCCCTGAGCTATACCCCAGCCCTATTTTTACAATTTTTTAAAAAAATGTAAAATTAATACAAAATAAAAGTCTTCTGAAAATCCAAGTTTCAAATTTATGGAAGCAACAAGTTGAGAGAGAGAAGGAGTAACCTAGGGACCTCCTGTAAAGTGATGAGAGAATAGAGTGCACACGTCCTCCTGCCCACAGTGGGCACAAAAGTGACGTGCCCACATTCACCTCATTGGTCCTTGACTTGAATCTTTATCAAGAGTGAGATGCTATGACATGGGCCCATCCTCCACTGCTGAAACCCGACAACCTCCCTTCCAAATGCCACCTTCTTCCCTGCTCTGCACTGGGGAAGGGTTGGCCTCAGGCAATTAAGTGTCTAGGACAGCTGATGAGGTCCAGAGCCAATGTGCCTTCCTCTGGCCTGAGCAGTGGGTGCTTAAAGTAAAACAATGCCAGGCATGAAGAAAACCGCTCTAGAGAGCTGGGTCATGCCTTGGAAGTAAGTGGTCAGCTGTATCAGTGACCCTGCAAACCAGATGCTTTATCATTCATTACAGCATTGCACCACAGGAGCTCAAGATGAATCTGGCCAAGGGGGACACTGTAGGAGACTGAAAGAAGTGCCAGGGTTACCATAGCTACCACCTTGGACAGCATCTCTATTGTAGGGTCCAGCCTCTGGCCAGCACAACTCCATCTTTGTGGGGTCACCAGCCTGCTGACCTTGACCCATCCAGCTTGGCTATGGTGGCAGCTGCTAGCCACTGCTAATCTCAGGGTTATCTTGCCATTTTTTGTTTGGCTTATCAGAAGCTGTACCTCTGAGGAACAGCACTAAATCCCAGTTGAAATCTCACAGAAATATGTGTCTTCCCAGCTGGACCATAAGCAAGACTGCCTCCAAGAATCCAAAGGGTTGAGACTTAGGATTTTCAGGATTTCTGTTACCAAAGACCAACCATGTGCCAGGTGCAGCTAGCATGCAGCTCTTTACTCATCTCCCAGATGACCCATCACTTAGATTCTGGGGCTCTGTGCTATCACTGAGGAGGAAGTTAGGGCCCAAGCTCAGTCCCCATGGTCAAGAGCCAAGATGATAAGGGTGGCCACCATTCAAACCTCCCCTGCCTGTCTTTGTTCCTACCTCTTGAATTCTGACCCATTGGTGTCAATAGGCCAAGGCTCCCACTGCCCAGCTAGGGTGATCTTGCCTCCCAGGTGACACTTGACAATGTCTGGAGATATTTTTGGTTGTTATATTAGGGTGGGGGTAGGGTCAGTGTGACTAGTGTCTAGTCCATGGAGGCTGAGGTTGCAGAACAGGGCAGCTGTGGCAACCACACCACTCACCACAGGGAGTGTCTGCTGTGAACTAAGGACAGTGCCAAGGCTCAGAAACCCCCTCAAGACCAGCATTTAAAAAATGAGGTAGAAGCAGGCACGGTGGCAAATGCCTATAATCTCAGTGGCTGGGGAGGCTGAGGCAGGAGGATTGCGAGTTCAAAGCCAGCCTCAGCAATGGCAAGATGCTAAAGCAACTCAGTGAGACCCTGTCTCTAAATAAAATACAAAATAGGGCTGGAGACATGGCTCAGTGGTTGAGTGCCCCTGAGTTCAATTCCCAGAACCAAAAAAAAAAAAAAAGAGGTAGAAGGGAAAAGCTGCCCTGCACATAATGAGGTTAAATGTAGTTTTCATGAAACTTTTATTTCAATTATTTGAGTATATATAATTATAGTTTATATGAAAATTCTCTGGGTACTTGATCAAACATAGATTCTGGGATGGGGCTATAGCTCAGTGGTTGGCATGTACTAGGCCCTGGGTTCAATCCCAGCACTGCCAAAACAAACACAGATTTCTGTATTCCACATCAAAATTCTGGTTGAGGATCTAAAGGATTCAAGAATCAAGATTTGAAAAAAAAAATCAAGATTTTTTAATAAATATCTGAGTTTTCTTTCTTTGTTTTTTGGTATTGTACTGGGAACTGATGCCAGGTGCACTTTACCACTGAGCTGCATCCCCAGCCCTTTTGTTTCTTATTTTGAGACAGGGTCTTACTAAGTTGCTGAGGCTGGCCTTGTACTTGTGATCCTCCTGCTTCAGCCTCTGGAATTGTTGGGGTTACAGGCATGCGCCACCACAAACATCTGTGTAAGAGTTTTTATTTCCTTTTTTTTTCCTTCCCCTTGTCTAAGGCACTGTTTTCAAATGTTCTGGTCACTGGGCCTAAAGTCATTAGGTTCTAGAAAGCAATTTTTAAAATTGCAAAGGAAATATCAATTTGCATTACTGTAATAAAAGTATTATTTTTTATAAAATTTTTATTATACATATATATTTATTACAGGTTGATTTAAATATACATTTTTTTTACTTTGATCACTGTTTTGGGTCCTATATTTTAGGATTTTTTGTTTGTTTGTTTGTTTTTTGGTACTAGCGATTGAACACCTGGGGGCCCTTAACCACTGAGCCATAGCCCTAGCCCTTTATTTTTATGTTTTAAGATACGGTCTTGCTGAATTGCTAAGGCTAGCTTTGAATTTGCAATCCTCCTGCCTCAGCCTCCCAAGCCACTGGGATTACAGGCATGTGTCACTGTGCCTGGCCCTAATGTATATACTTTGTGATATTAAATTTTCATTCTACAAAGACTTTTCAGGTCAGACAGATGGAAATAGGACATTCAAGCATCTCAATGTTTATGGTTTGTCACTCTCTTATCCTCTCTCCCCTCCCCCAAAATTGAGGGTATAGAGCAACAACTCAAGTGCAATACTCACACTGCTTCTTTGACATTGCCCTCCTGCTGGTGGTCTCAAGGGGCTCAGTGTAGGCCCCAGAGCCACATAATATTAGGAATAATCAGGTGTCTCTCAGATACCCTGAGTCCAAACTCTAACTGCTAAGTTCCTGAAAGCCAGGAGCCTCTCCTGGAAGCTGATAGCAGTTACTTTCAATCATGAGAGAAAACTACATCACTATCCACCTACACCTGGGTCTGGGGCACTAGCTTGTGAGGGAGGAGACCTCAAGTCCCATGACTTCTCTGGCTGCTTCTCTGGCTACTTCACCTGTGAAGTAGGAAAAGCAGCAAATGAAATACTCTAAGTGAAATTCTTCAATAAACAGTATAGCATCAAGGACAAGAAATTCTTGGTCTAGGCTCAGTAGGTCCTAGGCAGTGGAAGAGGGAGGAGGAAAGGCCCTGCAGGTAAAACATCACCTGGATGATCACTGTGCTTCCCCACCAAAGAGCCATTAGGGTTGGAGGTGTGCTCTGCCTAGTGCATGGGCCCTCTGTGATTAGCACACACTCTGGGTGCACTTACTCCTGGGAGATACTGAAGGTGGTGGACCCCAAAGACTAAGATCTGCTACTAAAATAAGGGTTCCTGCCGCCAGCATGATGGGGTCTTCTGAACCAGACACTTGCTTGTTATGGAGAACTGCCCTGTTTATTATAGAATGTTAAGCAGGACCCCTGGCCTCTACCTGCCAGATAGATGCTATTATCATTCCCCCACAAGTTGTAACAACCAACATTGCCAAATACTCCCTGGGGGCAAAAATGCCTAAGAGTCACTGATCCAAAGCAAATTAGAAATGCAGAGAGTACAGGAAGGGAAATTGAACTAATAATGTCAGCTCCATATCCCTTGCTAAAGTTGGGATCTTGAATATTACCTAGGGGCCCAAGAGTAAAGACATACTCCTGGGGCTGGGGCTCAGTGGTAAGGTACTTGCCTAATATATGAAGCCCTCAGTACCACATACAACAACAAAACAAACCTACAAAAGGCTTATTCCCAGGGCAGCCCTATTGGGAGGTGGTTGGAGCTTTAGGAGATGGGGGGGGTGCCTTTCAAAGAGATAGTGGGACCCCACCCTTCTTCTCACTCTTCTTCCTGGACTTGAGTTGAACAATTTGTTCTGTCATGTTCTCCCTGCCATTGCCACCCAGCACCCCTACCAGAGCCCCAAAGCAATGGATCTTCCCGATCTTGACCTGGAGCCTACAAAAATGTGAGCCAAAATTAACTTTTTCTCCTAATAATTATCCCAGGCATTTTGTTATAATGACAGAAAGTTGACTAATTTATTCCCGATCACCCTAGATCAGAATCTTGGGTAATATATTCCCTGATCACCCTAGATCAGAATCTCCTTTACCTAGCCTGATGTGTTATCACACACATCTTCCATTTCATTTTCTCTCCTGTCACCTGAGAATTTTCTTCCTTACTGCCTCCTCTTCAGCCCACACTAAACCCAGGCAATGTTCATCTTCTTTAGCTTGCAGCCACTCCAGGGCCGACAGGTTATTCTTCCCAAAGCTTAACTTATGTCATGCATCTCCCAGTAAAAATCATGGCTTAGCTCATCATGAGCTTGGCAGTACACAGGTTTCACTGTAGCACCTATTTCACACACTGTTCCCTCCCACAAATCTCACTTATGGCTTTTGGAAAAAGAATAAGATAAACCTGATGGTATCATACCATAGAGTCTTAATCAAGCATTGGAAATGATATTGGCCCTGGTAAAAAAATTTGTAAAAATATCCCTTTCTTTGGAATTGAAGTTTATACTTGATTAGCTGATTGTGGAAATTCAGTATCCTCTGAATGCAAGAAGTAGAGGGTTTAAAGCAGGGTTTCAAGCTGGGCATGGTGGTGGCCTGCCCCACTTCCACTGGGAAGTGGCTTGGGAGGCTCAGGCAGGAGTATTGCAAGTTCAAAATCAGCCTCAGCAATATAGCAAGGCCCGAAGCAACTTAGGGAGACCCTGCTTCAAAACATAAAAAATAAAGGCTGGGGATGTGGTTAGGTGGTTAAGCAGCCCTGGATTCAATCCCTAGTACCAAATAAATAAATAAATAGCAAGAAACAAGTAGGCTTTCGAGCTGTCAGACCCACTAGATCCCTCATCAATGGGTTAGCAACAGTCTTTTGGAATGGAACGGAATGGAATGAATTAGAATAGAGCTAGAATAGATCTGCGTCATGTGAGCTGGGGTAAGCGGCTCCCTTTAAACTTGTGCTTGAGTAATCTATATCTACAAGCACAGGGAATACACAAAACATGTTTCTAAGTGTAGGTTGAGTCAAAAAGTTTGAAAGCCATAATGGGCAATCTATAGAGTCAGAACCCGATAGAGGTGGGTAAGAATCAGCAAAAAGTGCAAGGTCACTGGGACCCTTGGACGCAAAGAAGGGACCGGGCAGGGGTGGGTGCGGGATGGGAAGCCACTGGGCGGACACCGCTGGGGAAGGCGAGCAAATGTGGGGATTCCCGATTTGGGGGCGCCAGGCTTAGTCCAGGGGTCGGATGGGTTGGGGAAAGGAGAACCAGGAGAAAGGAGGGGAATCGCGGGTGTCGGACAAGGCGGCCGGAGCCCGGGACGCAGAGCCGGCACCCCCCTCCCCAGCACAACAGCTCCAGGACCCAGGAGAGCCGGGCCGGAGCGTGGGGCGCATCCAACCGTGGGGCGGGACCCTCCGGGACCCTCCCTGCCCGCTGGGGCCCGTCCTCACCGACGGCAGCGGGCCCTCCCTCTCCGGCGACGGAGCCGCGGCGGGTCCCTTGGTCTCGGCCGCGGCAGCCGCAGGCGTCGACCTGGCGGCCCAGTCCCCTCCAGCCAACACGACCCCAGCGCCCGCTCCCCGCCCAACCTGCCCCTTCGGGAGCGAGCCCCGTGCCCGCGCGCGCGACCCCGCGGGGAAGCCGGCCTCTCCGAATGCCCAAACAGGCTCCTAGCGATCATGCGCAGTAAAGCCACGGAGTCGTTTCGTGGGCAAATTCCACTTCTCCGGGTCTTCCCTGCGCGCCGCTGAGCTGATGGCCTGGCCAGTAGGCGTGTAGGGGCGTAGCCCTTTGTCACGAAAGAGGCGTGACCATCCTGGGATTGGGAGATCGCACCAAGGGGCAGGGCTCCCTCCACGCAAAGGGGCGGGGCAAATGGGTTTGATTGAAAGCTCTGGATCTTCCCAGAATTTGACTTTGCGCTGATAAAAGTGGGGCGTTTTTGTAAATACATACCTAGGCTTGCCGCTTTCCTGAGCCAGTGGAAAGAAATTTCTTATGCACCTCATTTAAGCCTAAAAGGTCCCCACCCCAAATCCAGGACAATTTGATCTTCAAAATAAATAATCAGCCAAATTCAGTGACGCAAACCTGTAATCCCAGCAACTCTGAAGGCTGAGGCAGGAGGAGATCCCAAAATAAAAAATAAATAAATAACCGTTAGTAACAGATTATAACCTTAAATAAAATAATCCACGGGTTGCTTTTCTAGGTGAATAAATGGGAGAGAATTTTTTTTTTCTTATGGCAGAAAAACAATTTTAAAATGCAGGAAGAATAATGCAGGGCCGGGCTCATTGGCGCACACCTGTAATTCCAGCAACTCTTCTATGAGTTTTATAATTTAGCTTTTACTAACTTGGATCTTTGACCTATTTTGAGGGTTTTGTTTTGTTTTGTTTTGTATATTATATGAAGGAGGTTTTCATTCTTTTTTTTTCCTGACTTATATTTTGAACTGATTTTATACCTACCCAGAACATTCCCATAGATATTCCAGTAGTCCTAGTACTATTTGTTGAAAATCCTTCCCCCATGTAAGTGTCCCAGCATTGCCTCACAGGTGTTAGGTACATAATCTCAGAAATTTAGTAGGCTGAGGCGGGAGGATTGCAAGTTGGAGGCCAGCCTCAATCACTTAGGGAGACCCTGACACAAAATAAAAAATACAAAAATCTGGAGATGTAGCTTAGTGATAAAGTGCCCCTGGGTTCAATTCCCAGTACCAATTAATAAGTAAATATCCTGGGGAGTGTGAGTCTACAACTTGGTCATTCTTTTTTTTTTTTTTTAATATTTATTTTTTAGGCGGACACAACATCTCTGCTTGCATGTGGCGTCGAGGATCGAACCTGGGCCGCACGCATGCCAGGCGAGCGCGCCACCGCCTGAGCCACATCCCCAGCCCACTTGGTCATTCTTTTAAAATTTTGTTTTATTTTGGGGTGTTGGGATGGGAGCCCAGGGCCACACACATGCCAGGCAAGCACTCTACTACTGATCCCCGACCCCCCCAGCCCTTGTTCATTTCTAGATTACCTATTCTGGGTACCTTGAGTTTCCAGATTTCCTCTTTCTGATCAATCTTTTTGAGAATGAATCTAATCTTGCATCGTTGAGATCATTGAAATTATTTTTTATGTGTCCCTGCTTTTTTATACCTCTCTATTGTAAACTTCCTCCCGCGGTATAACGTATTTTATATAGGACTGGCTACCTAATTTAGTTATTTTCCTATTAGCAATATCACTACGGGGGCCGGAGTTGTAGCTCAGTGGTAGAGCGCTTACCTAGCAAGAGTGAGGCACTGGGTTCGATCCTCAGCACCACATAAATAATAAGACATTAAAAAAAGAAAGAAAGAAATATTGCTGCTAAGTCCGAGGTCATTCCTGACATTTGGGGAATGTTCTGGGTAGGTGTAAAATCAGTTCAAAATTAAGTCAGGAAAAAAAAATCACCTTTGCTAGACTTTCAGCCTTTTGGTAGCAGAAAAGCCTTTCCCCACGGGTGCAGCCCTTGCCCACAGGTCCAGCCCTGGGTCCAGCCCTTGTCCACTGGTCCAGCCCTCGCCCTTGATCCAGCCCCCGCCGTTGGTCCAGCCCTGGCTCACTCACTGGTCTAGCCCTCGCCCACTGGGCCAGCCTTCGTTCGTGGTTTCAGCCCTAGCTCACCGATCCAGCCCTCACCCATTGGTCCAGCCCTCGCTCATCGGTCCTCTCTGCCTCCGCCGTGTACGGATACCGACCCACGTCATCCTCCAGCAACTACCGGCCGCCCGGTGCCCAGGGTACCGGGATGGCTCCCGGAGGTGCTTTCCTGGGACACTTGGCGGCGCCACATCCAAGTCCCTCCTCATTGCTCAGAGCTTCCTGCTTCAAGCTGCGCGTCCTCCGCAGTGCCGGGCGCTGACGCTACTCCTCCCTGGAAGACTCCCAGCTGCAGGCCCCGCGGCGCTCCTTCCCTCCCCTCCCCGGCTCCAACGCTGAGGCTGGAAGTGACCTGGGACTCCAAGAGGGCTGAGGCCCAGGTCCCAGGATGGGAAGACTATCGCACTTCCCAAGTCTTCCCGCATCCTGCGTCCTCCGTGGGGTCCTTTCCTTTTGGCATCCTTTCACATCCTCTGTATTTTCAGGGCTAGTCCTCCTCCACCCCACCTCATCCCATCCCACCCCTCGCCACCCTCTGTGTCTTCTCCAACCTACACACCTATTGAACCCGCAGCCCCTCCTCGCGCCCCACGACCCGGAATCTGTACCCCAAGTATCCAGCAAGCTCGGTACCTCCTTCACACTTCGGTCCCAGCTGGCTCCCTCTCTACCTGCTCTCCACACTGGGAACTTAAGGGACCAAAATCAACAAAAATCCTTTCCCTGGTGGTGTTAAGCTTATGTTACTGGGGGCTGTGGTGAGAGGCCAGGGGTACCAAGAAACAATAGGCATAGCAAACCATGAGATGCATGGTTTTAGAAACTGGTATGTGCTATGCAGAAAATAAAGCAGGAAGGGGGGCTGTAACTTTTTCCGAGTTTATCTTAGTGGGTATCAAAGAGTAGGGGTCTCTGTCTCTCCCAGCAGCCAGCCATCTGCAGGTCAGTACAGAAAAATGAAGAGCTGGGCATAGTGGCACACACCTGTAATTCCAGCAACTCAGGAGGCTAAAGCAGGAGGATCGAAAGTTCAAAGCCAGCCTCAGCAATTTTGCAAGGCCCTAAGCAACTTAGTGAGACACTGTCTCAAAATAAAACATAAAAAGTGCTGGGGATGTAGCTCAGTGGTAAAGTGCCCCTGAGTTAAATCCCTAGTACCCCAAAGTAAATAAATAGATTCATAAATAAATAAGACTGGGAGGCAGCCCAGTGGCGGGGCAGCAAAAGGTAAGGTAAGGACCTGTCCTGGACCTCCTGGGGAATTTAGTAGGAGCTGGGGGTTGGATGATATGGATGATGTCACTGAGTCGATGGAGATTCTTTTACATGCACTATCTATTGTGATCCTAAGATTGACAGGGAAGGTGGAGCTCAGAGGTGTACACTGAAGGATTCATTGTTTGCAATCTGTATTTAAATGGTTTGGAAAAAGGGGAGTGGGAGGGGAGGGAGTCCAGGTGAGGGCTAGATGTTGTTCACTGTACTCATCCTGCAGCTTTTACATATTCAATTTTTTAAAAGTAAAAACATAAGTAAACAAAATTTTACTTTGCCTGACCCAGTACTTCTGGTTCCTCTCAGCTCCCAGTACTGGGTCACTCCCTAATCACCAGCTCTGCCTACCTATTTTGGCCCCATGTGTGCCCTTGCTGCCCCCAATGGCACCTCACAGGACCATCAAAAGTGCCTCTCAGCTCTGGTGCTCCACACAGCCCCTAAGACTGCCCTGTTGCCTCCCAAAGTCCAAAGGAGAGGATTTTTGTGCAATCACTGTCCTGCAGGCAGAGTGAGGGAATCCACTCTCTCTAACCGGCCCTTGCCTGGACTGTGAAGTGATGGCTCTCTCAAGAGGCCACAGGAGGCTGGCCATGAGGTCAGGTGCCTCGGCCCCTCCCCCTCCCCACTCCTGCTTCTCTGGGATTACCTCCCAGATCTTCTGCAGGCATTCTTCTTCTTCTTTTTTTTTTATTGGGGGGGGGGGAGTACTGGGGGCTGAACCCAGGGTCTCATACAGTCTAGGCAAGTGCTCTGAGCTCTGGCCCCAGCCCCCAAAGGCATTCTTATCATCTGACAAAACCAGACAATGATGAGCACCCAGGAAAGGAGAAACCATAGTGGACTCTTATTTGAGTATAGAATGAAGACAAAAGAAATTTCCAAATTATAGTCACAGAACAGAATAAAAATGTTACGAACAAAGTTATAAAAGTAAAATGGAAAGTAACTTGTGTTTCCTGATAGAGGCAATTGATGCTCTTTAATTTTTTTTTTTTTTTTTTTGGCAGGGGAGTGTGCTGAGTATTGGACCCAGGGGTGCTTAACCACTGAACTGCATCTCCAGTCGTTTTTGAAGCAAGGTCTTGCTAAGTTGCTGAGACAGGCCTTGAATTTGTGATCCTCCTGCCTCAGCCTCCCAGGTCACTAGGATTACAGGAGTGTACCATTAGGCTCAGCTCATCCTCAGTCCTTTTGATTTTAGTTTGAGACAGAGTCTTGCTAAATTGGCTGAGGTTGGCCTTAAACTTGTGATCCTCCTGCCTACCAAGTCACTGGGATTATAGGCCTTTCACCACTACACCTAGAATGCTAGTTAATTTTGAATAAATGTTTACAAACACAAGGCTGCTACAGCCTGCATTTTTAAAATTATTCCTTGTGCCTAGAGGCAATTTTCAAATAAGGACCACGAGGTGAAGGGTCTGGAGGCTGAAGCTTTGGCCCTGGGGACTCTAGGAGCCTCTAACTCAGGGGTAGATGTTGTTCACTGTACTCTAGGAGCCTCTGAAGGGGACAGTGGGAGGTCTGCCCTGTGTCTGATATTTCCTTGAGGAGGGTAACTGTGTTTCCTTCATCTCCCCTCCAGCAGGGCAGCCCTCATGAGTTTGGGGAGGGGCTCAGGTGCCAGGAAGTCTCCTCAGCCCCCAATCACCTGAAAAGAACATAGGAGGCCACTTTGCACTTTTGTCAGGATCCTTTCCAGACCCCAGGAGCTGCAAGCTAACCCCTTCCTCAGTACAGGCCTGGAAGGGTGGGCTCAGTGCCTGGGAGCCACATCTGGGAGGCTTCCTGAGGGAGGGCAGTGACTGAGGGGAATCCTGTGCAGACTCAGCAGGCAGAAGTCTGAGGTTCCCTGGGGGAAGGGTCAGGCAGCATCCAGGGTCTGGTGATATCAGACACGGGGCAGAGCTCCCACTGACCCCTTCAGACCAAGGCAGCAGGAAGGGGAAACCTCAGAGGCTCTACCTGGTTATGGTCAGTAGCTGGTTTTCCAGCCTGAGGAAACGAGGTGAGGCCTGGGGGTTGGAAACCCCAGTAGAGTCCCTGGACTGATGGCCCAGGCCAGGCAGCTATGGGGCAGGGCCAGGAGAAGGCTGATGGGGGAGAGCGGGCCCAAGGGTGGTGGGGTTGGAGCTGGTCTCCAAGGACTCGAATCCTGGCACGTTTAAAACCTGTCCATGATGGGTAATAGTATACAGCTTTTAAATTCTCCTTTTGATTTTTTTTTTTTCTCCTTACAAAAGTACCTTAGGCTTGATGTAAATTTTTTAAAAAATTACACAATGTTGAAAGTGAAAATCCCCCGACGTCCTGGCCTGGGAAGTCTTGTGGACTAGCAGAACCACCCAGTCCTTGGCAGTGAAGACACAGCAGCTGTAGCCACGTTGCCAAGGTTACAAGGACGCACTGGGTGTAGCAGGGCAGGCGGCAGCTGGCTCCCCATGCCCAGCGGGATCCATGGCTGCAAATCCGCTGTCTTCTTTGCTGCCTGTGTCTGGAAAAGAGGTGGGTGATCAGGCTGGTGGCAAAGGACAAGGGATGGGATGGGAAGGGCTGGACCTGGGCGTCCAGGGGTCTACCCATGTTGGAGGCCCCTGGCCTTGCTGGCTATTTCTGTCCAGAAGTTATTTCTGTCCAGAAGCCTCTGCTGGCTGACTTAGGGAAATAATTGTCACCTCAGGGCCACTGCTCCCAAAAGTCACTAGCCCAGGGACACAAAAACTGTTAAAATCATTTCCAGGAAACTGGGCTGAGTGGGAGTAAGACACTGCCATCCCTACTGCCTGGGCTGGGCTGTGCAGAGATGGGGAAGTCTGCAGGGAAGGAGGAGTATCAGGAGCCAGGGGTCATTCCCCAAGAGAATGCCTGCCTAAGGGAGCCCTGCCACTGAGTGCAGCCCTTCATCTGAAGAAATGGGACTTCATTCCAATTCCCACAAAACAGAGGACCCTAGAGCCTGGACAACAAGAGAGAATGGTAAAACAGCAGTCTCAAATGGTTTGGAAGGACCCTCAAGATGGCTCCATCCTACACAGCTCAGTGGGAAGAACAGATTCCATTCCAGATTCACTGTTGGAGGCCAGTACCAGCAGTGACAAGAGGTGGTCTCAGGGCAATGACTTAACCCCTGTGAGCCCAGCCTCTACCTAGACTGGCAGGAATATGGTGGATACATGGAAGCACTCAGAGCAGGCCTGGCTGATGGGAGCTGGCATGCTGCAGAGGGGCTAGAAGCTCAGGGGCCCAGGATTCCTCTCTCCAGCACTGCCTCAGTGCTGGGATACCCGCCAGGGCTGTGGCCTGGGACAGCAGCAATAGCCTTAGACCTCAGGTCACTTCCCATAAATATCCATCAATGAACGGTTCCTTGAACAGTTCAGGTAACTGATGAAAATCCAAGGGCCCCTCCCTTTCCTTAAGCCTGACTGTCAGGTGAGTGCTCTAGTAGAGCCCAAGGCCACCTGTTCAGAGGCAGCAAACCAAGGCCCAGGACTATGGCTTTTATTGTCCTCTTCTTCTCAGGGCATGGCAGACCCCACTTCCAACTGAGAAGAAACACATCCACTGGGCACTCCCCCTGGAGTACTCTTCAAAATTTGTACTCAAAAGATGACTTTGGGTCCTTACATTTGCACTAAGCCTGGTGGGGGCTGTGGATCTGCTTGGAGTCCTCACAGACTAACACAGAAACATAGACCCACACTGACTCACCCCTAGGCAAATACAAAGAAAGACAGAAATAGACAAACAGAGATGTTCACATAGGTAGTGACTCACACACAGTATATGCACAGAAATGGCCTCAGCCCAAGCACCAGCATGTGCCAGGATGAAGGCACACTCTCTAATCATCCTAACCAGCCTATCTGCCCAGGTGCCAGGGGATTTCCAGCTCCATGGGGGTCTTACCTGGTGGCCCTTGCTGGGCATCCCATGTATTGCTAGCCTGGGGTCCTTCACCAGCCCCAGTGACATTGGGAGACAAGTGGACTGACAGGTGGGTCCTCCTGGTCCAAAACTTGTCCCAGCACCGATTTCTGTAAGTGCATCTCATGGCCTCTGGCCCACCTCAATATCCCCTCCTTTGCCCCTACATTCTGAGTGCCCAGGATTAGCCTCTCACCCTTCTTCAGAGGACACCCATCAGCACCCACTGACCCTAGCCAATTTCCTATTGCCTGAGCTTTTGACCCCAACCTTGCTGCTCCTACAGCCCTGAGGCACTCATAGATGCTGGGAACCCGCACTGTGACAAGTCTCAACTGGCTGCAGAGAAAGAGGCCACCTGCCCTCCATTGCACTCCCTACCCAGACACAACCCTTCCTGCTATTTCTATCCAAAACCCACACAGGAGGAGAGCCATAGGTGGGTGGGGGTGGGGATGGGGCCAAAGTTGCCTGACTTGTTCTGTCCTGTCATCCTGTCACTCCAAAGCAAGAGGGCAGTGAGACTGCCCAGTCAGCCCTGCTCCCCTTTAGCCAGGCTTCAGCCACTAAGGCCCCTCCCTGGCCTCATGGCCCTGGAAGCCCTCAGCTGTCCTTCCTAGAGGATCCAGGGAGCGGGTGGCTGGAGCAAGAGAGGCAAAGAGGGGAAGGCAGGCTGGAGAGGCTGGCACAAGACCACCTGGCCTGGTCTGCTGGCCTCCCTAAGTCCCAGCACCCAGTGGGCACTCAGCTGCTGCTCAGGAAATAATAATGAAGCAGCTGACTGAAGAAATGAAGGAACTTTCTAGAATGTGTGGAGGATGGACCAAGAAGTCCAGGCCATTAGAGATGCTCACCCTGCATTCAAGGTCTTAAGAACAAGCAGCAGCCCCCTTTCTCCCACATGCAGCATGGTGTCAGGCCCACCTCCAGCTCAGACACTTGTGGTACAGCAAGGTTCAGATCTTGGAGGGACAAGACTACCTCACAGCACTGGGGCCAAGGCAGGGTCCCAGGCCCCTCATGGATACAGGGCCTGCACCCATAACCTCATGCCACCTGCTTAGAGGAAGAAGGGGAAGGGAGGCCAGGAAGGCAGAGGGAGCAGCAGGGATTCTTAGAAAAGGAGCCAGCTGTGTGGGAGCAACTAGGAGAGGGAACGGGTTGTCTCTGGGAGGGTCCATCCCTGGCTCCCAGTGCCTCACCAGGGTCCAGCTTGCTGCGTTTTTGCTCAGGCTCCTGAGGGGCTGCCTCAATGGCCCGCTGAGCCTCTGGATGGGTCTTAAGGAGGGCTTTGGCCAGGGTGGCAGGGCCTGGTACCCCCAGAGACATGATGCAGTGTACTCCTTTGCGCTTGGCCCCAGCCACTTTGGCGCTGTCTTTGGAGGCTGTCAACAGGACCAGTTTGGAGAATTTCCTGGGTTTCCTGGGGGCTGCCGGAATGACATCCGTGCTCGCCTCCGGGGACGGCTCCTGGTCAGCCTTCACACTCTTGCCCTCCTGATCACTGGACTTGGGCAGCGACATCCTGGAACCAACAGGCTAGCCCTCAGGTCACCCACGCTCAGCGTTCAGCAAATAGGTTTCTTTTCCTCTTCTTCCCTGTCCAGGAGCCTGGGAGTCCAGGGACTCTCTCCTAAGGGAGGAGGCAAAAGTCCAGTCAGTGGAGGTAGCCTTTGGGGTTAAGGGCTCTAGAAAGTAGACCCGGGATGCAGCTGGGGGCAACCAACTGCAGCTAGGAACCACCAACTTCATTTTTCACTGATCCATTATTTTCTCAAGTTATAATCTTCATGAGGTCACTTTTTTTTGGCATGAACTAATTTTACAATGGAAACATATTTAACATTTGAAAAGATAAGACACATTTACTCACAAACTAAATTTTTCATTAGTCCATTACTCAGAGAAAAGGTTCTCTGTTCCTATACAATATAATATCATACAAGAAAATAAAGATTGGGGCTGGGGTTGTAACTCAGTGGTAAAGTGCTTAACTAGCATGGGTGAGGCCCTGGGTTCAATCCTCAGCACCACATAAAGATAAATAAGTAAAATAATGGTATTGTATCCATCTACAACTACAAAAAAAATTTTTTTTTTGAAAAAAAAGATTAAGGCTAGGTGTGGTGGTGCACACCTGTAATCCCAGCAGCTCAGAAGGCTGAGGCAGAAGGATTTTTTTTTTAATTGATTTTTTTTAAAGAGAGAGTGAGCGAGAGAGAATTTTTTAATATTTATTTTTTGTTTTCAGCGGACACAACATCTTTGTTTATATGTGGTACTGAGGATCGAACCTGGGCAGCACTCATGCCAGGCGAGCGCGCTACCACTTGAGCCACATCCCCAGCCCGAGGCAGAAGGATTGCAAGTTCAAAGTCAGCCTCAGCAACTTGGCCAGGCCCCAAGCAACTTAGCAAAGATCTTGTCACTAATTAAAATATAAAAAGGGCTGGGGCTGGGGATATAGCTCAGTTGGTAGAGTGCTTGCACAAGATCCTGGGTTCAATCCCCAGTTCTTCTACTACTACTACTACTTTTTACCCTTTTTAGGGTTGGACATGTGGCTCATGGTTAAGTACCCCTGGGTTTAATCCCCAATACCAAAAAAAGAAAAGAAAGATTAATATTTGGCTTGGGGTGTAGCTCAGTGGTAAAGCTCATGCTTAGCACACATGAGGCCCTGGGTTCAATCCCTGGCATCACAAAAAATAAAGAGATCAAAATAAAAGTTTCAAAATTATAGACACATTGACAGAGACTTGGTGGCAGGTAAGAGACAAGAGATAGAGTGCACTCCACTCCTGGGGCCCACTCACCCAGAACAAAAATGACCTGAGTCAGAAGTGAGATGCTATGACATCAGCCCTGACCTCCGCTGCTGTAACCTTCCTTCCAAGTGTCACTATCACCCCTGCTCTGCCCCAGGAGGATAGTGGCCTCATTCAATTATGTGAATGGCCCAGTAGCACACAGCTGGTGAGAGTAGGCCACATTTTTGAGATCTCATCTCAAAAAGCAAAGAGAAAAAAAAAAAGATTTTTAAACAGTACAGGCTAATACTCCCCCCTCTAGGAGGTAGAGCTGAAGTCCCCTCCCTTGATTGTCATTAGCCTTAGTGACTCATTTCCAAAGATAAAGAATAGTAAAAAACGTTAACTCTTCAAGGGAGACACCTGGTAGACACCACTTCAACCAGCTGGTGAAGGACATTGGTCACAGGACGTGTGGATGACAGGCGGTGCAATATAAGGAGAAGGGCACCTTACATCTGTGTGATCCTTCCCTCTAAAGCATCACCCTTTGGCTGGGGATATAGCTCAGCACTCGGTAGAGGGCTTGCCTCACATGCACAAGGCCCTGGGTTTAACCCCCAGCACCATCAAATAAATAAATAAAAGCATCATCCTTGATTAATCATGAGAAAATCCCAGACAGCCCCACCTTGAGGGATATTCTATAAGATGCCCAGCTGATATTCTTCAAAACTGTCAAGGTCATCAAAATCAAGGGAAAACTGACTCCTTCACAGATGAAAGGAGACTAAGAAGTTGTTCAGACTAGAAGCAATTTGGGATACCAGATAAGATCCTGGAACAGAAAAAGGACATTAGTGGACATTTATGAAATCTGAATAAAGTGTATAGTTTAATAGTATTTGTGGTCTGGGAAAGTAGCTTGCCCAGAGTGCTTATGCCCTGGGTTCAATCCTAGAACATCAAAAATAACTTTTTTTAATATACTGGGGATTGAAGCCAAGGGCATTTAACCACTGAACCACATCCCCAGCCCTTTGGGGATATTTTATTTTGAGACAGGATCTCACCTAGTTGATCAGGGTTTCATTACATTGCTGAAGCTGGCTTTGAACTTGTGATCCTCCTGACTTAGCCTCTCGAGCTGCTGGGATTAAAGGCATGTACCACCACACAATGTAATTTTTAAAAATTTATTGTTTTTTTTTTTACAGAGTCTCACTGATTTGCTTTAGCACTTCGCTTTTACTGAGGCTGGTTTGAACTCGCAATCCTCCTGCCCCAACCTCCTGAGCCACTGGGATTACAGGCATGCACCACCACACCTGGCAAGTTTTGTGTTTTAATCATTGAGAAAATTAAAAGACAACTCAGAATGGAAGAAAAATTTTTACAGCTTATATACTTGATAAAGAACTTGAACCTAAAATTTATAAAGAACACTACAAGTCAATAATTAAAAAAGAAATGACCCAATTATAAAATGGGCAAAAGCTCCGAACAGGCCTTTCTCCAAAGAAGATATACAAATGACCTATACATAAGATGCTCATCATCAGGCATTATGAAATGCAAATAAAATCCATACTGAAACGCATTTCACATTTACTTAAATGGACACAATAAAAGAAAAGGCAGATAAGTGTTGGCAGGGATGAGAAGAAACTGGAACTCTCACCAGGCACAGTGGCACACGCCTGTGGCTGGAGAGGATGAGGCAGGGGGACCTCAAGTTCAAAGCCAGTCTCAGCAACTTAGTGAGACCCTGTCTCAAAATAAAAGATAAAAATGGCTGGGATGTGGCTCAGTGGTTAAGTACCTCTGGGTTCAATCACTGGTATTTAAAAAACAAACAAACAAAAAAAGGAGAAACAAATTAAAAGGATCAAAAGGCTTAGCAGTTGCTTTAATTCACTCATTTTATGCCCTCCCAATTCTGCAATCTGATGGTTTGACATTGCTATGAAACTCAGGCACCCCTTTACACTAAAACAGCTCTCATGATGTGGATCATGGTGTGATGAGCAAGGAGACCCAGAAGCATAAAGATGGCTCAGTGTAGACCCAAACCCAAGATTGCACTATTACAAACTGGCAGGAGTCACACACCCTCAGGTCTGTGTCCAGATCCTAATCTCTGGAACCTGTGAATATATTAATTCACTTGTCAAAGGGGAGTTAAAGTTGCTCAGCAAGAGATTATTCTGTGGGCCTAATGTAATCACTGGAGTCCTTAAAAGTGGGAGAGGGAGCCAAGCATGGTGGTTCATGCCTGTAATATTGCAGCTCTGAGGCTGAAGCAGGAGGATCACAAGTTCAAAGCCAATTTCAGCAACTCAGCCAGGCCCTAAGCAACTTAGTGAGACACAAAATAAAAATGGCTGGGGATGTGGCTCAGTTAAGCACCCCTGGGTTCAATCTCCTGTACTCCCCCCCAAAAAAAGTGGGAGAGGGCAGTAGAAGTGAGAGGGAGGTGATGACAGAAGCAGAGTCCACTAGATGAAATGTGCCTTTCAAGAAGAGGAAGGAGGGTCACAAGCCAAGGAACACAGGTTGCTTCTTCTAGAAGCTGAAAAGGGCAAGGAAAAGATTCTCTTTAGAGTCTCAGAAAGGGACACAGCCCTGCCCAATTTTAACTCAGTGACACCTGTGTTAGATTTCTGGTCTCTACAACTATAAGGTAATAAAGATGTGTTGTTTTAAGCCACTAAATTTGTTATGGAAGTCATAGGAAAATAATACAAGGTCCAATACCTTACCAGTGAGATTCTGGAAACCTGGCACTTTGTTTGATATCTTAGGTGGATCAAGAGAATTACTTTCATATATATGAAAGAGAAATATCAAGGTCTACCAGTACCTGCAGCCTCAGGGACAAATGCTTTCCCCTCTCTGGGCCGTTTTCATCTGTAATGGGAATAGTGGTGAATTTAGTAGGGTTTGTTTATATGGATAGGTGAAGGGTAAAGTCGATGTTTGCAAAAGTTCTGGGTAATACCAACAGCTGCTCCTCAGTCACTGTCCAATGCAACCATAGAGGGCTGTGATTGGATGGCGATGGGATGCTGGTATACCTAGGTGGGCAGGACATATCCTCACAGGGAGATCCAGCAACCCAGGAGGCTGAGGCAGGAGAATAATAGCAATTTCAAAGCCAGGCTCAAACTTAGTGAGGTCCTAAGCAACTTAGTGAGTCCTTGTCTCAAAATAAAACATAAAAATGGCTGGGTATGTGGCTCAGTGGTTAAGTACCCCTGGGATCAATCCATGATACAAAAAAAAAAAAAAAAAAGGGCAGCGACTCCCCTCAAAAGGTCAAAAACTGTAGTATGCAGGGCAGAACGTCCCCAAAATGGGAATTTCAATCAGGGCAACTCCTTCCCCTAATTCCCTTGGCTCAGAATTTTATTTCCCCGTTGTATCTAATTTATTAGATTATAAATACCCATGCAGATAAATTTCTGATGGCAAAGATTTCATGAAATTCCTATGAGTGCCGTCAAACGCTGTCAAATGCTTTTGGGTTGGGCCCAAAAGACAGGTTCCCGTTCCTCTCCCACCAACGCCACCACCTCCCGACTAAGCCCACAGACCTCACGCCTCCTACTAGCTGCCGTCGCTGTACAGACCACCAGACGCGAAGAAGGGACCGGACAGGGGTGGGTGCAGGATGGGCAGTCGGGCGGGGTGGACAGTGCTGGGTAAGGCGGGCGATGTGGGGCTCCCCGATTTGGGGGCGCCAGGCTTAGTCCCGGGTCGGGAGGTTTGGGGGAAGGAGAACCAGGAAAAAGGAGGCGAATCGTGTGTGTCGGACAAGGAGCAGCCGGAAACCCGGCAGAGCCGGCGACCCCCCTTCCCCAGCACAGCAGCTCCGGGACCCCGGAGAGCCGTCCATCCGTGGGGCGGGATGCTCCAGGGCGGTCTCCTCCCCTCCCTGCCTCTGGGACCCGTCCTCACCGACCGCAACGTGCCCTCCCTCTCCGGCGACAGAGCCGCGGCGGGTCCCTCCGCGCGGGTGCTGGGGGGTCTCCGGCCTCGGCTCTGGCAGTCACCTCAAGCAGGGGTCATGGGGCGAGCATGCGCAGCTAGGTCGCGGGAACCCATTCCTGGGCTGATCGCGCTTCTCCGGGTCTTCCCCGCGCGGCGCCGGGCCGACGAGACTCAGCCAATCGGCGTGCGGGGGCGTGGTCGCCACGCGTGAATGGGACGGGGCGGGTCCAGGATCCGACTCCCGGGGAGGTCCTGGGCCCTCGCAGCGGATTTCAGGTCCCTGTCCCGGCTTCACAATGCAGGCGGGTGGGTTTAACTGAGGCCCCCCGAACTCCCCGGTATTTGACTTCGGCTCCCTGTGGAGGAAGCCCCGGGCGCTTTACTGAACAGGCGGAGGGAAGGACTCTTTCAGTTCATTCAAGCCGCTGGACGGTCCAGCCCAGCATCTTGACTATGGTGATACATCGCCATTGGTCCAACCCTCGCTTTTAGCCTAGTCTTCGCTCATTGGTCTAGACTTCGCCCCCTGCTTACGGACGTGGACCTTCAGAAAGGCACCCTCCCGGCCTGGGCCTTGAAGATCCCTCAGTTCACCCTCCTTTTGGCTTCTATCAGAGTCTTCCTGTGCTTTCTCGGGGTAGCGTCATTTCCTGGGCATTCTGCAGTGCACTCAAAGGCTTTTAGTCGTCATTATCTATCAATCAATCACAGACTACTGGTTGTATCTAATTTATTAGATTATAAGTACCCTTGCACTTAAATCTCTGATGGCTAGGCTAACGGCGTGGGTTGGACCAATGGCGTTTCCTTTATTAAATGGGGGGGGGGGGGGCTGGGGTTGTGGCTCAGTGGTAGAGCGTTCGCCTAGCATGTGCGAGGCCCTGGGTTCCATCCTCACCACCACATGAAAAATAAATAAAATAAAGGCATTGTGTCCAACTACAACTAATATATGTATGAAATTCCTAAAGGGGTCAATAGAGGTAATTCTTTTTCCCCCAGTACGAGGGGAAAAAATGTTTTTTCAGGTACCCAGGGGCACTTTACCACTGAGAGGCATCCCCAGCCCTTCGCCACAAAGTAGCTGAGTTAACAGGTGTGATCCACCATGCCTGGTGAGATAAATATATTTTTAAATTTTATTTATTCTAATTTGAATACATGACAGCAGAATGCATTTCAATTGGTAGTACACATGTAGAACACGACTTTTCATTTCTCTGGTTGTACAGAGTGACACCATTGCTGTCTTAATACATGAACTTAGGGTAATGATGGCCATCTCATTCCACCATCTTTCCTACCCCCGTGTCCTCTCCCTTCCCTTTGCCCTCCAAAGTTCCTCCATTCCTCCCATGCTCCCTCCACCCCCATTATGGATCAGCATCCACATATCAGAGAAAACATTTGGCCTTTGGTTTTTTGGGATTGGTTTACTTCACTTAGCACAATATTCTCTAACTCCATCCATTTAACTGTAAATGCCACCATTGAGACAAATATTTTTAAGGGCTTTTTAAATGTGTTGCTGAATTTTTCCCAGCGAGGTGCACAAGTTTGAAGTTAGATGCCTGCTGTTTGAATCCCAGCTCTGGCATTTGCTAGCTATGTGACTTAAGCCATCACTTTCCCTCTTTGGGGCTTCGTTTGTTTCTTCATCTGGTTAATGGGGATAATTACATTTATTTCATTTCATAGAGTCACTGTGAGAATTCAAAGTATTGCCACGTGTGCTGATAGGAGTCTTACTTGGGCTTTTATTCCTTAGTTTTACAATATTCCAGATGATTCATCTCAGAATCCCTTTACACTTTTTTCCCCCAATATTGGGGATTGAATCTGAGGGTGCTTTACCACTAAGCTACACCCCAAATTCTTTTTATTTTTTATTTTGAGACACGGTCTCCCTAAATTTCCTAGGCTGGCCTTGAACATGTGACCCTCCTTTCTCAGTTTGAGGAGTTGCTAGGATTATTAAGCCCAGCCCTTTACATTCTTATCATTGAAGAGCTCAAAAGATTTGGGTTATGTGAGTTCCATCTGTCACAATTTATCACATGAATTTTAAATTGAAAATTAAATTGCAGTAAGAATCCTCTGCCCAACTATCTTCACCAAATAGAATCAGCAAATCAGTGTTTTACACTTTTCTTTTTCCCCTTATGTGATGGAGTTTTGCTATGGTTGCCCAGGCTGCTCTTGAATTTGTGGGCCTGACAAATCCTCCTGGCTTCAATGTCCCAATGAGCCAGGACTACAGGCCTGTGCCACTATGCCTGGCCATTTTTATTTTATTTATTTATTTTGAAATAGGGTCTCACTAAGGTGCTTAGAGCCTCGATAAATTGCTGAGGCTGGCTTTGAACTTGTGATTCTCCTGCATCAGCCTCCTGAGCCTCTGGGGTTACAGGTGTGGGCCACTGAGCTCCAGAAGGCCTTTTTATTTATTTATTTTTTTCGGGGGGGGGGGGGGTGGAAATCAGGAATTGAACTCAGGGGCACTTGACCACTGAGCCACATCCCCAGCCCTATTTTGTATTTTATTGAGTTTTGTATTTTATTGGTCTCATTGAGTTGCTTAGTGCCTCGCTTTTGCTGAGGAGATTGGCTTTGAATTTGTGATCCTCCTGTCTCAGCTTCCTAGGCTTCTGGGATTACAGGTGTGTGCCACCTTGCTAGCTTCAAAAAGATCCTCTTAAACAGAGTGGCTTTTCCGCCGCTAGTGTGTGGTGAAAAACACGTGCAATTTGATATCATCACCCTGTATTGTTTTTGCATCATCAGCACAGATATCAACACAGTGGACCAGGCAAAAGACTTCTCAGTATTCCTATGAAGATAATCTGGAAGGGGTGGGGGGGCTGGGGGTTGTGGCTCAGTAGTAGAGCGCTTGCCTAGCACGTCTGATGCCCTGGTTTCGATCCTCAGCATCGCATAAAAATAAATGTAATAAGGGTATTGTGTCCAACTACAACTAAAAAGTGAATATTTAAAAAAAAATACTCTGGAACCTCCTGAAAGGTTCTTGGGAGTCACCCCAGAACTCACCATGAAACAGAACACCAGGAGTCACCATGTAACAGTGGTCCACTTTATGCTTTGAATATAACCCTTGCTGCTCTGCTACTGCAACTTTTTAAAAAATATACATTTATTTATTTACTTTTATGTGGTGCTAAGGATCAAACTCAGTGCCTCACATGTGCTAGGCAAGCACATTGCCACTGAGCTACAGCCCCAGCCCTGCAACTTTTTTTTTGGGGGGGGGGGCGCTGGGGTTGTGGCTCAGCTGTACAGCGCTCGCCTACCATGTGCTAGGCCCTGGGTTCGATCCTCAGTACCACATAAAAATAAATAAACAAAATAAATGTATTGGGTACAAATAAAAAATAAATATGTAAAAAATATTTTTTAGTTGTTGATGAGCCTTTATTTTATTTATTTGTATGTGGTGCTGAGAATTGAATCCAGTGCCTCATGAATGCTAGGCAAGCACACTACCACTGAGCCACAACTCCAGGCCCCTTGCAACTTATTTTTTAAACGGACATGTTTCTTTCTCTTCCTCTTCCCCTAATCTCTCCCCCTCTCTAATCTCTGGAGAAACAGGGTCACCTTTCTTCCCCATCCTAGGCAGAGTTATCTGTCCCTGAGCACACACCCACCATAGGAACGAAGTAACCCAGACTTTGGGGATGGCACCAGAAGACCTCAGAAATGACTACCTCCCAAATTAACAAGTGAATCACACCTCCAGACAGAGAACACGTGGAATGTAGCCTTTGAGTCACCTCTTTAAAAGCCCCCCTGTTCCTGCTGATGGGCAGAATCACAGCAGCCTCTGAGACAGGAATCCTCTGTGTTTCTCCTTTGCTAGCAAAGCAATAAACTCTCTTTTTCCATTTTCTCAAACCGTGTCTTCATTATTGGATTGGCACTGGAGCGAGGTTTCAGCAACTACCAGACCAAGGATAGAGGACTGCTGGCCCCTCCATTTTTCTATTGGTGGTTCATCTTTTTTTTTACTCATTTAAATATTTTATTTCATTTCGTTTGTTTATTTTTTTATTTTGATTCCGATTAATCCTAGCTTCCTCCTGTGGTGGAAATATCATGCTTACTTTGTCTCAGCCTGTCTATGCTGCTCTAACAGTAACACAGACTGAACAATTTATAAATGACAGAAATTTGTTTCTCACAGGTCTGGTCGCTGGGATGTCCAAGCTCAGTTTCTGGACGTGTGTCAGATGAGGGCTGCTCTCTGCTTCCAAGATGCTGCCTTGTCGCTGTGTCCTACTCGGGGGAGGAACATTGTCCCCAACTGTAGAAATGACGGAAGGGGAGACAGCACTCCTTTAGAGCTGGCTCTGTACCGTCAAAGGGCCTGGATAGGTGCCGCGCTGCCCACGGTCCCCTGGCTGCGCTGCGCCGCTGGGTCCTGCCGAGCTCGGGAGGCCGCCAGGTTCGCGCGCCCCCTGCCGCCCGGAGCGCCAGCCGCAGGTCTCCAAGGTGGGAACCTGGGGGAGACCGCGGCCAAAGAGCAGAGAGAGCGGCGGAGCTCTCGCTGGGTCCCTCGGTGCCGGACAGGACGCAGGTTGCTGGGCGTTCCCACCGTGGATCGACTCCTGTCTGTCCCTCCGACTTAGTCGTTCCATCGTAGTTTCATTCGGTTGGATTATCCCGACATGGCACGGATTTAGCCACAAAGGTTTTGAATACAGTGACACAAATATGAAGTGACTCATATGCCCATCAAATGATGAATAAGGGGCTGGGGCTGGGGCTGGGGCTCAGTGCTCAGTGGTAGAGCGGTAGAGCGCTCGCCTAGCTCGTGTGAGGCCCTGGGTTCGATCCTCAGCACCACATATGAATAAATAAATAAATAAAGGTATTGTGTCCAACTACTACAACTAAAAAATAGATATTAAAAAAAAGATGAATGGATTAATGAAACGCGGTGCTGCCATGTAATACTGTCCCTCACCCCAAACAGAACAATTGCTGACTTGCTGGAGGTTGGGGAGTGACTAATGGGTTCTCTCTTGGGGATGCTGAAGAAGTTTTGGAAATAGGTGATGATTGCATAGCCTTGTGACTATACTAAAAGCCACAGAATTATGTCCTCCAAAAATAGTGATAT